CATGGGCACACGCCAGAAATTCTGGAATTAGGGACACTTGAACTGATAGGTGTCGATGCGGACGGACCAACCCTGTTGTGGCATGCCAATGTGGTGCGTCGGACACTCTATTTTACAGCCGATCGTTAGAAAGTGAATGCTGACTTCTTTCTCTCATCCGATAAGCACTCCGGCGACCTTAGAATGCCACGATACACGCCAGCACTGACCTATTCGGGTATATGTCTGAAGCGTCTGCCGACATTGTAGATTACGTAAAAAGCACATGAGGTATTTACTATTCCTGAAGCCGAACAGCACGATAAGACCATTCAGTTGCATAATCTCTGCATCACTCAATACTGCATTTATTCGTAGTTTTGTCCCCATATGCTCGTAAAATAGATTAAGGAAATTTCCAATTGCCCCGTAGTACTTGCGCTGCGTCCTTGACTCGCAATAACAGGCTGACAAGTTGATAAGACCGGCGGCGATCCGTGAATCCACACGAGATGATAGTTCAGTGCTCCCACGGATCATTTGGAGCAATATGCTAGGAGCGCCAGACATATCAGCACCTGCTCTTGAGTTTCCGTCGTGCGCGCATATTCATCGCAAGGTGCGATACAGCCGTTGGCTAGAAGGGCCTAAAGACACTTTAAAACGAGTACGACAGCTTGTCCGCGTCAAAGCAGTTTCGAGCGATTTAGATACTGAGACTGCTTTCGGGTTTGGAAATAGACAAACCGAAGATGGGTTTTGGTTTGTGGGAAACGGGGAAGACGAAGAACCTTTGATACTGGGCATCGCCAGTGTCACACTAATGCAAATCCTATTGGTTCTCCAGGAAAAGCAGCCATTCTTGTTTTTCTAGCTAGATACTACTTTTAAGCTCAGTGATATTGGTTATCCAGATATCATTTCTGTCGAGTTTTACAAATGCACCATATCCGAAGAAACGGACGCGGGGCAAGTGGATTAACGGTAGGTACACTGATTACGACTTGCTTAATTAGGACTTGTTTATTGCTGCTAAAAAGACTAAAGAGGATGCTGCAGCTGAAGCCAATTATTGAAGGAGGAGCGTACGACCGCAAGGCGTGTTGCGAACGCGAGGAAAGAAAAGAGAAGGGTCTGCGAGCGAAGACGAAGGAGTGCGCAAAAGAAAGGTTCCAGAAGGCGAAGCAGAAAGTAGAATAGACAGTGGCAAGAGATGCACTAAAGCGGGGCGTTCCGCCATGAAAAAATTAAATTCACAGCCCAGTTGGTCGATTTGTGGTTGTAGACATCACCACCAGGCGATATCTTCATGTCGGTCGTTGTCTGACCGTTGTATAGTGAGGTGCCGATATTTTCGTGATTTGGGTACTCTATAGTAAACAAAAAAAAGACCCAACATATGTCTTAGTCTTGTAGTGACGTCTTACAAAAAACAATATATTTCAAAAGTGACCTGAAGTACGTCTGGTAGGGATACGGAAAGGAGATGAAAATGAATATCTGGGTTTGCCCCTAACGACAGTAAATCTTCAAAACTGTAACTTTCGGCTTTGGTCCACGGATTCACAGCTACAATAAAGCACGCTTCCTTTACAAAGCTGTTTGTGTATACAGTGCGAGTGAACACATATGAAAGGTGAAACCGAGCATAGGCCTTTGCGTCTCCGCCCTCGTTACCATCAAACAAACCCACGTATGTTATCCATCCTACGGGGTTGAAGATATTTCGTAGCTATTCGCGCTTTTCCAATTGAAGTAGCAGACCAACGGTTCACCAAGAAGGTGGCAGAAATGTTTTTTTCTCCGTCATGAACAAAAGCAGCAAGCACTCCAAATACCGACTTTCCAATACCAGGACTTCCAAGCACACGAATTTTGCAAAGTGGCATGATTTGGTTCGGTCTTGTCTCTTATATGGTACATCATAACTGACCAATCACAACTATGGAATGCAAATTAGCGTCTTTCATTGGCCAAATGAACCAGCCCCTAATTGGCAAGCCCGGCCCCGAGTTTGCATTTCCCTTATGAGAGAAATCCTAATGACAACCCGTCTTACATTTGAGCCAGTTGGCGGTGACCCGGGTCACACCAATGACCCGGTACTCAACTATTCTGTCATAAAACATATGCATTATTTAAGTTTCTGTAATCAGGCAATGCCGACTATCCTTTCGATGCAGCTCTGGATGCACTGCAACTTTGATCCAACGTCCGTGTTAAGCTAAATGATGTCGCTCCTAAAATATGATGTGTCGCCATCAATATCTGAGGTTACCGAGACTGAATTGTTGTTATTGGCGAACACCAGGAAAGTAACAGTGTACGTACTGGAGCCATCGCGAATGCTCCATAATACGACGGATGCGAACATGGATATCCTTCTTCAAGTTCCCATTCGTTACAGTCTGTAATTAGAAATTTCATGCCATCATCTGAGTAAGAGTGACTTGGGCGGCTACGCTGGCACCGAGTGTGTAGAGTGTCGATCCAAACGCGCTATCTTGGATCCACCAACGCCGAATATCGCTCTAACTTGTGCGTCTGGAACGCCTTGGCCAGTCAAGGAGAGAACCATACCCTCCGCCTGAGGGTGCTCGGTCCCGCCCCATTTGGATTCTAGTGACTTGTACGTGGCTTGTAACTGCTCAACTTTCTCAGTGCCAAGTAGAGCACAAGCACGCTCAAACGCTGTCAGTCAATTTCGAGGTTTTTGTTTCTTCCGTGGTGCAGTCTGGCTCAAGCCACCTGTACCGCCAGTTCGTCGTAGGAGGGTCGCTCATTTCAGCCAACAGTGGAAGGATCGCAGTCCAAACGCGAACTGTTACTGAAGTACCTGGTGCTAAAATTAAATAAATATTTCATATTTTGTTCTCGTATTAGTTGGCGACTCGGGTCACCGCCAATCCCGGTCTTTAAAATCGTAACGTTACTGTCCGTCCGTCCGCCCACCTTACTACAAAAAATCATTGGTTAAAAATATATTTTCACATACGTACGATGTCCGACTCTTTTGCATACGTCATTTCGGAAAGCGCGCGGACGGCGGCAGGACACGACGGCAAGCAGTTAGCGGCGGCGACAAGGACTGCGAGGCTCAATCATGTATGTGTTAATTAATATTATGTACTTTTCATCTTTTGCTCGGCCACCTCTCAAGCTCTTCGGAGCCCGACGCTGGGGAGTCCATGTTCGCCTGCCAGCGGCATGGGAAGTCTCATATCCAATCCGGGGTAAAGGGCAGCATAAACGGCGATAAAAGCCGGTTTTGCCGGGCTGTCTGCTCCTCCTCGTCGGTACCAGCAATGGTATATGGGACCCGGCGTATTGGGTAGTAACACCGGGGGCGCCTCCGAGTCCGGGAAAACGTTAGCCAATTACTCACGTTCCCTGCTCGAGAACTACGACCAAGACGCTGCGGATGGACATCTCGGAGGAGATTTGGTTTGCCAAGAACTCAACGCGTATCCATTGGAACAGTTGGAGAGTACAACTGCGGTTGTAGACAAGTTGAATGAAAACCAAAGGGATGTTTTCGACCAAGTGATGGGCGCAGAACAGCCTCCCCAAGTCGGCCGGAAACTATTTTTTATTGACGGACCAGGGGGTACCGGTAAATCCTTCTTGCTCGAACAAATCCTTGCCAGGGTACGTCTGAATGGAAGGGTTGCTGTGTCAGTTGCTTCCAGTGGAATTGCAGCAACATTGCTGACAGTGGGTCATACGGCGCATTCTACATTTCGGATTCCACTGAAACTAGACGACCATTCGACGTGTAATATTCCGAAACAGAGCCAGAAAGCGGAATTGATACGCCGGGCCAGTTTGATTATTTGGGGCGAGGCGCCGATGATACATCGAGCGTGTTTCGAAGCTATTGACCGAACTTTTCGCGACATCACGGGTAATGAAGTCGAGCCGTTTGGGGGGGGGTAATGGTTTTTAGTGGTGACCATCGTCAAATCCTACCGGTCTTAAAGGATACTACCAGGGCTGAAACGCTAAAGGTGTGTTTGAAAGCGTCTCCCTTATGGCAGCACCTACGCTAGCTTCGTTTGATAGAGAATATACGTGTGAAAACGGCGCTTGATCCAGATGGTGCTGCGGAGTTGGCCGAATTTTCGGAGTTCTTACTTCAAATTGGAGAGGGTCGAGCCCCCTTTCACATACGACTCCAACGCTGGCTTCTGCTTGATGCAAACCTTCACATACGCAGCCACCAAACTTCCATTGCAGAACTCGTAAAAGTCGTTGGAATTTTGACCGGATACATCGAACTTCGAGAAGGCTTTGATGTATTTGGTGTTCACTTCCTTCCACATGTTATTAAGTCGTGGTGCGTCATCCTGGACGATGACAGAAGGGTCGATCCCGATGTAGCGAGGGTCATTGAAGGTGAAGAGGCCATTGTAATCCGTTGTGTTGGTTTGAAACTCCTTGGCTACCTCCTTCGAAAAGGACGTGTTCTGGTTTACCTCACCCGTGTCTATTTGGTCTCTCGTTGCCGCGTCGTCGGATGAACCAAGACGCGTAGCAAAACGGTCCGAGAAAAGAACATTGAGAAGTCGAATGCAGCAGTGTTTTATTTTTTTTGCGCAAGCTTGGATCCAACAGGTTTTCATCGTCAACAGTTGCTTGAACTGCTCTACGTGTAGCATTGTGTCTCTTCAAATGTTCAAAGAGCGCAAGCTTACCGAACTTCCTGGGCACTCGCAAATTTCTCTCGCTGCACTCCTTCCGCAGTTGAGCCACCGTCCACAACGTATAGTCATCACATGTAGGTGTCGGGACCGCTCCCGGATTTTTAACGGTCCAGTTGCGTACTTGCATTCCAATACGGTCGGCGGTGGTACCCCGGCTCACCGGTTGTGAATCGTTATTACCAGGCTCAGGTACACCACGTTCTTCGGCGTTTGAAAGAACAACAGCGCGGTCGCCATCCTCCGTATAATTATGTTGTGGATAGTTAGATCGGGGTTCACTGACTGCAACATAGCGGCATCTCCACCATTAATTTGGGTGCCACGGTCCGTTATATCAATCACGTTGCGCGCACCAGGAGCACAGTACCCACTGACATCCCTCCACCGGCAACACGGTCTCCACTAGCAACAAAGGGTCCACCAGCAGAAAAACCACCTTCAGCAACGCAGTTCCCAGTAGCAACATACTATTCGTCAGCAACACGGTCTCCATCGATGCCATTGGCATGGCGGTCAACAACATGGTCTCCACCAGTAGCACAAGCGACCGAAAGGCCTACGCCAGCGACATGACCAGTAACAGTACCATGAACATGATCTCCGCCACCAGCAGCACGGTCTACACCAAAAATATGGCCTGCAGCATCAACTCCAACACCGCAACTACCTTTACCAGCTTCGCCTATGCGTAGTTCCGCACCATCATCGCGGTCATTACCTCCTCCACCGTTAAGAAGCCCACAAAAGTCACCACCAACAGAACGAGCTCCATCTGCAACATCAACTCACAAAACGCAAGTGGAGTGGACACAACGCCAACGAGCTCAGAGGAGGGTTTCCTGAGAGCATCAACAGGTGGCGCACCGCTTGCTGGCATGACCTTGACGCTCTTGGGCCGCCCACTTCGCGCGCCTGTGGTCCTCTTCGCGCTCTTGCCGTTGCCGGGCATCTTCGTTTCCATTTTGGCCAGCAAGAATTGTTTTGTTTTTCTTTAATCGTAAAATTTTGTTTTAGAAAAAAAAAAATTGGTGGCAGTTGCGTTCCTAACGAAAAACTGCCACACTGCCATGACGCTGCGACAAGTATGCCATCGCATGGCAGTGGTTAAGAGCGGCCCTGAAGCTCTCGGAATGAGCTAGTGAAAAGTGTCTGCTGTCGATCGTCGTCTGTGTTAGTATGCAGCCACTCCGCAAAGCGAGCTATTGCACGTAAATATGTGTACTTGGTCTTCTCCGCTGTCGTATTCTCCAGCACTTCTTCAACGCATGCATCGAGCTCGTCCATCGTTGCACTTAGCTCAGTGACCTTTCAAGAACACAAATATTTTTCAGCCAATCATAATCGTCAAATAATCTTAGCGCAATTTGCACGGCGAATTCCATCCATCTATACATGTAATGAACATTTTTTATATTTTCAAAGTGTACGCTGTTTAGATTGGCAAGCATTTTGTCTCCCAGATGCGGTTGCCCACGTACTGTAATCTGTATGACGTGTAGCGCAGCGAGATGCCCTGGAAGAGGAAGGCCAAGTAGCAATCTTTCTCCAGCATCTCTGCAAAGCTCTTGCGATCCAAGACGTAGACGACGCTGCGTTTAGTTGCAATGAGGGAGGTCTTGCGTTTCTCACCCGTCAAAAAGCACATCTCGCCAACAACAGAACCTACCGAAACTTTTTCAGTAGTACCAGCCTCTTCCTCGACCACAGCAGTGAGCGCTCCATCCACCAACAAGAGTGCTCGATCCGAGGTGTCGCCTTGCCTCCATACCACTTCGTCCTTGTCAATCTCCTGGATATGGAAGTAATCCAGCAGACGTTGTTGCACAGAGAGCGGTTGGTCCGGCATAAATCTTCGCAGGTTCCGCAAATGTGTGAACTCGTCTTCATCAGCAGCACAAGTACTCGCAGGAGAGCCTTCTATACACGCATTCTTGCCCAGAATATCATCTTCACACCACTCAAGCGCGCTGTCCAGATCCGAGGCAATGTGAAGCATACGATTGTCACCGAAAAGATCGATCAGATGCTCCGTAAACTTTGCATAAGCCTTTGGTACAGCAGCAAACACAATCTTACAGTTGTGAGTATCGCATGCGTACTTGATCTTAGTGAGTCGATCCGCTGCAGACGAATCCAGTCCGACAACCAACGTGAAGTCAAGTACAAGCCACCGAATGTCGGCTCTCGGTCGAATGTCATCGCTAAGTACACTCTGAAGTGGAGATTCCACCCCACTGCTTGCGGTGTCATGACCTTCCGCAAATAATTCGCGAACGTAGTCGCTGAGCTGGTTGATGTTGCCGAAAAAAAGGTGGCCTTTGAGCTGCACGACGTGGATGTTACGGCACTCACGATCCAGCACGTCCAGTTCATCCGTCATGCGCCACGCATGACTACGCAGTGTTGCTGCACTCATACTGCCTCGAATCGGAGCGTTGGTTGGTGTACGTGCACTTTGCATCACGAAGGTCATACAGGCCAACAACGCACCGACAGCCAGGCCCTGGTTCATGCCCCAGAACGTCATAGTTCCAGCGATAGCCCACACTGTGCCAAGTTCCAGAGCATCCAACTGGTCGTACGTATCAATGAGCGCTTCTCGAAGTAAATCCCATCCAAGATGCATCATAACACAACCTGCCATACACCGAGGGATGTAGGACACAGCATTGGGCCCAACAAAGAAGAAGAACATCATGATAAGTCCGATCACGAAGCCACTGCGACGTCCAGCACCTCCACACTTGTAATATAACGCAGAAGTCGAATAGCAGAGGTAATTCTGCACAGTACCACACACTCCACTTAATGTGTTCGAGATACCGTGCGCAACCAGCTCATCGTTAATATCCACTTCCTTATCAGTAGTGAGACTCAGCGACGGGATGTTAATCGGCACGTGCATAAGCGAGAAAAATGTGAGACCGACGATCGTCCCGAACTGCTTGGGGATCACATGCCAAGCAACGAGAGAGAAGTCGTACTGCTCCCATAGCGAGTAGAATGCAACGTTCGGGGCACGACTGAAGAACCAGCCATGTTCACGAGCTGTGTCAGTCGAGATACCAAGCAGCAGCAGAACCACGTAGAAAAGCGGTGGAATCGACACGAAGAAGAGCGGAGGAAACAGCGGCGACTTGATGTGGCGTGCAAGTATCCACAGTGTGAGTGCCAAGAGCGCTGAACTGACCCAGAGCCAAACGATTTCTTCGTTAAAAAGGCCCTTAACACCGTCCCAAGACCAGTCAAATCCACGTCCTGTAGCGTTCTCAATGCCACTCTGAAGCACGAAGGCGCCAATGCCACCGACAGCGCCAACGATAATGTGCTTCGGGAAGAGATATACAATATTACCAAGCTTCCAGTGTCCCAGGATGTAGAATAGCGCTCCGCACACCACCGATGAGAATGCGTAGGTGACCAGAATTGTCGGCAGAACACTAGGGTTCTTGGGTCCCAGTTCCTGGATAATGGCCACGGAAATAGTGTGCATGAACGGCACGTTCTCGACCATCATTTGGCAAATGGCTCCGTCAAAGTTACTGAGCCATACGAATGTGAACTGGCAGATCGTGGACGACAGTAAGAACATTTGAATACCGAGAGCATGCGGCACAGGGATGTCCTGCCACTCCAACGGGAAGAAGGACAGTCCAAACGGGACACAGATCATCAAGTTGACCAGCACTGCGATGACGATACAGGGGGTAGCGTGCAGAGCTTCCATGACGCCGTGTTCCCAGCCGTTCAGCGGGTCACTAGCGTCGCGGTGTGAACCCCACGAGTCCACGGACAACCTGGTCGTGCCGTAGGGCGAATAACAGTGCGGAGACGCGGCGTTGGGCGCAGTGGTTGGCAGTGTCTCGTTGGCTGGAGACTGCGCGGTTGGCTGCTTGGAGAAATGCAGTGAGGTGCCGCCAGCGTCGCGACGCAATGGCGGAGGTTCGAACACCATGTGGGACGGCGCATGAGTCTGTGTGGGGGTGCTGCGACGCGGCGGTGACAATAACAACTGACGCTCCTCGTCGTTGAGCGGCTCCATCGTGTGACGAGACACGTTTGCTTGAGGTCTTGCAGTCTATGGAGCAAATTGACGAGTGTGAGCAAATGAGGAAGCCACGGTAGATTGTGCATTAGTGACGTACGTGTCTACCTCATTTTCAGCAAATAAGATTGCGTTCTGGGACGACATAGCCAATCGCGTGCCAGAGTTTTATCGGAGACTTTCCTATGTTTAGCTGTCCATCACCCTTTTACCTCCGTTGCAGGTTGACTTGTGCTGAGTATGTCGATGGACGTTGGGCGACAATGTAAGCGGAGGATTGCAACCACTGAAAGGATCCCTCCATTGCGCTGGCTGTACAAGGCAACATGTGACTTCAGGATGGACGAGATCTATGGCTGGGATATCTTGCTTGATATCCTGCCGGCGGCAACGCTTGCCCAATTGTTGCGATCGAAGTGGTCAACGTGGAGGTACAAGTTGCCGTCGGCACAAAATACGAACTCTCACCGAAAAAAAAAAGCGCCGACAATCTGGTGGTGGAGGCACCGTTATAATGAAACTCACTGATACATTTGGCGTACTCGGCGTAATGTCGGTAGTTTGCGGCGGCAAGTGATAACTTGAAAATGCTCGCCACCTTCGGCCACCTTCACGCTGACAGACGCTTGCTCACTGAGCAAACGTCCAATGAACCGAGCTCACAACGGCTTCCATAGTTTTGGAAAGATACTTTACACGCTCATTGAAGAGTTCACACTCAAGAATGCGAAAGTCATGACTCCAGTGAAGTCGTCGAAGCATCCAACAAAACGCCAAGTGTCAAAAAGAAAAGGGTAGTAAGCTTGCATTGACGCACAACTCTTTTAGCTTTCTACCTCCGATCTGTAAGATGCATACGGGCAGTCACTCACTAAAACTATGAACAGACCGACCTCCGCATTGTCGGCGCCTTCTTTTATGATTTTGCTCCACACAGAGCCCTCTTTAAATCTTGCCAGTACCCGAAGCGTTCTGGATAACAGCACGGATGGCCTTCATCTCCGCCTCAAGACGCACGAGGCGGTCCATAGCCTGTTCCAGCGTCATACTGCGCTCCACGAAAGATCCACCCACAGCGCGTCCGGCCACGAACGAGCCGCGCATGAACGAGTCGTTGTTCAGGAAAGAAGAGCCCATACGGATACGGTTCTGGCGCTGAGCCTCCTGCTTGACGTACTTCTTGCTGCTCACCTTGCGCTCAAACACATTCATGTGGTCCACGTGCTCCAGCAGGAAGATCAGCAGCACCTTGCCCAGATCCTGGATGAAGAACCAGCACAGACAGTAGACCCAGACGAACACAGCCAGCTTGAACGAGATAGCCTCCATCTCCGTGAACGGCCAGAAGACAGCCAGAAGCGTCGACACAACCGTAGCGAAGCACGCAGCAATAGCCAGAAGGCGGCCAGGGGCACGCGTGAAGAACAGACCGTCGGTACGGGCCGTGAACACCGTCATGAAGTCGGACAGCGAGATCTTGAGGTACATCATCATCATCACCTGGTCGTACGGAAGGTCACCCAGGCCGAAGTACGCGAGCATTCCGTTCTTGTCCCACGAGTCGAGACCCCAGAAGAGCAGCAGCAACGAGCTAGCAACAGCAATGAGGCCGAGAGTTGTCGACACCCAGTAGATACGGGGCAGGTTCCAGGTCTCCGGGCGCTTGGAGGGCACCACATTGTCGTAAGCAATCGAGATAATCGTACCGTCGTTCAGGATCGTGATCAGCACAAGAGCGATGACCGGCAGCTTGAAGTACGGGTCCACAGCCTCCGTGCTCTCGTTGTTGTTGTACGGGCACTCACCAACGTGCGGGACGAAGTGCTGGAAGCGGCAGCTGTCCGGGTGGAACAGCAGCACCGAGATGAAGAAGAACATGAGCAGCTGGATCGTGCAGGCAATACGGTACGTCACGTAGTTGCGCATACGCTGGAAGATCTTACGCGACAGAGTGATAGCGTTGATAATAACCGACAGACCAGGCTGCGTCAGCACAATATCAGCCGCAGCACGTGCAGCATCGGTCGATCCCTCCACAGCAATACCGACGTCAGCCTTCTTAAGCGCAGGAGCATCGTTCACACCGTCTCCAGTCATACCACACACCCAGCCACGCTGACGCAGCACTTCGACAATCAGGAACTTGTGCTCGGGGAAAACCTGAGCGAAACCATCAGCACTCTCGACAATAGCGCCGTAATCCGAGCCAAGAGTCGACGAAAGACCGTCCTGAACATTGGCAGTGGGCAGTACGTCCGTGCCCAGGATAGTCGTGCCCATTCCGAGCATACGGCACGTCTCCACGGCAATAGCAGCCTGGTCACCGGTGATCATCTTGACGCCAATACCGTTCTCGTGAGCCAGTTCAATAGTGCGCTTGGTGTCGTGACGCGGAGGGTCCAGGAACGTCATGATACCCAGGAACACCCAGCCACCGTCAGCCTCTTCGTCCGAAGTACGACCAACAGCGAGCGAGCGGATGCCACGCTTGGCCAGGTCGAGTACCTTGGCTTCAACTTCCTCCTGGATCTCCGTCACATTGTGAGCAAGCGCCAGAATGATCTGAGGAGCTCCCTTGGTAACCTTAAAGACTTTACCGTCAGGGCCGCGGATCGTGGACTCCGTACGCTTCACCGACGGGTCGAACGGCATGTGGTCCATCATCGTGTACTGGTCCAGCGGACGCAGGTCAATAGCGTTCAACACCAGCGTGTCCAGAGCATCCTTAGGCGGCTCCTTCCACTTGGCAGCAAGAGCAGCAGTAACCAGCACTTCCTCACGAGTAGCAGTCGGGTGGAAGATGGGCAGATCGTCCTGCAGCTCCATCTTGTTGCGGGTGAGTGTACCAGTCTTGTCCGAACACAACATGTTCATACCCGAGAGGGTCTCAATGGACTGCAGCTGCGTAACGATGACCTTCTCCTCTGCGAGCTTACGGGAGCCAAGAGCCATAGTGGACGTGCATACAACTTGCATGGCAATGGGGATGGAAGCCACCAGCAGCACGACGCAGAAGGCAATAGCCTCCAGGAAGTCCTCGCCATTGTAGATGAGGTAACCGAGACAGAAGCCCACAAGCACGAACGAAATGGCCATGAGGAACATGGTAATGCGGATCAGAATCTTCTGGAAGTGGCTCACTTCGTCCACGGACGAGATGAGACTCGCCGTCTTGCCGAAGAACGTTTGGCCGCCTGTAGCGGACACCACAGCCTCCACCTCGCCACGTACGACGGTGGAGCCCATCTTAGCGTTGTCACCAGTGGCCATCGTCACGGGGAACGACTCGCCGGTCAGCGCAGCCTGGTCGATCTGCACGGGGTTGCCCTCGCACAGATCGCAGTCAGCGGGCACAGCCGAACCGGCCGACAGTGTGATGCGGTCGCCCGGCACGAGCAGAGCAGCGTTAATAGTTTGGTGCACGCCATCGCGGATGACCTGAGCCTCAGGCTTGAGACTGGCCTTGAGTGCAGCGACGGCGTTGCCGGCCTTGAGCTCCTCGTACCAGCCCACGATGCCGTTGAGCAGCTGCAGGAAGAGCAGCACGAAGAAATCAGGCAGATCTTTGGTGATGGCCTCGACGAGGATGGCGAGCCAGATCATGATAGGCATGGGGCCCCAGAACTGCTCGGCCAGCTTGACCCACGGGCTCTTTTCCTTGGTTTCGAGCTCATTAGGGCCGAAGATCTTGAGTCGACGAGAGGCCTCCACGGTGCTGAGACCAGCCTCGCCCGTATCCAGCAGCGAGCGCTTGTCCACGCCCATATAGAAGCGGTCGTCGTTGCTCACACCGCTGTACGAGTGCTCGTCGCCGTTGGCGAGCAACGGACTGTGCTCCGACATTGTCACTTTGGTCTTCTTCAACTGTGGCGATGTGGGGGAAAACGAGAAGTGAGCGATCCGATGGTGTCCGGCGGCAGAGCTCTCTCTCCCTATTTATCCAGGACTCAAAAGATTCGTTTTCGGAGTGGACCAATCAGAAGCGCGGAATGGTGGACGCGCCCCATCTCCAAAATCCGTTTTTTGTGCTTTTGACAACAATTGTGGCGACCAAAAACTCCGATCATGCTTGCGGTGGGGTCAGTGAGAAACCCAGCTGAAAGCGCAAGCGAAGTTATACAGTCGTGCTAGGGTGTATGCACCTTGTACAAACTAACTGTAACTCTGCCGTGTGTGCGGCACGAGACGCCGGGCCTGCAGCTGATGAAAATAATTTCGTAGCGGATACTGCGCCCAGATGGCAAAGTTTGGAATTTGATCCCCACACACTGTGATTTTTGCCGTGTCAGGTATCGCAGATGTGAGACCAAGTGGGGGCGCACGGAATGGGCAAAGCTGAAGATTTATGGCGGATCCACCGCCACAACACAAACAAGCTCGCTCGCTTTTCCCCGTGGACAGCCTCGAGATCGCTCCACTTGAAGTCAGATGGTTCACGAAGTATCCACACAAATCGTCTGCAGTGTCGAGCTCAGTCCAGTTCGGAAGCAAATTCTTCGCCGGTCTGCTTGAGACGGTGTCGATATCGCTCGCCGCAGTCTGCGCTGGCGTTCTCACGCCGTACATGTTCAAAGTCTCAAAGTTTTCCTGCTGAGCTTACAAGAATTTTGGTAAAACCAATGGTGAACGTCAACGTTTTTGGTGGTCTGCTGCTTGGTTTGAACGCTGCCCGTTAGTTCAATAATTTGGCTGCTGCAAGTATGAACTCTATACAATCTAAGCGGGAGCTACTACTATCCTAGTATGTCCTTTGCCTTGACGCCCGGAGGCAGTGTGGACTGGTGTTCCCCTCCAAGCATATTACTGAAGTCCCAACGCCACAATGTTTGTGCCGCAAAATAGGAGACTCCAAACACCCTTCGAGTCAAAGGGTTGATCCGTCAAACTTTGACGGATCGTTCGGTGCGGCAGAGTACATACAACGCAATTTCGCAACATCACGAGTCATATGAACTGGTTCAGATTAGGGTGTGGGCAATTGTGGTGTGCAACTAGTCAATGCGCATGTATCAACTATTGTTCGCTCGTCTTTAAAAGCTTGGCATCAGCTTCTTCAGCGGGCAGGGGCGTTTGTATTGCGGAGGAGTGATGTAGCCCTCCTTGCCCTTCGATGGGTCCCAGTAAAACTCGTAGGCGAGCTCATCGTTGAGCGGCCATTCATTCTGAAACCTTTCCACCAGATCCGGATTCGACATGAATCCGCGCACAAAGCTCACCAGATCAGCCGCCCCGCTGCGAATCGCGCCCTCCGCGGTGTCACGAGTATAGCTGCAGTTGGCCATGACAAATCCCTTAAAGTGCATTTTGGCGTCGAGTACAGTCATCACGCGGCTATTGTCTGAGTAGCCGAAGCCAAAGCCATCTAAGATAGCTAAATATCCCAGCTTATGCTCAGACAAGCGTTGGAAGACGTACGTGAACATCTCCGGGTTGTCAACACTGCCCATGCCGCCATACTTGCTCGACGGAGAGACTCGCACACCAATGTGGTCTGGCAGATACACCGTCTTCACAGCCTCCACAATTTCATGAAGAAGTCGATAGCGGTTCTCGAACGAGCCACCGTACTGGTCTGTACGCGTGTTAGTGCAAGACTGCAGGAACTGGTCGATCAGGTAGCCACTACCCGCATGCACCTCGGCACCGTCGAAGCCCACCTTTTTGGCGAGCTCGGCGCATTTGCGGTACTGTTCCACTACACCGGGGATCTCGTTGAGGTTCAAGGCACGAGCTCGCTCGAAGCCCGTGCTTTCACCGTTGGCGTTGCGCGTTCTGCCTCCTTCAAGTACCGTGGCAGAGGACGACACCACTTCATTGTTGCTGTGAAACGAAGGGTGTGACTGCCGCCCCATGTGCCACAGCTGCACGAAGATTTTGCCTCCTTTCTGATGGATTCGATCAACTACCTCCTTCCACCCTGCGGCCTGCTCCTCGGTGAAGAGCCCAGGTGATCCGTACCAGCCGAATCCCTGCTCAGAGATGGCACACCCTTCCGAAATGATAAGCCCAGCTCCAGCGCGCTGCTCGTAGTAGATAGCGTTCATCTCGTTAGGTGCATGGCTGACCGGGTTGATGCGGGCACGAGTGGCGGGACCAAACACGACGCGATTCTTGATCACAAAGTCGTTGCCCATCTGAAGCGGTGTGAAGAGCTTGTAGTTCTCTGTAGGAGACATGGTGCTTATTAGAGAAGTTTGTTGGATAAGGTAAATTGCAAAGTGGGAAACCAAGCGAGTTTTTGAAGATCACGATTATGGTCGCAAATTCAGGCGCAACCATGTTTATGACATCGATTTCAGCAATAATCATCCGTGACCTTTGAATGTTTGTTCAGCTTTTCAAGTTGCGGAAGCTAGTCTTTTGCCGAGGGCCATTTGACTAAAGTCACCAAGAGGACCGAAAAGTAAGGCGCAGCGGCCCGTGTGAACGTTATCATTGCGTATTTGTCAGAGTGTTTGATGCAAATATTTTGCATAGGTCAGGGGATCGGATAGTTATCTATTGCAAGACCATGACCACTTGGCATTCCCACTAGTATTACTATTTAGCACCAAGCAGTTGCATAGCGCGATTGACATCTAGCCGTCCGTAACCAAAAACGTTGTTCGGGGATGTGAAGCTCGAGATATTTCCACAAGATAAGTGAAAAGAAGCGCTGTCCACGAAACTTATATTCTTCACCGCTGACGCCGTCAATGCGGCCCAAATCTGGTCATAAGTCAGTTCTGGTTGTGCGCTGAGCAGCAGTGCGACTGCTCCAGTAACGTGTGGTGATGCCATACTCGTTCCAGACGCGATAGTGTAGACGTTGTCTCTTGTCCACCAAGCAGAGTAAATTCTAACTCCAGGTGCTACGATATCGGGTTTAATGCGTCCATCAGGTGAGGGTCCGGTGGAGCTTTGAGGAAGCAAAAAGTCGTTAGAGCTCGTCGCACCAACCCCAATGACGTTGCTATTGCCTCCAGGTGAGGCCACCGTTCCGCATTTTTTGAAGGATCCTGAATTACCAATCGAGAAGACAGGGATAATCTCCGCTGCTTGCCAGGCTGCAATAACTGCACTAAAGTTTGCAGCTCCCTGAACGACTCCCCAGCTATTGTTGACAACACGAGGGGCCTCGCTACACCGTGGGTTCTTGCCCTTTGAATCCGTTGGGCAAAGTACAAATTGCGCACAAGATAATAGACTCGACTCAAGGCACGATGTTGTGCTTCTACAACCCCGACAAGCCATCCAGTTTGCTTTAGGGGCTACTCCAATGCCTTTAGACCCAACAATTGAGCCCACTACGTGAGTTCCGTGGCCAGATAGGTCCAACGGAGCCGCACTTTTGGTCTCCGGATCAAACCACCCGTAGTCGGCTCGAAAGTTGGATCGCAGCGCCTCGTGCGATGCACGAACACCAGTGTCGATCGCCGCGATAGTGACGTTCGCTCCCACGATTCCCTTTGCCCACACTGCCTCTGCCCCAATCTTCCCGACGCCCCATGCGTGGATCTTCGTCCCCGACTCAGCGTCGTCCGAATGTTCCACCTTGAAGTTATCCCCAATCGTTAAGATCTGCTCCTCATGAATTTCCGCGATCGACGACTCCATTTCCAACTGCTGAAGCAGCTCCATCGTTGCATCTTCGACGTAGATTTGGTTAGAGATCCAGAACGTCGTTGGGGTTGAACGCGTTGTGGTTGTCTTGGTCTGGTCGTTAAGAAGGTTCAATACATACTGCTGTGCGGACGACGCTGACTCCTTGAGCGAGTCCACAAGTTGATGTATTCGAGCTCCTCGTGATGCTGCACTGGACTCCAACGGAGGATTGAGAGCACTGGCTTCGTTTATCGCCGCGGCAGTTCCTTCGCGCATTGTCACGATCAAATTCATTTTGGTCTTGCTCTGGAATACGCGGTAGACGTCCGGGTGTACACGAGGGCCGGAATGAAGTGGAGCACCTTTCGACATGCCGACCGCGTTAAAGACAACTAACCACCACAAAGCACTGATAAATATTGTCATTGTTTGGGGACTGGACAAGCGGTTGGCCACGATAATCGAAAACTGTAGCGAGAAGAGGTAAGTTACTTGGTGGGTAGGATGTGTGCTGTTGCTAGTTCCTCCATGGCCAACCAATTTTGTCTGTGCACTGGTGGACAATCGGGCTAAGGACTGACGAGTAGCTTTGTCAGCTCATAATGTAAGATGGCTACGTTTGTCTGACGCAACCACATTGATTAGGTCAGAAGCTCTGTCCGTCGTGGCGCCACCGATGAAAATCGCTAACAGCTTTTTGTGCATCTCTTCATTGTATGCAGTTTATCTACTTGTAAACTGACGCAAACACTTTGCTTAGGTCAGGAATTCTTCTTTGTCATATCGATAGTCGGCTGGGGGAGCATCTTCGACATGCCGGTGTGCACCGAATAGGATTACAGCAGAGTCGTTTTCGGATATTCACTTTGCAATTTCCTATCATCTCTCAACATCATTCTACCCAGCCATGTCCCCCAAGACAGACAGCTACACGCTCTTCACCCCACTGCGTCTCGGCAAAGGACTCGAGCTCAAGAACCGCATTGTGTACGGACCTGTCACTCGTGCTCGCAGCGACATTGAAACCCATGCACCCGTGGAGCGCAATGCTATCTACTACGAGCAGCGTGCTGGGGCCGGACTCATCGTCACTGAAGCCTGCGCTATCTCCGAACAGGCATTCGGCTGGTACGGTTCCCCAGCGCTCTACACCGACGAGCAAGTGCGCGGATGGAAGGAGGTGGTTGAACGTGTGCACAAGAAAGGAGGCAAAATCTTTGTGCAGCTTTGGCACATGGGTCGTCAATCTCACCCCTCGTTCCATGACAACAACGAAGTGGTGTCGTCCTCTGCCACGTTGTACGAAACTGGCAGAACTCGCAACGTGAACGGAGAGCACGTGGGATACGAGCGAGCTCGAGCGTTGACTCTGAACGAGATCCCGGAGGTGGTGGAACAGTGGCGTTCCTGTGCCGAGCGAGCCAAGGAGGCGGGCTTCGACGGTATTGAGGTGCATGCTGCGGGAGGCTATTTGATAGACCAGTTTCTTCAATCCTGCACCAACCAGCGCACGGACAGCTACGGTGGGTCATTCGAGAACCGCTACCGCTTCCTAGACGATGTTATTGAGGCGGTGAAGACAGTGTATCCGGCGGATCGTATTGGTGTTCGCACTGCTCCTAACAGCCCGTACGGTGGAATGGGCAGCGAAAACAACGCCGAGATGTTCACGTACGTGTACGAACGCTTGTCAGAACACGGATTGGCGTATTTGGCCATCCTTGACGGCTGGGAAGGAGTTGGAGTTGACGCACATTATCACGGTAAGTGCCGCCCGCTTACCACCTTCGACGCCAAGAAAGCTTTCAAAGGAACTGTCATTGCGAACAAAGGCTACTCGAGAGACACTGCTGAAGGTGTTCTTCGAAGCGGATCAGCTGATCTCGTTGGCTTCGCGCGAATGTTCATGGCGAACCCAGACCTAGTCGACCGCTTCAAGAACGACTGGCCTCTGACCCCATTGATGGACTACGAGTTCTTCTGGGACCCTGTTAAGGGCGACGAGGGATACATCACCCTGAGCAACTTCGTGCCCTAGGAGATAAGCACAGCTGTTGAATTGTTCAGCATTGTCCTTCAAATAGTTAATTTCTTCATGTATCCATATATGGATAACTGTTTTAAATTTAACAATCTGAAGAAATTCTGAGCACTTGATCGCGTCTCTTCGATCAAGATATCTTTTTGATTGGCATTATTGCGACCTGCCAGCAATAATGCAACATATTCGCTTGATTATTTTACTATTCGCTCTACTGCAGGTATCAACGGGATGAAATGGGTCACTTTCAGCTCAAAGTCTCACGCAAAGTTTTTAACGTTGCTCTGTTTTCCGCAATAGCTGTCAAGAGCGGACGGTGTCGAAGATCTTAGTCATGCTCAAGATGAGGAAGAATTGTCTTCGTGGGATAAAGCAGAAAGCGAAAACAAAATCGACATGAAACTCGAGGTGCGGGCTTCCACAGCGTTGCTTGGCATACAAGCTTAAGTTGTGACGAAAGTGATTTCCACACAGGACGACGTCGAGCCCGAGCAGCTCACCGATCAAGATGAAGATCCACCGTATGAAAGAAAGCTATCACCCAGAGAGCGACTGGCTATGGAAGAAGAAGAGCGTTGGCAGGTGCGTGCTCGACTCATTTCGCCATTGTCCGCAGAGATTTGTACTAACATTTGGAGCAGCGGACGCTAGAGGAAGTCGAGAAGCGAGAGCGTGAGGAAGCATTACAGACATCTGAGTCAACGCCAGAACTAGACATCAACGAGTCGGAATCGACCGAACATGACCAGGTTCGAAGAGAGCCCCCTTGATGCGCTTGTCAATTGCGTGTTTACAGGATCGAATTGTCAATTTTTGCGCAGGGAACAACAGAAAACAACTATCCTCCAGAGGAAGATGAGGCTTACGCTGCATACCTCGAACGACAGCGAAGACTGGTGCGTGCATGATGTTATCCCCTCGTATCTCTCAGCTCACTTAAAGTGAGCGTCTAACTTATGCTGTCCTCAGAATGAGGAAGAGAGTGAAGCGGCCGAAGAGGACGAAGAAGTCCTACCGGTCATCCCAGGTCTGACAGACGTCGATTTGATTGCGTTCAACGCCGAGTACGCGAACGAAGAGGTTCTTGACAAGATCATAGACTGGTCCTACGACCAGGTTGCAGATATGTCGCGGTACCGAGACAACTACATTCACGTGGAGGACTTGTACCAGTACGAGATCTTCTCAACTGCATTCGACTCACTTTGTACTAACGCGAATTTGCTGCAGGTTCCTGCTCAAGACGCTGAACCCGCTGGACGAGGAGATCGACGCGGACGACGAGCAGATCCTGACCGACGCGGTTACTGAGCTGCGCAGACAGCAAGGACTGGTGGACGACGAACAGATCTTGTATCGAGGCTTCATCGCACGCGGCATGCCGCTGCGCTTCCTGCAATCCCTGGCTCAAGAGATGCACCAAACGGTGCAGACGAGGCGTCTGCAGGCTAGCGCAGGTCGTGACGAGCTCTAGGCTAGAGTCTGCATCATGGTCAAGGCAACAAACAGCTTCAACTACCAACATTCCTTCGTTGTGAAATGATTGTATCGAACCTTTGGATAATGATCTCTTGGATAGACCACCGGAAAGAATAAGCGACAAACTGCCGTTGATGTCGTTATGCGACGAATTCAGCCCTTAAAAAACGGACATCGTCCAGAATCTTCCAATCACCGTGTTTGGATCTGTCGTCGCTGTGATTGGTTCTGCGCGCGTGGCCGCTCTTTGATTGGCGCAATACCCACCCCAAGCAACACAGACTCCTCCTCTACAGCCGCTCACTTGCCAAACTGCCTACGTATACTCAAGACAAGTCAAGAGGAATGGAGCTCAAGGCTGAGGACACGCTCAAGAAGGCGGCGGCGGCGTCCTCGGGCGCGCTGCTCACGTCGCTGTTCGTCACGCCACTGGACGTGGCCAAGGTGCGCATCCAGTCGCAGATCCAAATGCCGCCGTCCAAGACGCTGGCCGACCTGCGCGTCACGCACTCGAGCGTCGGTACGTCTGTGGCCACCGCCATCGAGCAGTGCCGCTGCCGCAGTCGATGCGTGTGCAACCGCTCTATTACGCGTCCCGTGGAGAAGCTCCTGTCTTCACGACGCGGTTGCAATGCCCTCCCGGGTATGCGCATGTCCTGCTCTCGAGCCGTGGCGCCTCCACAGCTTCAGGGCACGTCGCACGCGTTACGCCACATCTTTCAGACGGAAGGGGTCAGAGGACTGTTTGCGGGTTTGTCTCCCGCTATGGTTATTGCCGTGCCGTCTACTGTGCTGTACTACATGTCGTACGACGTCCTGCTACACGAGGGACGTCAAAGGTTCCCAGAAATGGAGGGATTGGTGCCGTTGATGGCTGGAACCACCGCACGGATCGTGGCGGCGTCTATTACGTCACCCATTGAGCTGATTCGGACGAGAATGCAGGGTGAGAAGCCAGGAGCCAGTATCTTAAACACGTTCCAGCAGGCAGTGCGACGCGGAGGATACGCATCGTTGCTGAATGGACTGGGAGCCACGTTGGCAAGGGACGTGCCGTTCTCTGCTATCTACTGGACGTCGTATGAGAATCTGCAAAGGAAACTGAATACGGAAGACCTGTCAAGAACGCAGAGAGCGTTCGCGTGTGGAGCTTTGTCAGGAGCTATTGCCGCTACGGTCACGACTCCGTTTGATGTAGTGAAGACGCTACAGCAGGTGTCCATGACGGCCCAAGGATCGCAACCGTCAGGGATGGTGGTGCTTAGACAGGTGGTGGCAAGCAAGGGTGTGGGTGGAGCCTTCACTGGACTCAGTGCACGTCTTGCGCGCGTGGCTCCATCCTGCGCTATCATGATCTCGTGCTACGAGCTCGGAAAGGAGAAACTCGGTATTGAATGAGTGAAGATGCTAAGACGTCGTGTTGATGAAGATGGTCACTAATCCGGGCAGGGCAAAACAGGGCTAAATGACCAAGACTGGTTTGATCGTGTAATTGGAGACGTAGGCCCGATATTTAAATAAATTGTTGCCTTGGAAACCCTTTCTCTATGTGCAGTCATCCTCCGTGGCTGATTCGCGCCATATTTGCTTTGCCATCGCGACACAAGGAATCCATTTTGGTGGTGAAACACTGGAAGCAACCCGATCGCTTGATCTTCTACTTTAGTACTCAGTAGCTGGTGCGAAGTTCCATGAAGAAGGTATATAGCGTAGAGATTATGTACTAGTAGAAGTGCCTTGCATTAAATATTGTTGTTGTAACAATAGTATCGGTCCAAACAAGCAATCTGCGTCCAGCAGCGCATGACAAAAGAATACGAGGCGAATCTGTCAGACAAAGGCAAGGCCTTAAGAATGTTAGTGCCCGCGAATTGTGCGTAACACAGTAGAGACTTAGTAACAAAGTATCGATTACCGCTCTACGCTCAGTGGAATTGTCGGTGCTTCTGAAAGCCTATGGATGAGCGAGAGCAACATTTTGACCATGTCACTTCAAGTTCGCACTTACTAAAAACAAGTCAAACAATATAACTTGCTTTCGTTATGGGGTACGTTCTGGGGGTACACGCGCACTCTGGACTTCACATTGTGTACCCTGGGTACGCGCGAGCTGCATGACTTTGACACCGGTCACTTTCTGGTTGAAAATCACCCTTGTCAGATTAAGAAACGCGACCAAGTTCCCGAGCGCGCTTGAGTGAGCCCAGAAGACGATGCTGGCAAACACAGCTCGACGCAGCGTCCAATTCGGCGCTACTCACAGCTTTGCCGCCACTGTATGTTGCTCTGCTCGTTTTTGGCATTCCAAAAGCTCGAGAGTGTTGCTCTGCATCGTCGCACCACCCGAATACTGACCTTGCGACTGACTTTGACTTGCAGAGAGGCTTTGGCTTGGCCGGTAGCCGCTACCAGACAATGGTGAAGCCAGTGATGGCGGCTCCTTCCAAGACCACGTCGCTATGGTCACGTCTCGGCCTTCAGGCGACCAAGACGACCAAGCTGCCCCTGGTCTACTCTACTAAAGCTCGGGTACGAAAAATTGCAATGACATTGGTTGCTGTGCAGATGCACTTTGTAGTGCAGTGTGTTGACTATTGGTGACACTGCTTGGTGTGCAATTATACAGAAGTTCGCGGCCTCTACAGCCACACTTGAGAACGTAGCGGCCAACCGCCCGATCGCATACTGGATCTTCGGCACGGCGGCCATGGTCGGCGGTATGATCGCCGTCGGTGGTGCTACTCGCCTTACTCGATCGGGTCTGTCAATGGTGCAGTGGAAGCCACAGGGAAGTCTGCCGCCCATGACTCCAGAGGAGTGGGAAGCGCAGTTCGATATCTACAAGCAGTTTCCGGAATTCCAGCAGCGCAAGAACATGGTACGGATTCGCTGACACCGTGGTGCATTGGTATTTAAAATGGTTGTTAACCCTGCGTTTTGTTTGATGTGGAGTAGACGGTGGAGGACTTTAAGGGCATTTTCTGGTGGGAATATGGACACCGTATGCTTGGCCGCACGGTTGGTCTGGTGTACACAGCGCCGTTGGTTTATTTCATGCTGCGCAAGCGTCTACCTCGGGAGCTGTACACGCGCTTTGCCGTATTGTTCAGTCTGGGTGCAGCCCAGGGAGGTGTCGGCTGGTGGATGGTGCGCAGTGGTCTGGAAGAACACGGCCACGAGCAATTGAAGAAGCGCAACGAAGTTCGTGTCAGTCCCTACCGTCTTGCTACGCACGTAAGTACAGTAAATTGATAGCGGCGATAGCAATTTCCGATGAATTGACGACTGTTTGCTGCTGCTGACAGCTTGGATTTGCCTTCACGACGCTGGGTGTTCTTCTGTGGACGGGTTTCAACCTGGTTGCGCCTCCGTCGCGCGCGGCGATGACACGTGAGATGATCTCGCCGGACGTACTGAAGCAGGTGACTCGTATCCGTAAGATTCTGGGCCACGTCTCCACTGCTCTCGGCTACACGATCCTCTCGGGTGCATTCGTGGCCGGTATTGACGCTGGTATGGCTTACAATACGTTCCCGAAGATGGACAACCAGTGGATCCCGGACGACTTGTTCGTGATTGAGCCAAAGTACAAGAATTTCTTCGAGAACGTGCCACTCGTGCAGCTGGACCACCGTGTTCTAGCTCTCAGCACGCTCACGGGTTTCACTGGTGTGTACGCCATGGCACGTCGCAAGCATATCTGGAACCAGCTGCCGCAGCAGTCGCGTAACGCACTGAACATGGCTCTGGGAGCTGCCAGTGGCCAGGTGCTGCTGGGAATCACAACGCTGATCAACTGCGTGCCAATCCCGCTCGGCATCGCGCATCAATGCGGCGCCATCGCGCTCATGACGGCCACACTCTGGTCACAGCACACACTCAACTTCGCCAAGCCGCTCAAGAAGGCCGCTCAGACTGCTATCAAGGCTGCACCAAAGACATTGTGAGCGGCAATTGTCTGTCGTTGTTGCATGTATCACAGGAGGCAACTTCCGCGAGCTAGAAAAAAAAATCACAAATAGAAAATTTGCAAAAAAAAGAAGAAAAATATAGGTAAAGAGAACATACGGAACAGCTCCCCTTCAAAACCGATCACCTTACCACCTGATAGTATCAGGCTGATACAGCACCCACCGTCACTAACGGAACGTCACCATGGACGACTCTGGTACGTCTGCTCTTCCTGCTCGTGTGATACCCGTATTCCCACTCGTGTATAGCTGACGATGTAGCCCTGTATCTCTTCTCTTTGCTCCAGCAACTGCGGGCGATCGTCGCGGCATGTGGGCCATGGTCAAGGAGGGATACGAAGGGCTTGTGAGCACCGTGATTCGCCCTCTTAGGGCGCAGTACACCCCCTCCGATCTCGGTCCGAAGCGCGCACAGATCGGAGACGTGTCGGTGCAGCGCGTGGACATCAAGCTCAAGAACCCAGCGGGTTATACACTCGAATGCAGCTGGTGGAAGCCGCGCAAGCCCAAAAACGGAGAGCTACAGGAGCAGGACAAGCGTCCGTGCATCGTAGTGCTTCACGGCAACAGTTCCTGCCGTCTTGGAGCATTGGAGATCGTCATGTACGCATTACCCGCAGGATTTACAGTGTTTGCACTGGATTTTTCCGGCTCCGGACTGTCCGATGGCAAGTATGTGTCACTGGGCTACCATGAGCGTACGGACATTGCGACGGCGGTGAAATACGTACGGAAAACAGGAGAAGCCTCGAGTTTGTGCCTTTGGGGACGCAGTATGGGCGCAGTGGCGGCGCTCATGTACGCAGAGTCAGACTCAGCCATAAACGCCATGGTACTGGACTCTCCGTTCTCGAGTCTGCCAAGACTCGCCACGGAGCTGGTAGAGGACGGGAAACTGGGCGTACCGAAGATCGCAGTGAAGTTGGTGATGCGTCTTATTCGACGGGATATCAAGAAGCGAGCCAAGTTTGACATGTTCAAGTTGAAGCCTATTGCCAAAGTCCACAAGTGCTCCGTACCAGCGTTTTTCGTGGTGGGGTTACAGGATGAATTGGTGGGGCCACACCATGTGGAGGCGCTCTATAAACTTCACAATGGTCCGAACCAATTGTTCAAGTTCCCAGGTGGACACAATAGTCCAAGACCCTTTAACTTTTTCATCCAGGCGCTCCAGTTTTTGCGAGTTATGGTGGGTTTGATGCCGCTTCCGGACGATCTGTCGACGTTTGATCTGTCACCAGCTCAGCGACAGCAAATGCAGTCTGGGAAATCCGATAAAAAGGTGTCTCCTAAGCGCAAGAAGCCATCGCGCGTGTACAAGAATCCGCTGGAGCCGGGTGTTTCGATTGAGGCGGTCCACAAAATGTCTATTAAGGAGCTGAAGCAATGTATCGACCGCGCCGGATACAGTGATATAACGTGTATAGAGAAGAAGGAAATGGTGGATCTCGTGCTGAAGCTTTACGCTCGATATAGGAGATCCAGCAAGCAGGCAGCCGAGGACAGGCAACCGGCTGTGACAGTGTCAACGTCAGAAGAGGAAGAGCCGGACGCTACGCCAGCCTGTAAAGCGAGTCCAGAGAGCAAACCAGCGCCTTTGGAGACTTCGGACTCGGGAAAGCAACGGCGTCATAGTGAGGGCGACGCGTTTCTTGCTGCAGCAACAGCAGAATCGCCGAGTCTTGCTTCGATAAAGAGCACTGCCTCCAGCATTCTTTCCGACGCCGAGTTGGCTCGACGATTGAGTATTGATAATCCTAGTGATAAGGAGGACGATTCAGAGGACAAGGATGCAAAATAACTGGAAACGCGGAGATTATTTTGTTGTGAACGCGAAATATCAGAAAAAACACCTTGCGCCACAATTTCAGTCTCATTGACGTAACGCGCTCAACGGAGACTGAACGATGAAATGAGACTAAAGAGTCGAGTCGTTGCACTGAACGCGACCCATTTCATAACTTCTTTCAAGCTGAGCAGACAGGTGCTTGTGTTCGTACATGTAGAGTTTTGTAGAGTGCAGAAGCAGAAACTGAAACCTGTAACGGGAGCTGTGCCACTCGAAGCATTTCGCACTTTTGGAGATTCGATTAACATCAAATACTTCAGATGATCACACAACTGCGATACAGAGTAGTCTCATTCCTGCAACATACATTTTTTATGATAGTGTCCCCTATCATAAAAAATGTATCCCCTTACACTATTTATTTGTAAAATAGATATCCGGCTTGTGTAACACAAGTAAACGATCGTTGTAGCTGTCGTTAGTGCGCGACCGTGATATCCGTCAATCGCGAAACGTTCGAGGTAGAATTAGCCAGAGGACGTGGCAAGTGAAAGTTTCAATTTGAAACATCTGACGAATGGTGCCGTTCATGCCTCGTTCATTATTCGACTTACCTCCAATCGGCCACCTGGTTTAGTAATTCGAGGTATACCAGCGATCTTATCGACCGTCTTCAAAAAGACGACCCCATTGAAAACTATTCGTACACTCGACTATTAATTTTCTGCTATCAAGATCACTTTCCGAGGTTCAGAATGGAGGGTTACTTGATTCGTGTGCCAGTAGAAGCATGCTTTCCAGACCCACGTCCTGCTTGGAGACAGATATCCGGCCCGGTTTACTCGCGTATGCTCTACTACATCGTCGAAGACGGCTACCTACGCGGCTACCAGTCACCGTGCGATCTCGATGAGCTCGTGGAATCGTTCCAGCTGACCAGCCATCGCATCGAGGTTAACGCCATGTACTCGCTCAATATCTTCGAGATAAAAGCACGAGCTGTCAAGCTGCCACCAACGCAACAAGTCGTAGAAGATACTTCGAGCTCGAGTTCAGACAGCGATGACGATGACGATAGAAACACCAAGCGCGTCGAACCGGCTAGATTATACAAGCCACAAGTCGCTCTCTCGTTGTCATCACAACCATTAAGTGGCAGCTATCACGTTGTGTTCTTCGCCCCCAACAAAGATCTGGTCAAGAAATGGTCGGTCAAGTTGTTGAACTGGAACCGTTATGTCTTTAGCTCCTGCAATGATCCAGACGAAGATGAACTCAACTTGTCTAAAGCCGAGATCATCGAAGCTCTGCGTGTTGTAAACGCCGCCGATCGATTTCTGAGACCAGTCCAGCTACGCACACTTGAAAGCGCCTCAGATAATGCTGTGAGCTCACCGCGTGCTGCTCAAGTCGGTATCATTTCAACACCGGTCGACAACGTGGCAGAACCAAGCAGTATAACAAATACTCGTACTCCGACCGAGACCTCCAATGCCGCTGAGTCTGAAGTAGTGAAACCCACCGCTGTTTCTGCACAACCGTCGAATGCGTGGTGGCTTGTCCCGTTAGGAAGATCCAAGAGGATTTCAGCGTACTCTTTAAGACGTTAGCACGAATCATTCAACCTGCAGCTTGTAATTGAACGCTCCCTTCAATGTCGTTCCCCTCAATAAAGTGGCAACTCACTCTTTGCGAGTATGTTCCTACAATCTTGAACTCCGTTAGTTGTCGTTCAGCCTCTCCATATTGAAGAACACTATCGCCTTGTTCTTCCATCGGGCCAATTGAATCCGTAGGAATCACGCGGTAGGTCATCTTCATTGAAATCTGTGCACTGAGAGGCACTTCTTCCTTTGAAACATTGATCTCAATCGGCTCCATTGAATGTGCGTCTGGACAGATGCAATACTTCTCATTGCCAAACAAAAGATGCAGAGCGTCGAGGATATCCCCACCACCGTGAGTACGTGAGCTGTAGATTATCACTTGACGTGCAAAACGTAGCGCAGTCATCTCTTTCACGTTCACTGACAGCGACGTTGCAGTGTCTCGTGCTTTCATCGAAGTTTCTCGTCTCTCTTCTGTGCATTTCAAAATTTCAAGTGTCAACGCGAGGATATTAGCTTCCAGCGAAGCCCCTGCGAGGACAAGACCGTTTATTTTCACGCAATCCCGCTGCAGATCTTTCAAGGCTTGACCGAGTGTCCACGACTTGTAGCGTTCAGCTCGCGCTGTTCCGCTGCGTCGGTCAATCTGCGAATACAGCGAATACAGCGGAATTATCAATGACTGCTGGTTATCAATACTCGTAGAGCATTGCGTCAATATCTCCGTCCATGTGGCCAATGGATTCGCAGCGATCTTGAGATCTTCAGACTCTGATTTCGCAGGTTCATTATTTAGTTCGCGCATTCGTGCGAATAACTTGCTCTGGCTCATTTCAGCAGATATCAACCTTACCCACAGCGTAGCTTCAGCTCCAGAACTTACGTCTAAAACGAGTCGCATCCTGCCATTTGCATCGAAAAACGCAAAGGCATTGCGATGCAGCTTTGTTGAGTCCTCTTCTTGGATGCTTTTCCTCACACTCCAGTCGGTCTCGGATAGATCAATCTGACTCAGTGGACTGTTGACTTTCAGTAGACGTTTGCTTGTGTCCGATATGCTGCCGTCGCGGTCACGTCCCAACTCAAACACGAAGTCCGCACAATGCGTTCGACTCGAGAAAAAGTAGAGCACGTGGTTGTCACACAGACAAGCATATTCCTTACGCTGCGATCTCCAAAATGCCCCCCACTCTGCACTGACGACCCAGCCTTCTTGAATAACAGTGACTCCTCCATCCTTGCCAGCAATATCCCATGATAACCTTCGAACCAAGCTCTCGTTATCATCTTCTGACAGGGAAGTGGCTGCACTTGAACCAAAATTTATGTACGTCAATGTAGTCACCATCGTCCTCACCAATGATAATATCTCGCACATGCTCAAGGTATGGCCACCCAGTATTGCATCACGAAGAAGAAACACCAGTCCTCGTACGTCCATGTGGACAAGATGGATGAGATTGATCAATTGCATTCCAGCTCCCAGGAGGACACGTTCCGTGTACTTACCAGTGTACTTGCGCTCTTTGGCATCACTTCTAAGCTTTTGAAATTGGGTAAACAGCAAGCGTTTTCCTCCAATCCGCGAGGTTAAACGTCTTCGTGCACGATGCCTTCGTAAACGCGATCGTATCACGTTGGAATGCTGGATTAAGTCCTTACATTTCACCACTGGGTGGTGTTTAAATCCTGTGGTTTCCGCACAGTCTTGGTTCGTTCTTTCCTCATCTCGAACGGCTCGGACTTGCTTCATCTGACACAACGGAATCAAAGTCGTCGAGGCTGGTCGAACTGCCCCCACTATGTTGTGAGGGGACGAGTTGATGATCGGTGATATCCTACGGGATTGCCGAAAGCTTAGCTCAGCAATCCACTCGGGAGTGTCAATACTAGCAATCTGAAACTCCAGAATGTCTAGCTCTTCGACTTGGTCGACTACAAGCGCCTGGGCTTTCAACTCTGTACGATAAAGAAGCAGATACACCTCTTAGTATTTGAACTTACAGACAGTTCACTCAGCGGCCATATTTACCTGATTCCACGCGAACAAGAGTCAGCGTTCCTCGGCTGAATCCTTTCGAGCGACAGCCTAAAGTCGTCTCAGTGGCTGGATCATTGTCACAATTGTTGTTACCATACGAATCGTAGCCACTTTCCCCATTTCGATCGATTCCATTAGTTTTCTGGAAGCTGGCGCGTTTTTCCAGCGTCTTCACTAGATCCGCTACCGTCATAGTCGCTGTACACTCCATTCGAACAAGCTCATCCGTCGGTAGAACCACCCTAGAACAAGACCACACGTGACACTAAGATCGACCCATTCCACTCCAGTATTCACTGCCAACACAGCGGAATCCCGTCCATTTAGGTAGCACTTACCTCACACACGTAGTCGCCTTCATCTTGGCCACTTTAACTTCAGATCTTGCTCCACAGGAAAGTCCGTTTCATTGACCAAACGCCGCTACATGCGACTCTCCGGGCTAATTCTAGTTTAGTCCTGGAAGACATGGATCAACTAACAAAATGAGACCCGCTCACCTTCATCTTATTGGGATTTTGTGCTAGTGTGGGATGTAGGCGTTCCCGAAGATATCGGGGCTTTCTCGAACGAGGTCCCATACCCATGGTTCGTCGTTTTTTGGGTTGTAGGTAGTCAATGGGAAGCTGTACGGCAGCGGTAGGAGCTCAGTTGGCTGAGTGTCGGACCCTGCAACGTCGGAATGTTCAGCCGCTTTACTCGCAATTGTCACAAGACGTGATGGAGTTCCATTTCTTTGACGTCCCAACAATGGAGGCAGGAACATGACACCGAGCTCGTACGACCTGATCATTAGCTGAGTCTTGTTCTTCTGGAGCGTACCCCACGCAGCTTTGCTCAAGTTTGAGCTGGTGACAATGGCCCAGGCCAGCTCTCCTGCTCCATCATCGCTCGGATTAAAGCGAGCATACGACTTGATGTGCGGCATGGCGTTTTGGCGGTGAAGCTCCGACGGGGGCTTCCACTTTCGAAGATACTTGTGCAAGAACGGCTTCATATTCTTCAATGGGCAAGGAATCGAACGCCCAGAGTTCCATCCCTCAAGAGAGTTTCTCTGTTATTACCAACAAAATCGAGTTAATAACAGAGGATTTATTCTGAATATGCAGAAGATAAACGTACTACATCCTCAACCGAGGGCCAAATTATGTGCAATGCTTGGATTGGCATGGATGTGGAGGATATAATCTTCTTCCCAGGCAAGAAGCTCTCTGCAAACTCTCCGAAGAGCCACTTCTCGTCAAGCGACCCTAAGCTAGAGAACTATGTAGACAACGCAAGACAGTGTGAGTTTTGATGGTTGCAATCTGGAAGACATCAATATAGTCACATACCTGGCAAATCAACGGGTTGTCTGTCGGAGGGATTTTGTACATTTTCAGTAGCCTGTTCATGCAACACAGAGTGTACGTTAATAAAATGCTATAGCTCTGATCTAATTCTTCAGAGTAGAGGACGAGCAACTTGCTTGCGTACGCGGAGATGCCCGTATTTCTCCATATCTATTCAATAGATACAAATTCTCAAATGTAAGCATAAGTAGACGAATGATAATACTGCTCAATGCCTCCTCTTCACCTTTTCCTTTGTGGACACCAGGGACCGACGGAACCAAAGCAACCCTTGCAGTTGAAAAGTCAAACCGTTTGAGTTCTGCGCAAAACAGCTTGACTGGAGCTCCCAGGGACGACAGATAATGGACCAGATCGACCTCAAAGTCACTAGAACTGCCAGAGACAGTCTCTTCCTCTTCGTCCTCACTGTCAGCAAGAACCTTTAGCCCAAAGTCCTGGTACCACAGTCCTTGTGTCTTGGAATTCCAGTCGTTGGACAAGAAATTGGCCGTGAAGATCGCCACTCGCACCTTTTCCGAATACAGCGCCACCAACATCTTAGTATGGTGGGTTCCGTACGGAATAGGCAGCGGCGGGACAACAGGCGTCACATTAGAGTATTCTCGGCATTCCTTCGTCATTCTGTAGCGGCAAAGTATCAATAATACGTTCATTAACTTCATCAACTGACACTTTAACGGTATATAGGCAACATCATACCCCTGTCGGTCTCTCTCTCCGTGCACCAGTAATACCGGCACTTCAGTCAGTCGAGGGCATTCGGCGAACAGCCATGGGAGATCGTACATGTAGTTGGTTAGCAGGCATCGGGAGAATTCTCCTTCCAACAGATCGCTCAGACTCTTTGCGTGCACTGGGAATGGCAGATAAATAGTGAATATTTGGAGAGGACATAGGCTGGAGAGGTTTACGCACGGTTGTGAGCGGATGGGGCAGTCTTCAGTCGATTTAAGTAAAAGCCCAGCTCAGACGGAGCTGTATTAGCGCCTGTACTCGTCGCAAGCTTCTGCCGCTTGAGTGCGCGGTTGTCGTCCGCCATTCCTCTAGAGGAAGTTACTACTTATAAAACTTATACTATACCTGCAACTTGCGAAGGGAAAAAGCCAATGCACACTTTTTCTAAACAAAGTACTTTCTTTTACTACCGGCCCTTCAAAACACCTACCGGTATTTAAAACGGTTCTTTTCAAAAAAAAGTTTTGAAAACGTTATAAAGCACTTTTTCTGAAAAAAGTTCTTGCTATGACTGCTCATAGCCACCACACCAAAATTTATCCGACTTCCGACGTTTCCGACGCTGTGTGTGGATTTGTATGCAATACAAAAGCAAGTATATTAACAGAAGAAAGTATGGTCATACAATTTTGTTGTAATTGCGTAAAAAGACGTAAAAAGGTAATTTCGTTATAAGAATGATTGGCTTTCACGTCAAGTCGAGGAGCCGAAACGAGTCAACGCGTGTCAGTGCCCGAGTGACCACCCAGGAGGGTGAATTGAGGGGGCCGTGCCGAACCCGGTGCGGCCAGCAGGGTTGTCGCCCGCCACGAAGAACTGTGGCGGGTTAATTCTCCCTCGGGCCTCCAAAGAGTATCCCTGTCTTGAGTTGTACTCACCTCCACCTCAGTAGCTCAGTGGTAGAGCCCCCGAAAGGGATGGTCGTTGGGTCCGATTCCCACCTGAGGTATTTTTTGTGATTGCTTTGCTGGGTGTGCTAGCAGTGTGTGTGTGGCAGGTCCCAAGTGAAGCGGCAGCGCCATGTTGACGTGTGGTGACACGAAGCCTTGAGTGGGTGAAGCTGTGTGTATGTGTATGTGTATGTGTATGTGCGTGTGTGTTTTGAAGCATCTATTGCGTGTTTGTTGGTACAAAAGCTGAGAGGTTCATGTGCGTGTCTTTTTTGTTTTTGAAAAGTGGTCAACGAATGGCTGTTTACCAACGTCCTTTTCACCTGTCCTACTCTAGGATTAAGCCTAGTTGTAAGAACCGTTTGAATATGTTCAGAACATTTTTTGACTTCATGTTTGTATCGAGATATACATATTTTGGCTGAGCTTCCGACAAATATATGTCGGAAAGCGTCGGAAGCTGTACACCTAGCCCTAAACAAAATCATTGGCTGAAACTCAAGAGAGACGAGATATGATAGGCTAATATTCACAATTGAGTAGCAACGGAGAAAACCTGTAGAACGTTCTGTCGGAAAGATCACTATAATTCATCCATAATAAAAAAAAGATCAAAACTGGGCCGAAACCAATGCGCACTTTTTGTATACAAAGTACTTTTTTTGGTGTCCAAACTTCTAAGTCAAGATTCTGTCTGAATGCAATATCATGTAATAACGTAAAAAAGTACTGAGTTAGGAAAAATGTCTAATTTCAGTACATTACTGTAAAATTTGAATAAAAAATCTTAAGTAGAAGCAAAAAAGTACTTTGAATCGATAATGTGCTCATAGCTTATGGCCCACTTTGATCTTTTCTTTTTTAGAATGGTGCTATGAGCGCTTTTTTCAGCAATAAACCACTTTATTCAATCGGAAAACACTTTCTTACGATGGAAAATACTTTCTTGTGATGGAAAATACTTTCTTGATAATTTCAAATTCCAAGTGAATAGATCGGAAATAATTGATTCTAGTTTTTCGGAAATGAGCTCACTCATATTTGGTCACCATATAAACTCTAAGTGTAGTGGTCCATCAAAAATAACCGATCCTCAAGAAAGCAAAACTCTCCTCCTTAAGCTGCAAACAAATTACTAATGTTGCTCTATTTATGTGGCAAACACCAAATCTATTTACTAAAAATACATGGATAGCCCAAAAAATCTAAAAAAAATAGTGTTTATCTAAATTGCATGATCTAGGATTTTCTAAATTCAATTTGGGTCCACCTTATTTTCGGTTTCACTACGAACTATGCAGTCAGGAGGAGATGTTGACCGCGCGCTAAGCAGCATCCGAGCGCGGGCCGACCACCTGCGCCACACGGTCGCGCGCCTAGAGCACAACTTGGCCTGGAACCCGGCCAGCACCTGGTAAGAACGTAGTACCATCTTCCTACAGCCCCAATGCTATTACCCACTGCTGATGCGTTGTATCCTTTTATTGGTACCAGGCCGGAACTACTGAGCCAGTACATGGTGATCTCCAAGCAGCTGGAGAACATGAATGAGGAAATTCCCGACCTGGTGCAGCACTTTGCATGTGTGCCGAGGATGTCGACGCCCAACCCAGCTGATATTCCATTGCTGCTGCGCACTCGCGAGGACCCGGAGATGGAGGAGGAAGAGCGGCAGCTCATGGCCGACAAGCCGCGTGGGAAGAACACAGAAGCGTTGCAGAAGCTTGTGATGGCGCATAACGATGCGGTCGAGAGTCTGGAAGAGACGTTTAATGAGATGTCGGATGGCCTGCTCAAAGCTATTCGAGTGAACAAGTACGTGGTCAAGTCCAAGCCGCAAAGTACGCAGACCCAGCAGTTCAAGTACATCGAGTCCGGCACGTACGAATAGATGGCGAAGTGCAAATGTAGACAGCGAGCCTTAATGTTACTTAGTTATATTCTAGTTGTACGGCTTACTCTTCGGAGGAGCGGATGGAGTCCAGCGCATCTCGCTTGGCACGAAGAGCAGCGAGGGCGCTTTCGGCGCTAATGTACGACGGTACCATCGATTCCATGTACCGCAAGCGATTCCACGACGGAAGGAACGGCAATCCCAGACAATGCATGTGCAAATGCGGCACTGAAGCAAACGGCGAGCGATGGAAGCCAAACCTACACAAAATTGTAGCATTAGCATTGAGCACAAGGATTGCAACGAAAGGAGCAATAACGGGGCTCTTGCTAATGTACCGGCAGCTCTCATTGTCCACGAAGCCGTCTTTGGCGAGAATCTCTTTTCCTGTCAGCAGCATGTGCTCAACTGCAAAGTCATAGCAACGGTTAGATGGACAAACAGTAGTGTTGACATAGATTTGCTGTATTTGTACATACGCAGATCGTAGTGCGTCGGTGTGAGGTCATCCACGGACGGAATGTGCTCGTGTGGGATCACCAGTATGTGCTTCTTGGCGCGCGGGTTATGGTCCAACATGGCAATGACCTTGGCATCCTGCAGCAGTGATAAAAGTCAACTTTCCGCACTCTCACTTCACACAACTCAAAAGCAATCGACTCCAGTAGCAACGCACCGCCTCCTACCTCGTATACGATGTGATTCCTCGTCCGAAGAGTCTCGCAGCAGAACGCGCAGGCACGGACACCCCACATACGTCGTTGGAAAAAAAAAATAGTCAGAATAGAGTCTGTCATCAGATGATACTCAGATTTCCGACTCAGACACAAGACCAATTACACATCCACCACCACAAAGATGCCAACTTCTGAGCTGCGTAAGTTGGAACGCTACGCTACCATCGCGGACGCCATTGCCGTGGTTGAGACCTTCGCGGAGCAGATACAGAAGCGCCGCGTTCGCGTCCAGCAACCAAAGCCATCCAACAAACAGACACCACTCGGTTTCTCTGAAGCCGACTCAACTACCCCCACCGAATCGATAGTTGACTCCTCCACGTCCGATGCTGTTCTACTGGAGTGCGAGAACGCGCCAGCCTGCAAGTGGTTCGTGCGTCTATCATTCGTCAAGGGCGAAAAGAAGTGGAAGATCTCCAGTATGAATACAGTCCACCACAAGACCAAATGCAGCGAGAGCAGACGTTCGAACACCTCGTCCATGGCGACGGATCAGTTGCTGGCCAGTGCCAACGCTAGCGCAGCGGCAGCGCTGGCTGATACTACTGTAGATGAAGCTGCTGCGGCTATGGATGCGCCTGTGGACATTGGAACGGTGTTCTCCAGCTGGAAGGAGGCCCTGGCTGCTATCCGATCTCTGGCACTTCAGATGGGACGTCGAGTGATGGCGGAGAAGGCAGAGCCGATGACTTGGTGTGGAAAACCCGTGATGGCTCGACGGATAGTGTGTCAAAACAATCGCAATTCTAACTGCGACTGGATGGTGATGCTGGACGAAGCGACTGATGAATCGGAGCGGTATACGGTACTCTCGATGGATTTATTACACTCGAAGGAGTGCCTGGAGACGTGCAACTTTACTGGAAAGAGGAATGAGGCCACACCGCCAACGACAAGAGGCGATCCTATTACAGATGCGCTAGGATTGACCGGTAGTGCGCTACCTGGGTCATCACTATTAGTAGACGATGTCTCGAAATATCAATTGACCCACGAGATGCGCTGGAGTACTGGAAAGGAGGCCACGAAGGCCATCGCCGACTTCGCTTTGGTGGTGCAGCGCAAGCGCGCCAAGCTTTGCAAGCGAAATAACGGCGGCAGCAACAAAAAGTACGTGTGCTCGGACGAACAATGTCTTTGGTTTGTGCGGCTTTCGAAAGGGTGGAAATCCAAGAGCTGGAAGATATCTGCCATGAATTTGAAACACTCGGATACCTGCACAGGAGTGGCAAAGCCCACAGCACGACAGCTTGCAGAACTGCGATTCTTTCGACAGGCCGTAACCACGCATTCTAAAACTTCAGGCACACTGCTGACCGACAATTTCTTGCTGAACTCGGACTCGGGGATTCGAATTCCACGCGGTATGGCTTATCGTGCACAAAAAATGGTGATTAATACGTCTACAGACGATCTTACCGAGAGCTACAAGTTTATTCCGAGCTTGATGGAGTCGTTTGTTACGAAGAATCCTGGCTCGATTGCCAACTACGAAAAAGATTCTCAGGGTCATTTTATTCGTGCCTTCATCATGCCGAATGCGTCCATGGCTGCACTTGGAAACCAGCAGCAAGTTTGTGGTATTCACGTACAGCACTACTCTACCGTAAGTTATCAGGGCTGCATGGCGCTGCTTGTTACGCGCGATGGTAGCTTACAATACCAAGTATTGGCGTTTGCATTGTTGCCGGCGAGCGACTTGGAGCATATGAAATGGTTTATCGCGTTGGCCAAGCGTGGTGGTGTTCGTTTCGACGGGAATCCCGTCTTCTGTTCGCATAGTGAGCACGGTCTCCTCCGTGCTTTAGCTGAGGAGGCACATCATGCGAAGATCATGTTCTGTGTTCGAAGTCTGCTGGAGAAAATGGCACGTGACAAGAATATTCCTGCTCTCGGGCCATTGGAAGAAAAAGTTTGGGAGCTACAGCGACAGGAAACCGAGGAGGCGTTCTTGAGAGTTTTTGGCGTTCTCGAAGGATTCAATACCGCGGCAGCAGCATTTCTGCGCTCTGTACATCCCAAGAACTGGGCGTATTATCCAAATCGGTCCATTAAGCTTTACGGCTGGGCTACGACGGGTGCTGAGGAGGCAGTAACAGGCTCTGATATTCAGCGCAGCGACGAGGCTCCATTTGACCTCATATACATGTTCTTAGCCTTCCTCATGGACGGCATTTACAAGAAAAGCCAAGTGGCATCGAAATTGGTACCGGTTGACGGCCAGAGGTCGATCCTGCTCACACCGGGAGCCGATACAGTTTATCGACAAGAACGTGAAGCTGCTACCGAGTACACTGTGCGTCGATGTGATGAACAAGTCGCCTTCGCTTGGTTAACGGGAGCACGTCCGAAGATCACTTACAGGATGGATTTTGCGCTGCGTACGTGTACTTGTGGGCAGATGTTCCAACTGGGTTGGCCATGTCGTCATTTTATTGCGGCGTCGATGCATTTTGCCAACGAGGCGGTGTTGCTGGATAGCTTCGACCCGATTTATAAGGCGACAGCGTACGTGGAGGCACATCGCAATCTTCGGATTGAAATTCCTGTTGCTGGGGATCTACACAAAGATCAATCGTTGTTACCAGCCACCCGACCACGCAGCACAAAGTACAAGAAGCGTCCGCGTAGTGGTGGTGGTAATAATGGTAATGTCGTCGATGAAACGTCCACAGCAATGATGAGTTCTGCGCCATCCGCCATATCTGTCAGTAACGAGGTCAGCTCGGCACCTCTAGCCAAGACTCCTCGTCTGGAATTTGACTCGGACGTCGTCAATAGTCTTGGGGAGATCGTGTGAAAATGTACTGTAGTAATTTGACGCTATCGGATAACTGTATGAATGCAAACAGATACACTGTGTCGTTTGGCAGGAATAAAATTGCTGATCTAGTACTTGTACAATGCACGTACTTACTTGTATGCCTCGTCGTCAGCCCCAGCTCTACTAAATGTACAAACAGTTAGCTGCGAAACCTATGTTGATAAGGGAGACACGCAAGTTGAAAGGATTGCATTAAAAGTTTTTCATCGGAGTGGCAAGAAGTCAATACAAAACGCAATTGTCAAGGCTGCCGAAAAGAAAAGAAGAAAAATCACTTGTCGTACATCTTGGCATTAAGAAAGGTCTGTGCCGTTTATTTGCTGACACTAGCCTTGCGCACAACCTTCTTGCCTCCTTCTGTAGCTTTGACTGCGTGGGCATTCTTGAGCTTGGTCTTCGTGTGCAGCAGCGACTTACGCTTCAGTGCCATCCGGTGCATGTGCAGCGAGTTCTTCGCTGGTCGTGCACGTACTAGCAGATCCTGACCCAGCGGTCTCAAACCCGAGCCTGAGGCTGCCGTGGCGGGAAGCACCCCTGCTAGAGAGATGCCGTAGTTCTTGGCCAGACAGAACTGTAGATCACGAGGCTCCAGAGTCGTAGATCGTCGGTGCTTGGCCAATTTTCCAGAGAAGTCCACCACATCCTGCACGAAGTCCGATGCCATGTCCAACAGCAATTCCTCCACGGCCGGATGGAAGCAGTACTTGGGATCGATGGAGCGCAGCAGCTCACCCAGCTGGCGGTTGGGCGTAAGCGCTTTGTGGGTCGTGCTGGCACTCGCGAACGAGTTGATTGGCGGTGCCATCGGCTCGTTGAGACCTGCTGAAGGCGACAAACCTGACGGCAGCGGTGTCTTCTTGTCGCTCGCCATTATTTTTGCGACTGACTGCAGCTTTCGTCCGAAACTAGCATGTGCTTCTTTTTGACCAATGGGATGACAATATCACTTCAACCTGTCCTGCTCGTCCAAAAGCACCTCGGCATGAATAAGATGAAGTCGCTATGTATGCATGACAATTGCATAGTTACTGTGAAGGCAGTTGCATAGTTACTGTGAAGGCAGCATACAGACGCACTGACCGCGTAATTGTTCTCGTGACTCGCAGACTGATGTAGGATGAGATACCCTACAGACCATCCAACCAGGCAGGCATGGGGGACGCATATTGCGTGGCCAATAATTGGCAGCACGCAATCGCAACTTGCACACTCCTACCGCTGCACCTATTGAAAATTGATGTGGCGAAGTTTGTGATCCTGGCATGGATTGCTACGCACGACAAAACCAGATACCACAGGCCACCCGCCTCTAGAATTATCTTGCTACTCCGCAAATGACCTCCGAGCAATCATTTCATCGCCGCTGTTGCGCAGTCTTCTGCAAGATACACGCAGCTTACAGGATATGGGGAACCTTGTCAGTGCGAGTTCGCGAATCATTCAGTGCTTCTTAGTGCCAGTGCGTCACCACGTGCTGGTCAGAGCGCCTTTGAAGTGGTTGGCCCAGACCGCATGGACCGCGCGTTCTTTCGGTGTTGATCGGTGGTCATAGACTGGGATCGTGAAGGTCGAGTCCACTGACGCGCATGCTGAAAGAACGATGTCGTCTGGAGCGTGCAGACCGACCGAAGCTCACCGTCGAGCCTCTGGTGTTTGGAGCGTCCACCCGCCGCATCTATGGTCGTTTAACGTGCGCTGATTGGTTGATCGCTTTTTCAGCTCACCTGCTGTGTGCACCACACCAAGGTAAACCTACTTCAGATTGCTGATTGGATCATAAATACAATCTATACGACAGGTAATTGGCTAAAAATGCTCCATGACGGCCATATCTTGGTGTAGCACCGCGAATGCGCGTCATCGAGTCGCGTCCGCTGAGCTGTTGCCAGCGTCACTTTGAACTTCGCCGGCTCAAGCGCAAGCGACACAAGATCCCTATCTCACGATGTTCCACCGTGCATTGAAGAGCTCCTCGCTGCTGATGCCCCGCGTAGCGGCGGCCGTGCCTGCTCAGCTGGCACGTGCATCCTCGATGGCTTTGCCCACGTCGCTTGAGCGTCTGTTCGAGAACAACAAGAAGTGGCGCGAGGGCAAGAAGCTGCTGGACCCGGACTACTTCGACAAGACGTCGCAGGGCCAGCACCCGCAGTATCTGTGGATCGGATGCTCGGACTCGCGTGTCCCCGCCGAGGAGATCACGGGTCTGGCGCCTGGTGAGATGTTCGTGCACCGTAATGTTGCCAACCTTGTGGTCAGCAACGACATCAGCTCGCTCTCGGTCGTGCAGTACGCTGTAGAGCACCTTAAGGTCAAGGACATCATCGTATGTGGCCACTACGGCTGCGGTGGCGTCCACGCCGCTGTGGAGAACAAGCACCTGGGTCTGCTAGACAACTGGCTACGCAACATCCGTGACGGTAAGATACGCATCCCGGTGGTACTGCGCTTGCTTTTGTCTAACGAGGGCTTTGATTAATTGCTGCAGTTGTTCGACTTCACAACGATGAGCTGCAGGAGATCGACGACCACGAGCAGCGCATGCGCCGTACGGTGGAGCTGAACACCATTGAACAGTGCATCAACGTGTTCAAGATCGGACTGGTGCAGCGCCACCAGGTCAAGTATGGCTTTCCGCGTATCCACGGCCTCGTGTACGATCTGAAGAACGGCCAGCTGAACGAGATGGACATCGACTTCCAGTCTTACGTGCGTAAGTACCAGTCTATTTACAAGTTGCACTCCTTCCCGCAAGGAGAGGTTCCTCTGCGCCGATCGCAACTACAGGGCAACATGATTAGATCTCTGGTTGAGGGCCACGAGGAGGAGCCAGGCCGTGTAAGCGCCAAGTTCGTCAAGCGAGCCATGTCCAAGGAGCCCATTCTCTTCAGCGAGACGGAGATCAACAGCGCCGTGGCCAGAGCACAGGAAGGAGAGGCCGACAACAACACGGTCGACATCGAGAAGCTCGCCCGATACTTCGACCACTAAGTATCTCAGTCCGAATGAACTTTTACAGTTTAGAGGACAGCCTCCTGCTGTCTTGTCCCCATCAATTCGCATATAACCACAAAAATATAGCCAAATGAACGACACTGTGAGAGCGCTTGCTTTACTTACTGTAGTTCCGGCGAAAGCCTATGCATGCGCATCAATACAGTGTCTTCGGTGCACTAACTTACTGTAGTTTCATAGCTCGCTTTCCTAATGTCTCCAAGCTGTTGGTTGAACCGAGGCACAAGACCTCACTGAAGCAGCTTAGTTGCACGAGCATCCATTGTTATTGCCGCCGCTTTTGGTGTTCTCGGTCAGCTTCAAGCACCACAAATACGTTAGATAGATTCGGTTGTGAAGCCAGTGTAGAGCTTACCTTGGTGCCTGTAGGTCTGCTGGATTCACCAACCATTTCACGAATCGTAATCAGTTCTGAGGCCATTGTAAGGAACGCCTCCTCCACATTTTGCGCGTTTTTGGCGCTTGTCTCGAGGAACGGGATCGATAAACTGTCTGCGAAGGCCTTCGCTGTCTCGTACGACACCGCCTTGTTGTCGCTGATGTCGCTCTTGTTGCCCACAAGGAGCTTGCATGTGCCTTCGCTGGCGTATCGGTTCACTTCATTCAGCCAGTCGTTTACATGATCGAAAGATTCCTGTCCGATAAAAAAAAATAAAGAGATATGAGAATCACACTCGTGTAATCTACACGTAGCCGACAACGATTAGATACCTGGCTCGTGACATCGTACACCATGATAATGCCGTCTGCACCACGATAATACGCACTTGTGATGGTGCGGAAACGCTCCTGCCCAGCCGTATCCCACTGCAATAATACAACGTAAGCCAAAATCCAGTTAACAACAGCCAAGAGAACAACAGTGGACAGCTCGCCACTAACAATTTGGAGCTTCACAGTCTTGTTGTCGATCTTCACTGTGCGAAATCTCTGTAGAGTGCACACGAGACTTCGTCAAACCGGTGTCATATAGAGCCAATATCCCCCCCTCAAATCACGTACAAAGTCCACTCCAATAGTGGTGATGTAGCTCTCAGTGAAAGCATCATCCTGTAGCGTATCAACAACATTAAACATCAGTCGATCCGCAATGCTATAGAGGTTTCTTGGCACCAAGAAAGCAGATAGAGCAACGGTGTATGCACCCACCGCAAAGCGCAACAGAAGGCAGGACTTGCCTACGCCCGAGTCGCCAATCAGCACGAGCTTGAATAGGTGGTCGCTGCATAATATTACCGACCGCATCATCGTTAGGATAAACGGCCTCAACGCTCGAGAAAAGTCGCAAAGAGATATAGAAGAAGAGAACGTACTAATCCCTCGACATGGTCGTTCTGTCTGGATGCAAGGCCTCACGCTACTGGACGTGAAGGAAGAGAGGATGCTCTTGATACTGCTGCTGATGCTGCTGGCGACGCGTCTGCTCTCACGTGGATGAAGAGAGACAAAGGAAAGAATGCTGCTGCTAGTGTCGCTTTAGTTGCTAGCTGGTCCCTCTAAAAATAGCCACCTTGAAGGAATCAGAAATTACAGGGGTGTATATCAGGCTGCTTACAAAAATCAAGTTTAAATCTAATCACACCATACTGACATAATTTAATGTGGACCACATGATCACCCAGTAGATCCAAGTAAGAAATCCAACGGGAAGGTAAAAATGGAAGGCGGAGAGGCTAGTGCCGTCGTCGCGCCCACGTTCAAGACGCGGCGCGGAAGCGGCGGAGCCATCTACGACAAGTACCTGAATATCAAGAACAATGTGTTGTCCACCGAGAACGGCGATGCTCCCACCAAGAAGAGCACGGAGATCTCCAACTCAACGGGTAATTCCTGTCGAAACTGTGTCAAATTGTTTTTTTTTTTCTAAAGCAAGATAATATTTTTAACTGATCTTTTCATGAAAAAAATGCGCTGCGTACACTGATGTTACGCATTGCAGATGAACAAGAACTCGAAGCTGGAGAAGTGGTCAGTACTGAAGAGAATGATGCTGCATGTGCCAACGGACCCTCGGGCCTCGGCGTGTCTACTGTTTCTGCTGATGGCAAGCGAGAGCCCGAGGTGGAGCCACAGGCACAGCCTCGGCCTCAGCAGGCATCGGCAGACACGCCGCAGCCCGAGGCGTCTGCCCCTGCTGTAGAAGATAATACCCCACTAACGGCTGTTGGCACTTCTTGTGCGTCTGCTGCTGCTTCTACTGTTGTTGCACCTGCTGCTTCTACTCCAACTCCTGTGGATGCTCTGACTAACGCTGTTGACGCACCGACTGCTGCTCCGATGTCACCTTCCGCTGCTGCGTTCGAACGTGCTCGTGAACCTGCACTATCGCCCCCTCCGTCACCATCTCGTTTGCCGCCGAATGAACAGTATGCAGCAATGCGAGTGGGCACACCAGTTAGGATGACCAACAACGGGCGTGATATGACGTCGCCGAGAAATGGAAATATGCGATCGCCGAGAATGGGAGGGCCAGGAGGACCTATGTCGCCGAGAAGAGGAGATATGCGATCGCCGAGAATGAGAGGGCCAGGAGGACCCATGTCGCCGAGAAGAGGAGATATGAGATCACCGAGAATGGGAGGACCAGGAGGACCCATGTCGCCGAGAAGAGGAGATATGAGATCACCGAGAATGGGAGGACCAGGAGGACCTCCGAGAGGACGTAGCCGAAGTCGTGATCGTAATGGAATGCCAGGTGATATGAATGGAGGTCGTCCTCGATCGCCGCCTCGTGGCCCGCCTGGAAATGGACACTTTGACGGACCTCCTCACAGAGACAATGGACCACACTTGAACGGAAGACCTGGTAGTCCTCCTCGTGATGGATTTGGTGGTAGACCTGGCAGCCCAGGCTTTAACGGCAGACCTCGCAGTCCGCCTCGTGGACGACCTGGTAGCCCAGACTTTAACGGCAGACCTCGTAGTCCGCCTCGTGGACGACCTGGCAGCCCAGGCTTTAACGGCAGACCTCGTAGTCCGCCTCGTGGACGACCTGGCAGTCCACCGCGTAATGGCTTTGGTGGTGGACGTGGTAGCCCCCGTCGCGACGGATTCAATGGCCCACCTGGTAATGGCCCTCGCAGCCCGCCGCGTAATGGATTTGGTGGTGGACGCGGTAGCCCCCGTCGCGACGGATTCAATGGCCCTCCTGGTAATGGTCCCCTCGGTAATGGCTCTCGCTCTCCACCCCGCGATGATTTCCGACGTGGTCCAATGAGTCCAGGGCGAGGTGGTCCACCAAGAGACTTTCGTGACGGCCCAGGCCCAGGACGAGGCAGTCCCCGCGGCGGAATGATGGGCGGCCGTGGCCCTGGTGGTCGTCGCAGCCGCAGTCGCAGTCCTCCGCGCAACGGCAATGTATTCGGGCCTGGACCTGACCAGCGACCGGGATCTGCTGGCCCACGTAGTCCACCGCGAGGGCCTGGACAAAGGAGCCCACCGCGGGGTGGTTTTGACGGTCGTGGCCCCGGCGGCCCACCTCCATTCGATGACAGAGGCAGAGGTCCCTTTCCAATGGGGCGTCCTCCGAGTCCTATGCGTGGCGGTGGCTTTGGACCTCGACCTGATGGGCCTCCAAACATGTTTCCTCCCCGCGGACGGAGTCGCAGTCCGAATCGCCCGCCTCCAGGTGGTGACATGATGCGCAAGAGAGACCGAAGCTGGGAACGCGGAGGTCCTCCGCCAGACATGATGAGGCGCCCATTTAACGGACCTGGGGGTCTGCCGGACAGTCCTCGCATGATGGAGCCTCGTCCCTATGACGTAAGTTTTGTGCGGTTAAGTTGTTTATCGTGTTGTTTGCCTAACTGATGATTGCTACAGACTCCAAGTGAATGGAACTTTGAATTAAAGCGCAGTGGCAAGGTCAAGTGTCGCTGCAGTGCTACGTCTCTCTCGGTTGGCTTAAACCGTCAATTGTACGTTCAGTGGTCATAGGAATTGCTTTGTAGTCGTTCCGGACCAGCAAGTCTCACGCATTTCTATCATGTCATGTAGACCGTTGTATCTGGACGTCGTGGCACTGCCTCACTTGAACAAGTCGGCCGAGTTCCTGCAGCTCGAGCGGCCGAACGTACGAAGGGTCGTGTATGAGCTCAAGCCCGAGTCGATGGCCGACTCGCGGGGCTACCGGGAGTTCGTGGACTACCTAATCCAAGGTCGCGGTGGCCATGCACGCGCTGGAGGAGCTGCAGAAATGGATCCACAGGGCTTCAAAGTGTTTATTCTGCCTCCTGGCCAAGCAGCACGTCAGCTTGGCTACAAGGGAGATCATATGATCGTCGTGCTGCGCTCGCGTTGACCAATCCAACGGCGTTGGCTGGCTGTTTCGTTCGCCCCCCCCCCCCCCCCCCCCTCATCTGACTGACAAGATGTGCGACTGGAGACTCGACTGATTTAAGCGCTAGCGTGTCTTGTCCAAGTTGATTGCATTGCATAGCCTGAGTTTTCGTCCATCTGTAGTTGTTTAAGCTAATTAACAAGGTGCCTGAAGTGTCCGCTTGCCTTGTTGAAGTTGTGTGATTGACACAAAACATGTACAGTAGAGCACTTCAACTGAAGTCTGTCTATGCAACTGCGTCACGTGGTCCACACCTTTGATGCTGAAGTTTTTGTAACGACCAGTTTGCAACTGAGGACGATGGCGCCGATGACGATGAGTGACGATGCATGCCGCGTGTGTGGCAAGGAGGACGACGAGGAGTTCCTGGTTCTGTGCGACGGCTGTGACCGCGCCTTCCACACCGCCTGCGTCCAAGGATGCACGTGCTGCAACACCAAGCCGCGCAACAACTTTGCGCGCAAGCCGGCGGTGCCTGAGGGCGATTGGTTTTGCAAGTTTTGTGCTGGTCGCATCCCTGCACTCGGTACGTGCTGCTGCTGCATCTTTTCGAAGACAAAGTGCTACTAATTTTGCTGAGTGGCTTCCTAACTGTTGTGGCTTAATATGTACTTTAGAGGAGGGAAAGAAGGCGGTGTCCTCCGTTTTCGTTTGGGGGGACAACGAGGATGGACAGGTATGTCATTGTTCCGGTGTTGGAGTCGACCAACAGCTACGTTGTTGTTGTCGGAGTGATGGTTGTTCTTGTATTTGACTGAGTATTGGGTGGTGATTGTGTAGTTGGCACTCCCGGATACGGAGGCCAAGGTGATCTGGAAGCCCACCAAAGTGCACGAGCTGGACGGTATTGGCGTCCTCGACATCGCCTGCGGTGAAACGTGCACGTACGCGCTTTGCAATGACGCGAATCTCTACTCGGTTGGAACGGGCCTTTCTGGCCAATTGGGACACCAAGATATCGTCCACGAGAAACTGGTTCACTTTCGCCTGGTGCGTTGCTGCTCTCAACGCTAGCTTTAGCTATCAGCATGATGATCCTGAGGGCGAGAATCGCTAACAAAAAACCTGTGCGTGTCCATAACGTATTATGCAGGTGGAATCCATGACGGAAGACAAGCGCTCCAAAGGCGAAGGACGGTACGAATTGACTAGGATTATTTGAAATGCAACCGATTAAGGACAGTTGGCTTGCTGCAGATTCTCGCAGATCCACGCTGGTTCCAACTTCGGCGTGGTTATTACGACCGAAGGACATGCCTACACGTGGGGCAACGGGGAGCATGGACAGCTAGGCCACCAGGAGAACAAGAATAAGAAAGTGCCTAAGAAGATTTCTGCGTTGAGGGAACTTGAAGTGCCTGTCAATCTGGGTATGCTTGCCATTGTTGCGTCTCGAAATTGCTTTGCTGTGGACTGACACATACACGAATGCATGTTTGGCCCTGGTCCTTAGCAACATGTGGAAGCGACTTTGTTATCATGACGACGAAAGACAACGGCGACGACGACCAGTTCAACACTAAAAAGCCGGGCGTTTTCATGAGCATGGGTTCCAACACCCAAGGACAGTTGGGCGATGCGTCTAACAAGAACCAGTGGGTCCCGCAGCTTCTCAACAACGACGCTCTGGATTTCACCAGCGTAAGATGGCGATACATTTGGTTGACCAAAACCAACGTAGTGTTCTCACCTGGATACATGTATGTGCTTGTATAGCCCGAAAACCAGGACATCGATGATCCTGCTGAATTTCTGCTTGGTCGCGACATCACGCAGCTAGCTGCTGGTAGATCTCACGCTGCCGCTGTCGTTGCTGGGTACGTTTGATATTTCCAGCATGAATTGGTAGACACAGTACAGGACTCTTACTTTACTTTTGAATTTGCTATGCTTCTCCAGAACCAAGGGTCTATGGACGTGGGGTTACGGCGATCGCGGTATGTCGTTAAGTTGAAATGTTTACCTCCTTGAAATGCTCATTCATGCGATTGTGTACGTCTGTTAATGCAGGTCAAATCGGACACCCCAAGCCAGCCCCGATTCCTGGTCAATCGAAGTTTTTCCGCTCTCAATTCCGCGTTCCTCGCCCTCGGTTTGTCCAGGTTTGTACATGCTAGCATGATGCTACAGCAGTGCCTCCTACTAATATCGTTCCTGTTTCAGACTTTCAAGAACGACGTGGTGAAGTTCGTCGCTTGCGGTGCCCAGCACACACTCGTGCTTCTGACTGATGGGCGCTTGTTTGCGATGGGCGACAACGAGTTTGGCCAGCTTGGCGTTAAACGTGGCGAGACGTCCGAAGAAAACCTTGTGGATACGCCCGTGCATGTCACCACGTTTGGCTCCGACAAGAGTATCAAGCAAATTGGCTGCGGTGACGACTTCTCGGTGGCTTTAACGTCGACCAGCGAGGTGTACTCTTGGGGTCGCAACCAGCTGGGCCAGCTTGGACTGGGAGACGCGCAGACCGAGCCACTTGACACACCAACGAAGGTGTCCGATCTCCCGCCCATTCAAAAGTTGGCTGTTGGTATCAACCAGGTCTTCGCCATTGAATTCACTGACGGTACGTTAGCTTGGATATGCTTGGAATGACTCAACATTTAATGCTTCTTGCCTTGTTCAGTGACGCTCCCGCCACCGATCGTCCGTGCTGCTGCCGGTAAGCGAGGCAGAGGTCGTGGTGCAGGCGCCAGCACCAAGAAAGCAAGAAAGTAATTGCTACATTGTCCACAAGGAGCGATAGCAAAGATAGTGTGTAGGAGCTGCTGACGCTTTGCAGCAACTTAATCTGCTTCAACTAGCCTTAAGTTGCGTTAGTTCGACTAAGTACGAAGTACGTTTTAGTTTTTGTTTTGGTCTCATTTAGATTCATCCGCCCTTGTTATCATAACGCTTCCCCTCTTATTCGTCGCTTGATGAACCCCCAGCATTACGCCACGTACAATCCGCAGCAGCATCAGCAGCAGTTCTATGCGGGGGCGGGGGCTTATGCAACGCAAAGCGGCGGCATGGGCGGTCAATCGCTTCACGCGTGGGTGCCGCCGTCCCCCCAGGAACAGCAGTTCTACGATATGCTTTTCGCCCACGTGGACGACCAGCGCCGCAACGCTATCAACGGACAACAGGCAGTCGCGTTCTTCGCACGCTCACACTTGGACAAGGCTATTTTACGCGAAGTCTGGAGCATCGCAGACTCTCAGCGGAGGAGCGAGTTATCACGCAACGAGTTCTACGTGGCAATGAGACTCATCAGTATGGCGCAACGAGGAGAGCAGGTGTCGGCGCAAAGATTCTTTCAATTGGCAACAATGCAATACCCGCTTCCAATGATGGAAGGAGTTCCTCCACCTCAACAGCAGCCAGTACAGCCTCAAGCTCAGATGCATGCTCCTCAACAGGACTTTGGCTCTGTGCATCAGCAACCCACGGGGTCGTACGCTCTTACCACAGATGAGAAGAGCAAGTATGATATTGTGTTTCAACAATACGACACGGATCGCGATGGATTTCTCATGGGAACCGAAGCGGTGGCACTGTTTCAGATGTCCGGCCTGGATCGCAATGTACGTATAGTTTACCTTGTTGCTTTGAAACTTGACAGTTATATTAACGTTAATATCTAGATGCTGCGAGATATTTGGTCGATGGCGGACGTGACCCAGGACAGCAAGTTGAGTGTTCAGGAGTTTTACGTGGCAATGCACTTGATCGTCTGCGTGAGCAAGCGCGGATTGCCCATGCCATCGACATTACCACGGGAGCTTAGCGAGACAGCGTTTGGCTCTGGCGGCTCTGCAGGTATGGCTGGACTTGGCAATCAGATGCCAGCACCTTCGACGCAAAATGGATTTCCAGTGCAGAAGCAGCAAGAGAGTGTACCGCCACCCAAGCCAGAAGGCATGTCTGCTTTCGACTCGCTCTCTACTGCCGAAGATGCTCCGCTGCCAAGTTTTGCGTCTTCTACACGTTCGTCGAGAACAAACTCTTTTAACCACGCCGACAGCAATGCAACGAACAGCCACGCAGGAGGTTTTGGTGAGCCTTCAGTTCCCACGCCTACTGGCAGTTTACAGGGATTTTCAGCTCCGGTTGCACAGGATTTTGGTAGTTTTTCTGCCCCACCAGTACCTAGCGCCACAAGCGGAAGAGACCGCACAAACTCGGCGTCGTCAATGAACTCAATGTCCAGCTTCAGTGGTATGACGCCGTTGCCACCTCATCCGCCGGCTCAACAGCTTCCTCAGCGTAATCTTGGTAGCAACGAGCGTATTCAAGTTCAAAATACTGGTTTCCAGACACCTCAGCAGACATATCCAGGATTCGGAGCTGAGAGCTTTGGGTCCTCGGCCGCTGTGCCGGAAAATCCATTTATGGGTGACGAGGAGGAGAAGAAGGTAGTGGGACAGCTTGACCAGCAGAACGAGCAAGTTGTTCAGGCTCTTGCAAGTGTAGAGCGCAAACAGATTGCCATTGAGATGATTTCCGAGAAGCTACGCGATCTGGATGAGCTGCGTCATGAGCTGGTGACTCTCGTCATGAAGAGGGAAGATCTGCGTTCTGCAACCAACACTACCTCTTCGTCAGGTGACAATGCTGCTGAAGAGCAAACCAGACTCGCTGTAGAGCGTAGTCTGCGAAGCTTAGTGGAGAATCAGAAGCAACTGATTCAGCAATTGCAGTATGATATCGCTAGACATGAAGGCGAGTTGGAAGAAGCCATCCTGAGCGCGAAGCTACAGCAGAAATTGTCGTTAGAGTCCCGATCCTCTTTGATCGATGCAGCGTCTCCACCAGTATCGACGCACGACTCAGATAGAGCTGCTGGTGGAACCAATACTTTCGTCCCCGCTCCGCTTTCTCTGGATGAACCGAATGTCTTGCCGTCTCCTGTGGCAGCTCCTAATGCCCCTTCCATCTCCGCGTTTTCACCGGATGCAACCGACAGCAGCGGCTTCAATGCATTTAGCAACTTCGACTCAGCGCCGCGATCGATTGCAAGTGTTACTCCAACATCGGTAGCTGAGGTTCCGTCGGGCTCACCATTTTCACCAACCCCGTCTCCGTCACAAAATGCGGCTGCAAACGATAGTTTTAACGCGTTTGGTGACTTTGCCGCCCCACCCTCCGCTGACGCAACGTCTCCATCAGCTGGTATGAGTGATGTTCCTGGAAAGTCTCCGTTCTCTCCGTCACCATCGCCTGCCGCTGCAAGCGATAGCGCTGGCTTTGACGCTTTTGGCGCGGCCGAAGCTCCTGCTCCTGTCTCCTCGCCTGCACCGGCCGAGGCTTCTCCGTTCTCTCCATTTTCTCCGTCCCCGTCGCCGGTTGCGGCAGACGATAATGGCTTTGGTGATTTCAATGCTGCTCAATCCTCTACGCCCGCGGCAACAGAAGCTCCCGGACACTCTCCGTTTTCGCCAACGCCGTCACCAGCCGCAGCGACGAGCACCAGCACGGACTTTAGTGCTTCGTTTGATACCCCGGCGAAGACGGATGGACCTGAAAGCGCTCCCTTCTCGTCGCCTGTCGCGACGGAAACTCCAGCGTTCGATGCATTTGCGACCGCGCCGCTCTCCAACGATAGCGCTGCTACCCCTGCCAGCACAACTGTTGCCACAGAGAATCTGATCTTCTCACCGGTTGCAGCAGACAACAGTGGATCGAACACGTTTGGTGACTTCGGTGCAGCGCCTGACAATACAGCGGCAGCATCCGAGTCAACGGCCAAGCAGAATTCATCTGAAAACTTGCTGTTCTCCCCACCTGCTGCGGCATCAACAGAGTCGACGATCAAACAGAATTCATCTGAAAACTTGCTGTTCTCCCCACCTGCTGCAGCTTCGACGAGTAGCGGTCTTGATGCATTCGATGACTATGCTGCTCCTGTGTCGAATGATAGCGCTACGCCCGCCCCTACACCGGACAAGACGACAGGAAACTCGCCGTTCTCTCCAATCGCTTCGGGCACTAACGACTTCAATGGCTTTGGCGACTTCAACGCAGCTCCGGCTTCAAATGATGCCACATCGTCTGCTCCTGACAAGCCCGCTGATACTTTGGATAACTCGCCGTTCTCACCCGTAGCCAAGAATGATTCCAGTTCCGGTTTTGAAGCGTTTGAAGATTTCAACGCTGCACCAGCCTCGACTGACAGCGCTGGAGCTTCTGACGCCCCGAAGGCGACCAATCCTAGCGGAAACTCGCCATTCTCGCCCGTAGCAACTGATAACAGTGGGTTTGGAGACTTCGGCGACTTCAACTCTGCTCCAGCCCCAACTGCAAGCTCTACGGAAACCAAGTCAGCAGAGGTGTCTGGTAACTCGCCATTTTCGCCTGTGTCCACAGACAACGGATTCGGAGATTTTGGTGATTTCAACGCTGCTCCGACATCTACAGACAACGCCAAACCCACAACAAGGAAGGAATCGACCGATAGCAACGCCTTCGAGACGTTCGGGGACTTCAGCGCTGCTCCATCGTCCACATCTGACGTGGGCAACTTCAACTAAACTTCACAAATAAAAATCATTTTTCACAATGAAAATTTACAATAGTCTTCTTTGGCCAATCACAGTGCGTTATTCAGTTGTTGAAGCGAAGCGTCGTCCGCACTCGATAGCGCCAGATACGACGCCATGGTGAGCGGCCCCGAGGCGCTACGTATCGCCATCCGCGATGGAATATTGGAAAGAAAGGTGCGTAGAGCTCCTCTTTATATCCACGCACAAGTCCGCCGTCATTTGTACCCCCTGGATGCCAAGATATCGCAAGAATACTTTATATTTACGTGAATTTGTGTTTTGTCTTGACAATTAGCGTCGTGCAGGCTACTGGACCAAGCGACAGTTTGTGTTGACACCCACACATCTAATGTACTTTGAAACAATGGAAGCTAAAGAGCCGGTCAATTCCTTTGCGACTATGGAGATCATGGCTGTCCAGAAGAGCATTAGTGACCCACAGCAGCGGATGTTTACGCTTGTGTTGTTCAAAAAGAAGAAAGAATACCGAGCCAGGAGCACAGAGGATAGAGATGCGTGGGTAGCAGCACTGGAGTCCGTATCTGGGATGAAGGGAACGGGGGTTGTTACTATACCAGCAAAGAAGGACGAGGTTTTGACTCGAGATGAGCCTCCAGTGGGCGATGACAGGGAGAAAGAGAGCAGAGGAGAAAGAGAGAGCGGCAGCAATATCCAGGACGTCAAAGACGTGGATCTACGAGCTCTATGCGAGCAGATGAAGAAATCTTTCTCGTGGCAGATTCAGATCAGCAAGTCCTTCTCGTCGAAAGATGTTGCCGAGTTTGTGAAAAAGACGCTCCCGCATTTGTCGACTGCGCAGATCCAGGAGGTTGGCCAAGGGTTTATCGACTTGAAGCTGATTATCCCGTTGAAATCGCACATTTTCGATGCCACGGACCCGGGGAGGTTTAAGTTTGTGGAGACTACAGCGCCGAAACAACCCAAAAACCACTTGAGTATGGGCGGACCATCAATTGCGAACCTCATGGGCAACCAGCAGTTTAATGCAAGGAAATATGCGGAAGATTTTCTGCGCAAACACTCGCAGCTGAAAATCGACTCCCACTGCAAAAAACTCGTAGCTCAGAAGGTCTGTTTATTCACGATTGGATTGGTATGGCTTGCACTTATTTTCATTCGATGTGTGTGGGTTGTTATTGTAGGAAAACACGATTGAAGATCTGAAAGAAGAAATTAGTGCGAACTACACGTCATTTATTCGCGCGGCGGACGAGATCAAAACTATGGAGAATAGTGTGTCGCAGTTGAAGGCGTTGGTGTTGGAATGTAGACGAACGATGCACACATTGAAAGGTGTTGCATTGGAGCCCCCACCCGGTAAGAAACAAGCAGTGGCTTTTGTACCAATTCTAGGATTTTAATTAATATTGTGTGGGTGCTTAGAAAAAGTTACGCAACTGGACTTCAAAGCGGTTGACAAGAAAGCAGAAGAACGAAAGCAGAGCATGGCGCTGGACGAGTTCATTCGCGATCTTGAGGTGTACCTTTACGAGAGAAACTACGAGCAGTTCACTCAACATATTCTCGAGTACAAGCGGAAAGAGACGCAAGGAATTGAGTCAGCTACTGAAGCTCAACAAGCAAAAGTAAGCTTTCACACTGCTGTTATCTTCCACACTCCTGTCATTTATTTCTAAAACTCATGTTCTTTTTCGTACAGATTGACGAGCTCCGACATTTGCTTGTTGAAAAGCTTGTCGACGAATTTAATGCTTCATTGCAGACATCCGAGCGCATGCACAAGAAGGAGAACCACCTTGAGTTCTTGATCCAGCTAGGAGAGACTCAACTGGCAACAGAAATGTGCTTACAGAATTATTCGGTTCGCATTGCGCTCCAACTACGACATGTACCATCTTACGGGAATGCTCTAAACTACGTTATCAATTTTTCCCGGACATTTTTCACCTCGCTTCTGGTGTGTTACGAGGACTTCGAGCACAGGTTTGAAATGCTTGCCAAATCTACAATTCTCTTAACGTTCTAACACTTTAATCGTGCTTCTTCGTAGTTTTCGTGGTCAAAAGAGCTCCCACTTCATATCCTTGACTGTGTGGATATCTTCCCAACTTGAACATTTTGCGAGTGAAGTCACCTACCACATTTTTCCGGACGATCCAAGTGCTTCTTCATCGCGAAGCTCGTCTACCGTATCAGGTCCTTCCTTGCCAGCAAGCTGTGTGGCGATCGACGTCTCGGAGTTCAAGAGTGTTGCAAAATACGTATCGAGTGCACTCCGATACGTATTTTATGGATCTCGGCAACTGGAATTGGCAGGATTACCCACCGCTCACTATTTGGCACCACACTTAGCTCGAGGGTTAGTGTCATTTTTCACGAGCTACTGCGTCGCGATTAAGAATACTGTAAGGGAGGAGATTAAGCGGGAGCGGTGGGAAATGACGTCGCGGATGATTCGCGATCCAGAGAACAAAGCGGAGCGTGAAATTGTCCTGACACAGAGTGCGCGGTCGTTTTACACGCTCGTGCAACAGTTTCTGCGAGATGTACAGCGCGTGATGAATCCGTCTTGCGCCACATCAAAGTAAGGACTGACAACTCTCCTGCAAACTTTATGATGATTAACTTTATGCTTGTGCAATATGACAGCCTTGCGGAGGTTCATGGGGTTGTTGTGTGGGAGGCCGATGAGCTGCTTGTCCACTACAGTTTTGAAGAGCTTCAATATTTAGAATCATCGAAGCTATCGTCTTCGTTGCGACCAAAGCACATTGTCGGCATTCTCACAAACGCCGCATATATTCAAGATGATTGTGCGGCGCGGTCAACAAATATCCTTCAGGAGTATTTGCCTAAGGTTGCGCTACAGAATAGAGAGGTGGAAGCGAAGGTACACAATTTGCTGTCTACAGGTGATAAGTCACTCACTATTAACTGCCTGCGGTATCTGCGTATACAGAACTCAAATTTATGGGAGAAACTCGCTGCGATAGGAGTGAAGCGCTGTGCTCAGTCACTGATGAAGATGTCATTTAGTTGGCAGGATATGGAGCTAGCGGACGAGACGCTCCCTGATGTTTCCAGCTCACCGGATTCTTCCACAACAAGCTCATTGTTTGCTGGTGTGGTAGCCAAGGAACTTGCAGACATCATGACGAACAACCAGCTCAACAAGGCAGTACGGAATGGTAGCCTTGCGTCCGATGGCAAGGACGTCGGGAAGCAAGTATCATTTGCTGGTATGGTGCTCGATGCGCTGTTTCGTGAAATGCTGGAAGATGAGCCATGGTGGCAAAACTTCAACGGCAAAGGTGGAGCAGGACGCAAACGACTGGGGTATGGCGGTGTGAACAGATTCTTGACTGAGATTTATGCTCTTCGAGACTTGATCCCAACGAGTAAAGGAGTGGAATTGACGAGCAAGATTGATACGAAGATGATGGAGATTTATCAGCAGCTATACCCTGGAAGGAAAGATGTCCGTGCTCCTGCCGAATGGACTCAAACCTACGCCAAACGATGCATCGCAGCAGCTTCACGATAAATAACGAATTAATAGGTATGATCAATTGGAAGATGCGAGGGTTCGTTCATTAGATTTACCAGAGCTAATTGAGCTTATATGACTGTTGTATTTGTAGAAATACAGCTACGCCGTAGCCTCATTGCCGGTAAAATAAGAGACCAGCGAGTTAACTTCCACGAAGGGGTTCTGAGGGTTCTTGGCCTGTATAGCCTTGATGGCCGTGTCCACTTCTTCCTCGGTGAAGAGTTCAGTCTCTCTCTTTAGCACGCGAGAGATGTAACGAGCACTAACGGTTCCTGGTTCCTCTTCGTGGTCTTCCACCAGGTTCAGGATCATGTTGCGCTGGAATTCCGGTCTGGTGGATGGGATCTTTCCATCTCGGAAGTTGTGCAGATTGAAGACGCCCATGTGCTTGGCGATGTAGCCGTGGTAGTCGACCTCCAGCTCCTTCAAGATACCCGAACGGATGTCGTACACCATGCCGTGAATACGAGGAGCTCCATAAAGACCCATGCGACGCTGCACCATGTTGATCTTGAAGATGTTGAGGCACTGCTCTTGAATGTTCAGCTCGACCAGGCGACGCTCACGCTCCTCGTCGGTCTTGTACCGACTCAGTTCATCCTTGTGCGTGCGACACACGTCTCGAATGTTACGCAGCCAGTTGTCCAGTAGTCCGATCTGCGCGTTTTTCAAGGCGGCCGTCACTCCACCGCAGCCGTAGTGGCCACACACGATAATGTCTTTGACTTTGAGCTTCTCGACGGAGAACTGCACCACCGACAGCGAGTTGATGTCGTTGCTCACTACAAGGTTTGCGACGTTGCGGTGCACAAACATCTCGCCGGGGTTGAGGCCGGTGATCTCCTCGGCTGGCACACGCGAGTCCGAGCATCCGATCCAAAGGTATCGAGGAGCCTGGGCCTTCGCCGTGCGCTCAAAGAACTCGGGGTCTTTCTGAAGCACCTGATCGCGCCATTTGCGGTTGTTCGCGAACAAACGTTGCAGCGAATTCGGGTCGTGATCGATGCAGCTACTGCTGTGATCATGTTTCAGAGCTCCACGGGCGTCTCCCATTGTAATCGTAGTTTCGGTTGAGATGGTTCTCTGCAGTAGGAAGAAGTTGGAATGAGCTCAACGCGGTTGCAACATGAACGGCCCCTCGCACCAACGACTGGTACGTTGACAATTGCACTATCTCATCCGTTTTTAACGGATCCCTTGCCAACGATACCTCGAGGTTTCACTTCGCAATTCGCCGATTGGTTATTGTGGGTTATGAGTTCACCTCAGCTCCTCTTCGGTGGATCTCTCTTCTCTGATGCAAAGCACTGGGTCGAGAATGGGAGATGAGGTGCTCTCATACGCTGACTACGGACGCGACGTCGTGCTCAATGGAAACTAACAACAACGTCGCAGCCTGTGTTCGTGGTGAACCACATAGGTGATCAAGAAGAACACCAAAGACGCGATGGACTTGATTACCCCTTGCGTGAACACAAAGAGCTACCTGGAAGATCCCCTTTAAAAGGGACTACGGCCTGGCGTTCAGGAACGTAAGATGACGACGAACTGAGGCAGGAAAGCGGAAGACGAACGACAGTTGAAAAGAACGAAGAGCAGCAATGCAACGAAGTACGAGGAACAACCGAAGGAAAAATTGTAGCAAGACAGACAAGGAATGATGCCTGACAGAGCATCTACCGTTGCCAGCACAGCAAAACACGAGCCAACTTTGGGGTAAACAGCTTGGAGAGAATCGAGGATACTTTGTCCTGGATGGAAAATTAACTTAGGACAACCGGAGGGGAAATGCAGCAAGGCAGACAAGGAGTGATGCGAGACAGAGCATTTACCGTCGCTAGCATAGCAGAAGCACGAACCAAATACGGGATAATCAGCTTGGAGATAACCAAGAAGACTTCGTCCTTTAGGACCAAAAAAAGAGGAAATAAAAACAACAACAAAAAAAATAAAAACGAGAAGCGATGTTCATGCATTTGAAACACCACTCCGTACTATTGATTTCGGGTTTCACTGAATAGCAATTTTAAAATGTTAAAGAGCAGGGGCAAGTAGTAGTTTCAGGTTACTCGGTCTCCTTGGGCTTCATGGGGGCGAAATACGCAATGAGGTGCTTGATGTTCATGAAAGAATTATTGGGATCGTCCATCTGCGCTTTGATCGTCTCGATGGCTTCGTCCACTTCTTCGGGCGAGAACAAATCCGACTCACGTTTGAGCATACGAGCCATGTAGCGAATGCGGACTATCCCTGGTTCTTTTTCAAGGCCGTCCGCTAGATCCAGAATTGCGTTACGACGTCGATGAGCCAAACCCATAGTAGGTTCCCCATCCGGGAAAGCGTGGAGACTGTCCTCGCCTATAAGTTTGGCGTAGTATCCAGAGTAGTCGACCTTGAGCTCTTTAAGTGCTCCGGTCTTGACGTCATACACGAGACCATGTATACCAGGCTCGTCGGGACGTCCGAGACGATGCTGCACCACGTTCGTCTTGAAAATGTTGAGGCATTGCTGCTTAACGTTGAGCTCCACCGTGCGACGGTAACGAGCCTCTTCGGTTGGAAGAGCATCGAGTTCTTCCTTGTGCTTGCGGTGTACATCACGAACGGAGCGCAGCCAAGTGTCCAAGATCCCGATGTGCTTGTTCTCCATTGCTGCCTTCACTCCACCGCAGCCGTAGTGACCGCATACAATGATGTCCTTCACCTTGAGTGATTCAACTGCATACTGCACGACCGAGAGAACGTTGATGTCGTTGGTCACCACGAGATTGGCCACATTGCGGTGGCAGAACATCTCGCCGGGGTCCAGTCCCGTGATTTCTTCAGCGGGGACTCGAGAGTCCGAACATCCGATCCAGAGGTAGGGAGGCTGCTGGCCATCTGCGGTGCGATCAAAGAGAGAGGAATCGCGCTTCATTAAGTCATCACGCCATTTCTTGTTGTTATCGAGCAAGTGCTGGATCGACTTTGACGAGTGGAAATGCCCCCCTCCTGTCCCTTTGCCCGATGCTGCGGTGGTGGAGCTCATCAGTCGTCGCTGAGGGATCCTGGCCGCTTGGATCTTGCTGATCGGTCGTCTCAAAACTAAGAATGATCTCAGCGAGACCCTCACGGGTACAAGCATTTGCGACAGATATCTTGGCGGCCTAATCATGCGTGCCGATGGCTAGGGGGATTGTACTGGAGCAGGATTTGAACCTAATACTAGGTTGAAGCTCCATGAATAAACCTTTGTGATAATACCGGTAATTCGAAGAAGGCACAAATAGTGATTTTTAGTAGACTTAAAGAAATAGATGCACAATATGCTTATTTTTTTAAAATGAACGAGCTTGACTGGCAAGGTTAGAAGCCAAAACCAACGTTGTACACCTGGTGCTTGTTTCGCTACGACCGGAGAGAGTCGACGATCGCAACAAAAGAGAATATGAGAAAAAAATGTTTGCTCATCCTCTTCTTCGTTTTTTAAGTTTAAAAAATGAATACTGCTTATGCTCCTATAGTTTGTAGCTTGCTAGCAATGTTGAGCATCATAACTGCTGAACTCTGGGATAATCAAACCAGTTCTTATATTCAATAAATTTGGTTAACTATGCTTTGTTTCGGTTAACCATTTGGCCATTTTTTTATTCAGTATTACTTTGTCGATGCTACTTGTCGCCTTATCCGATCGTGAGATTTTTTGTTCCGTTCAGCAAGTGTTTAATATCCAAAATGCTCATCGAAGCGAGAGCGTCTGTGGTAGTATACTCCATCATGCCCGCGGAGTTCTTGCCGCACTTACCGGGCTTGTTTTCATCAATTAAGATGACGCGACCATACGTTGTCTCGGCAAAAAGCAGCAAGTTTCTATCGAACAAACTCTTGTTATCGGTATTCGGCATCTCACCCACCGCGTCATTTGGCTCTATGTGATCTGCTTGTGTGCTGAAGTTTGCAGTAGCATCGGACACCGCGTACTTCGTACCAGCGCTTACCTTGGTCGCTTTCGTAGTCCCCGATTTATCGCTGTGTAGTAGTAGTCCCATCGCTACCGCTTTTCGCATTGGAAAATGAAATTCCACTGGTGGGGTTGCAAACCCATTGCCATGAAGAAGATAATCTGCCATCAATGTCACGTGTCCACTTGGTCCTGACTGGTACAATTGCTGTAAGATACACCCAAACGGACAGCTCGTAATGGCCACATCATCCTTCAGGAGCTTGCTATTAAATGGGTCAATACCGAGAGAGTCAAGGACCGTACCGAGGTCCCACCCTACAAAGACGTAACGTTTCTGGATCAAGTGTAGCAGTCTGTTATTAGCCACACGTTTGAACGGTGTTGCCAACATGACAATACCGAAGAAACCCCCTCCAAGCATCATGAGCGAGAGCAGCACAACGAAATCAATCATGATCTCGCTGTTCCAAAAATTCTCTAGAGATGGTGCACCACCAAAGATTCCACGACTGGAATTCGGGGCGTTTACCATGAAGGATGTTCCACCGCGAACCTTGAGAAGCACATAGAGCAGGAAGCAAAGCATCAGACTGTAGACCTTATAGCTTAGAAACAGTGTACTTGAGTCGATATACCATTCGAGTACGTGCTGATGATGAGGACGTATCATCTTCATGGCTTTCAATGACCGAGCTCCAAGCTTGAGAAGAAGTCGAACTACCGTGTGGAGAAAGCACATGAGCCACGTCATACGCGTAATAGCTGAAGCCATGAAAATGAAGTTGTCCATGGTGATATGCATCGACAGCATCCATTGTCCAATTTCATAGACACTATAAGTCATCCGAACGCTAACCAGAGCGTCTAATATACTCAGCAGCATATACAGCCAGTGGTTAATCCACACATCGGACGCCATGATGACTTTGCCTTTGAATCGAATGATCGAGTTTTCATCGTCCGACGTCCAGACAGACAAATTCATGAATGGAAAAATGTACTTGAAATATCGTCGAACTCCACCAAAGCGTAGCTTTACAGGCACGTAATTTACAATACGTAGTTTGGCCAAAGTGTTAAACACACCTCGCGCGACGAGAAGCAACGTGACAATGCCATAGGAGTACGTAACGATAAGAGTGAACCACCCAGTGTTGTCGAGAGCCACTTTAACTTCTGCTTGCTGGTCCAACGGTTCTGTCTGGAACAGACCATAATTCGTTTCGAAGTCGATAATTCTCGGTACAGCAAGACATTTACTGCTTTCAAACTGGATGTGGTAGCTTCCACCCGCCCAAAAAGCCTGGTGTACCATCAAATCCGTGATGTACATGAACGATGCTGGCGGTCGACCAGTGCAACGTAAGAACGGCATGCCAGGCCGACCGAAGTCTCCCGGAACACCATTTTGAATCGCTCGTTTCTTACTGAGATCGTCAAAGTTGTCGAGAATGTAGCGGTGGCAGTCATCGGTCGAGTTGTTATTAGTAAAAAGACACTCGGTGAACCACTCGGGATTGAAGTTGATGACGTCGCATCTTGGAGCAGAGATACTGTGGAAAAAGTACTGGGAACGTCGAGCTCCTTTGCCCCAGAAATCATCGAAATACACTTCAGCGTGGGTCACGTTGATTGAGTTAACGCGCATACATGTGCTTCTGTCCTCTCCGAGATTGTCAGGACTGCGAGTTGGAGCCGAAAAGAAGCGAAAGCTCTCGCCCACTCGCGTTAAATTGGTCAGCGTGTCTACGTTTAGGAAGTCGTCTCGAACGAGGTTGTAGTTGATACGTCGCTCCATCAAACGAGCTCGCATTTCATCGTAGCGGCCCGTTACCAGGACGATCAACGGGTTTTCACGCAGACCTGCCATCAACGTGAGGGCTGTCGATGCGAGGTTAACGACCAACACGAGAGCTTTCCGGAGAGGAAGCCCGTGGAACTCATTCCCCATGACTCAGTTTAAGAGCGTCCGAGTGTTGACTTCTTTCTTGTCGAACTCGAAATGAACGGGCAACAGAGTGAAAACGGTTAGAAGAAAGCTATATGCAGCCTATGCTCGAGATAACGATCCCTGACTCAAGCTTCGTTCAGTTAAGGTTACCTAGATCATGAGGAAGGACTCGCTCATCCCGGTTAAACTGGGAGACCTGTTCACAGCTCAAAATAATGCATCTGATGAGAGCGAAGCTGCTGTCTCGATGAGATGCTACGAATCGTTCATCATATTTCCTCAAAATTCCAATTGATGTGATGCTAAGTACAGTCCCATGATGGTGCAGTCTTCATCTCACAGACCGCAGTAGACATCCGAAACATTCTGCAAATATAAATGAAGCAATGCACGATCATCTGGATCGCTGTTGTTGCTCCACATGACATTTAACATCATACCGAACGATGGAAGGTCATCAAGTCTTCACATAAAATCGGGTTTCCTAAATGGTTTCGTAAAATGCCACGTAAGCTTCAGCTCTCTCTAAGTATGCCCACAGATACTTTTGAGTTAGTTAACATGACAGACATTCGTTGAAGCGATGGCCGGTACCATTGTCAGCGAACATTTACTGAGAAAGAAATACGCACTTTCCACTATAACGCCAGCGTAGCTTTTGGCACGCGAAATCTACTAGAGAAAGTCACTCACCAACTCCACGATGCAGGCGGACACCTGCTCACGTTTGACGTTGATCGTTCGGCAGGTGGCGAATACGCTTTCGACTGTGTGCTGCTTCGCTTCGAAGAAGCATCGTGAGCGCGATAAACTCAAGACCCTCAGAGGATCCAGATCGACTCGAGACAGTGCAGCAGAACTTCGTTGGGGTGTTTCCACGGCTGAAGATGAAGACGACGACGGGCCTGGGAGCGATGACGAAGACGTCCTCACGTCTCTCGGAGCGTCGTATCGAGCGTGGCGTGTGTATCATCGAGAGAAACGCGCACACGACTACACCAAGAGCAGATTGGTGGTCGCTATCAGGCGCGAAGCTGGGCTTGTGAAGCTACTAGCGCGTACAGGTGGAACTGCTGAAGGCATCGAGTACACGCTGATGAGACTGGAAGATCTGGAGGCCACTATGATGCGCCTGGAGGAGAAATACAATGCTGCAGTTGATGAACAAGTATTGTGTGAAGATCTTGCTCTGGAGCGTGAGAACTTGCAAGCACAACGTCAGTTGCACAGTGATCGTCTCCACAAAGCAAATGCAGCAATTTTACATTGGAAATCGCAGTATGAAGAAGTACTATCGCAGCTGACGTCGAGTAACTTGGAAAAGGAACGACTAGGTGGAGAACTCCGCAAGGTGAAAAAGGCTGCGGTGTTGGCGATGAACCGACAGTTCGTCCAACTTGACGCGAATGTAGTCTCTCAGTCGTTGCTGCGCACTGCTCGACACCACGAGAAAGAAAGCAAAAAGAGGTCATTTAGCAGCGATGAGATATGCTGAGCTGCTACTGTTGAGTGTGGGTGGTAATTTGCTACCGCCAGTTCCATCATTCCCAGTAAACTTGACGCGAAGCCACGTCCTTTTCCAGGTATACAGCGCTCCACAACGCTTCGCAGCATTATACAAGGCGGCTTCCAACGTTTATCGACGCTTGAAGTTTAATCGCATAGTCCAAGCCCATATTTTATCAACAGATCCTTTACCCACTCAAGCAAATGCGGATATAAGTAATAACCTAGTTTTCTCAAGACTCCAACGTCTGCAGCAATGCGTTCGCCGTAAGCTGCTCATCACCACCGCAGGATTCATACATAACTTCCACAAGATCTCGAGAGAACCCCATCGCGACAAGCTACACCAAAAAAATATCAGACAAAAAAAACAAAATTAGCAAAAAAAAAAAAACACACACACACACAAAGTCATCAACGAAATTGCTCGTACCCGATCAACTGCGTTCTTGGAATCAGTGACACCCATACCCACGTTAGGATCATCAACGTCAATGACATCTTCGCTAAACGGCTCCATCTCTGTTCTCATCGCCGGAGCAGGCAGAGAAAGCAACCGCAACGTCGCAACAGGGTTCTCGTTGAGCTGATTCAACATCTCCGACGAGAAATTCTCCTTCAGTAACAACAACGCTTGGAACGAGTCCATCGCTGCCAATTCTCGTAGCTTCGTCTCATTTTTATCATACAATAGACTCCTCAGTGGAGCGATCGACGGATTTTGAGGCACCACACCGGTCTTCTCCTCGTCAGCTAGTCCATTCTTACTTGATTCTTTGCGTAGTTTTCCTTCTGCAAGCAATGCAGCAGCGTCCGAGAGATTATTGTCGCACTGTCGCAAGGCCTGAGTTGCCAATTCCGTCGAGAATCCCATATCCACCAGCTGAGACCGTAGCAACTCAAAAGTGGCGGAATCTATTTGACTTGTGTGCATTGCACTGCTAGAGTTCGTATCGATACCAGACTGCGGGGAATCGGGTGCGAATACGAAGAAGTCCGACGGTCGCAATGCGTTCAGATCCACGACGTCTGGATCGGCCAGAATCTGTCCTCGAAGCAGCACGAAACAGTCTTCGAGAAGGTCCGAAATCTGTGGATTGGACATCGTTCCAGAGGCCTCACTGCGATAGAGTTGCTGTCGTTGCTGGAGGATCAATTGCTTCAGCTCTGCTACCTGGATACTGTATTCGGCGGCTCCATTGCGCTCTATAAGCAACTCGCGGCCGTCGTCAGCACACCGCACGCGCAGCACCAACATCCGTCGCTTTGTAATTTGTGATGTGGTGCACACCAAGATATGACTCATCTGAACCGTTTTCTGACTTTTTTGGATGTACAATAGGCGAATGCCATGACCATGGCATGCTCTCTGCATATTAACGGAGGCAAAGAGCTTGAACCACTAGGGTACCTTTGCTACGTTGCTGTGTTTTGCAATCGTAAAGCTGATGTACATTGCTGCGACGAGTCTTGCTGTCCAAACTGTAGAATGCGTTTTGTACCCATCTGTGCGAATAAGACGCAGAGTGGGAGCCGCGGGTGCCACGGATGTGCAACTTGTCCAGCTCAAAGTACGTGGCAACAAGGTCCATCGCTTTCTTATATTAAACTGTAGATTCAAGGTAACAAGACTGGAGGTGGCATGTTCATTAGCACCTGTTGCACTACCTTTATTTCGGTATGACGCGGTGATGGCTGGACTGGTGGACTTGCTTTGGCGACCCTGGTTTGGCTGACTTGCCTTGGCCGAGCTGTGTGGTCTGTAAAGCTTGGACAGTCGTAAATGCAGCACTGGCAGTCTTGTCCGTAACGACATGGCTTGGTGTATCCCCGTCGAAATACCTTGCTGTGCCGTGTATCACATCCTTGACGTCGTAGAGTTCGATGGAACTCGGCGACAAGGCAATGTAAAGTGACAAGCAAGCAAAACAAAACTCTAACTAACCGCTGGGGGATGGACGAAACGAATGCTGTCAATTACTCAAAGAGCTGTCGGACCGGAGGCGGGGGCAGTAGGCATTCAGCGGGCACAGCACGATGGATAGACGGCACGATCAGCGCGAAGGTGCGCGCGAGAATCCTGCCGGGCGTCACTCTGGCCATGCACTTCTGCATGAACTCGTCGTACTGCATGTATTGGAGCCGCTCTTGTAAGTGTCCATACTGAATGAGCGAGTTGGGTGCCAGCAGCACATGATCGCACCGTCCTCCGCCGAGCTGGGCGAGGTAGCTGATGATGTCGCTCATGACGGACTTGGGCGATACACTGCCTCGCGGCTGGGAGAACCATTGCGGGTGACCATCCGCCTCTGCGTTTGCCGCCTGCACGAATTCCTCAAGCGCTTCGTTGTCCCAGCTGAAGAGGATGGCCGGATTACGATCCGTCACGGTGATGCCGGCCAGGTACGCCTCAATCTTGGACGTTAACTCCGCGTCGGCCAGCGAGAAACTCTCGAAGTCGGGGCCTGAAGGACTTCCGTTTCCTGTAATTAATACGTAATTAGCAACTCGGTACAGCTACAGCACAGTGGTGCAAAGAGTAAAGCGTACCAATGGGCTGCATGGCTTCTGTTTGTTGTGTTGTGATGCGTGGTTGTGGTAGTGAAGAGCTGTAGATCTCACTTGGTCGTACGTCCGAAAAAGCGATAATGAGCTTTGGTCGGGATGGCGCTGATGGAAGAATGATGCAGAAGGCCGCGCTCCACCGGCGCCAACGGGGTGAGGTTCCGGACAGGTGGAGCCGCGGTGTGGCAGACCGGAGCACACGTCACACGATTCAGCATGGCAGGGTTCAGCAACAATCCGGTGTTTTGAGTGCTGCAACTGAACAAAAACCACGAAATGTTGGCCGACAATAAGGTGGAGTCGCGCGTGACGCACCGAGCGTTAGTTCATTCGGTATCTTCCAGAAAAATGAGCCGTATCCGATAGGTTAGCGAGAAATGGTCGGTTGGGCGGACCAACCCGACCTCGTCAACGAATATTCAGTGTACCACGAGGTTGGTGGAGAACTCTGTCAGTCAGCTTTATGTTACGCGAGACTGCGACTCGTTTGACAAACGAGTGTGCTTGACAGCGAGATACCGCGACCGAGCCAGTGCTGGTTGAGGAAATGGACAGCGGCGTGCTGGACGCAAGACACTCGTCGAGGCGACAGCGGGTGCTGTGCGGAGGAAGCGCTTCCCGACGAGGAAACAGGCGGTGGCGTCTCCACCACCTGCGTCCTTGTCGCTGGCGAGAAGTTCATTATTGGCTTTACAGCTGAAGTGTCTTCAATGAAGACAAGTGTACACCGAGATCTGTAGCCACATGACTGTATCTGTTCCAGCAACAAACTCTGTAAGTGCACGGGCGTTGCCTGGTCGCGCTGCTTAGGCAACAGTTGAAGCTTTTGGGGTCAGCATAACATGCCACGGGTGGGATTGTTGTCCTCGGGTCATGGACCCGTTCATTTAAGGCACGCTGCCATCGTTGTGCGATGCCTCAGGACGATTTTTTAAGTGATCGAGACCTGCGGGGGGCTTTTGAACGGAACGCTGTGGCCTCATCCAGCCAAATTGTTACTGAAGGAAGTATCTTTGCTGTAACTACTTCAACTAGCGCGTGTTGCACATGATGCTGGAAAACCGGCATCAAATATGTTAAGTGTACGCAGTCGGTGGCAAATGAAGTATACGCAGCACTGAAGACTCGAGCAAACTCTCTGTAAACAACCAAAAAGTTACCCCACATCAAAATGATGCAAAGTGCAGAAGCGACGAGCCTTTGGACAGGCATGCTCAATAAATGCCTGCGATCGCTGGACTTATCGGCCACCACACTGCGGCGTCAATGATGAGCTGCTTGAACTCTGCGCCTTGTCGTGGTAACATTATGGATAGTAACCATAATGGTACCACGACCAATCTGTTCCGTAGTGAAATGGAGTCTGTCCAATGCTCCTGCAGCGGAGGTACTGCTTCAAGTGCGGGCACTGAATTTGGAACAAAGATTCGCCTCAAGCCCTGTGCAATGCCCAAACCAAATGTGTCATCGAGACGATGCACCTCAAAGTTTAAAAGTTGAGGATAGATTGTCGATACGGATTGCCAATCGATTCCAGCTACCAATTCGAAGGCATCTATGGCTTTCCTAGATTACGGACAATTGTGGAAAACTTGTCGAAGAAATGTCCTCTGCGCTGACTTGGGCCAGTTCGAGGGTGCCAATGCTGGCTACTACCGATGCATGCGTTGCTGACTTGGTAGCATGTAAGTGAACCAATACACGCCTCCATTGGCTGGGACATCTCGTCGCTACACAAATGCCTTCTCTGCAGGGCCAGCCCAGCGAGGGAAAGATCGATCGCTTTGCTGAACTTAACATGTAAGTTAGCTCGAGGTCGGCTGGATACCTCTGCCTCTACGGATGCAATATAATTCTGTAGAGCTAACACATTGAAAAGCTGATAAAGTAAAGAGAAACTCTGCCATTTGTATTGACCTGAACACAGTGGCCACTTCATCGGCGCAGATGACCAAACCTTACGTGTGTACAGCAGTGCCAGGATGTTATTAGAGCCGCATCGACGATACGGAAACGAGGTGCTGCACTCGACCAGAACTATTGATGGGTAGCCGTAGAGAGCGAGTTGAATGGTCTAGTAGCAAAGAGCATGGCATGAATCTTGCGCAAGTCCGTCGATCAGGTTGTCAACAGCACTGTCCGACATACAAACGAGAAGTGTCCACCACCGTCTCGATGCCTATGACTCACGGACTCACTTTGGAAACAAGCGAGAGTAGCTTTCGAGGAAGGTGGTTGCTTTGACCACGCGCAATGCTTCTAATCTCCAGAGCACTGCTGGGGCGGCTTTCACATCACCGCGAATTTTGCAACAATAGAGTGAAAGCCTTTCATATATAAAATATAGCTTTCACTGAAAGCTATATTTCTTTGATCCCAGATCCTTTCGTTGTATCCCGCCCAATCTCACCAGTGCCGAGTCGGTTGGAGTCGCCAGGAATTGAAGCGAACGGATGTAACTTCAGTGGTGAAGACGTCCCGTAATGCTGCAGCATGAATGAGCCACACATTTCAGCATTACAGCGACCCCATCGCTGAAGTTATTTGGCCGCAAAATTGCTCGTGGCGCACAAACGCGCACACAATCGGTTTGATGACGAGTTGCAGTGCATAAGGATAGAAGTAGACTGTAACTACGTCGAAGTAACGCATTTGAACATGTGGAGCGCCTGATTGGGATCTGCGTGTTGAGCTGAGCTGTTTTACACCGTTAACCTCAACAGCAACGTGAAAACAAAATGGCTCTCATGCTGCTAAAAGGGCCACACCATCTCGCTACGGAGTGACGGCAAGCGATCCGCTTTACTGCCTTACTCTGTTGGAAGTCCAATTTTTATGGCGAAAATCATTGTTCTCATTTGTGGAGATTGCAAATTGCTACAGCTTAGTCGTAGTCCACACAACGCATGAAAGGGCATAACGGACACTATCTTCACGTGACTCGTTTGACAGAAGAAGATTGAGATCTTTGGCCTGTTAACATGCCTAGGTTGCTGGAACGGGGCCAGAAATCTGCATTGCGACGCCTTCCAGAGGAAGCAATGCTGCATGTGGAAAGGGAGCTTGCACTAGGCTCGATGTAGCTGATTTATGTGTTGTTGCTGAAAACATTCCCAATCGCATTGACCAAGATCGCATCGCCATACCAATGGTTATGGCGATGCGACACCAACGAATGATTTTCCACAGTGGCTTTTGCAACGCGTGTCGCTATGGTGACGTACATGTAAATCTTTGAAGGCCAAGCGTTGCGGTACCATCGGCAAGATATACATGTAGTATTGGTAGTGCTAGTAGCACTGCTATTGCGCAAGTAGCGCATTTGCCGCCTCAATCTTGACGCGTCGAGATTGAGAGAGAGTCCACAGTCGTGCTGCGCTTGGCTGCGAACCTACATACAGTAAACGAGCAGCTAGCTGGTCCACTAGCAGCTGCATCTCTCGAAGATTTACCCCAAAGCAGCAACCTTAGTTCTGGCCATTTCGAATTGCATTCGGTTTCAGTATGCGTTTCAAATTCACACTCCGTCTCAGTTGCCAAAAGCGCACGCGCCCTTTCGGTGGTTTTTCGCACTTAACGCGTGGTCCACCTTGAAGCCAAAGATTGGCAAAGCCTGGCCAAGTTTCAAATCCCAGCCTGTGGAAAAACGGGGTTCGTCTCTCTGTGTCACAGCATACCCCTCCAAGCCGATTTTCCATAGATTTTCTGTTTCTGTAAACTTGCTTCTTCCTATTCCCTGTCTAACCCGCTTCATTTGTAAATTCCTTTCGCACATTTACGCTGCATATTCCAGCATGGCTCTGAGAGCATCACAGTCCCACCCAACCCTCGAATCCGTGCATGATGCAGCACTGCTGCCGGCAGCTCAGTGGAGTTCACTCTTGAATCGGCGCTGTGGTGATCACATTCACTCTTCACTACCAATCTACACACACTCATGACCGAGAACGTCGTGCTGAAGCTGAGTTTTTCCGGCGAAACGCACCGTGTGACGGTGCCGCTGCGCGCCGAGGACCCCAAGAAAGACCTGAGCTACGAGCTGGTGCTGGCCAAGGTGCGCGAGACGTTCCCGAGGCTCTCGAACCAGCGCTGGACGCTAGTCTACCGTGACGACGAAGGTGACGTGGTCACTCTCTCACACGCACTCGAGTTCGACGAGGCTTGCCACGTACTGCTGGGGATGAACCCCGAAGACGTTGACAAGCTCCACACCTTGCACTTCTGCGTGCTACAGCGCGTCTCGTTCCGCGAGAAGGTGGTCGCACCTGTGCTGCAGAAGATCGTCGAGCTTGCTCGCCTGGCGCGTGAAGCCACTGCCCACCTACGCAATAGCGAACTGTTGGAAAAGGGCCGCGAGTCGTTCGTTCGGCTCGCTGGCGGCGCCGTAACCCAGGCTGGGGTGGCCATTAACCACATCCGCAAGAGCGAGGTGCTGGGTCGTGGACGCGAGTCGCTGGGCAACTCAGCGGCGCATACACGAACGTTACTGCTGTCCGCTCGCAGCGGGGTAAGCACCCGACTACGGCGAGCTGGCTCAGCCGTTGCGGCTGGCATCGAACGTCGACGATCGTCCAGCGGTTCAGTGAACGACTTTGATCCAACGGACTTTGTCAAGTCTCAACCTGTCGCTGTTTCCTCACCGCCATCATCGGAAGTGGCGGTGACGGTGGATCTGCGCCAATCCTTTTCATCTCAGACGCCGCAGACAGAAACTAACGTTGAGGAGAGCGATGAGGAGCCTCCTGCCCTCGTTCCGGTCGATACAATTGAGGCTCAACTTGAGCCACACGTGCGTGAAACGGCCTACGAGTCGGACGCCGACACTTTATGTGATGACGACGACGACGGTGAATGGGACATCGTCGACACTTCTGCAACTGCTGAAGCCATTGAGGAGACCGATAGCGAGTGGACCCGTGAGCTCGATACGATCCGGGACATCCTTGTGCATCTGGACGAAGAGATGTGCTGTGAGCTGCTGAGCCATTACAATGGTGACGTCGAGGCAGTTCTTGTGGAACTCACCAACAAGTAAAAGATTAGTTGTCCTCCCTAGTAATTAGCAAAATATAATTGTGTTCTATCCTTCGTCAGTGTGTTTTACTATTATTTGTTGCCTTATCATCGACTTGGTACTGGTCTCGTGCCTGGAGCTATTGACCGTCCAGGCATCATAGCGCTCATACTCATTGTGGCTTGCATTCCATTGCCGTGGCCAGGTCCACTACTTGCTGTCGATGCCTTTGCTTGGCCTAAAGCAACACTGCGGCAACGTGACGCAAAGTTGAGGGAGCACAGCGTCTCCCATGCATTCCATTGCACTGGGCTCACGTTCACAAACATGAGCACCTTCGAGTTGCCACTCAGCGAGTCTTGCAGCAAGAACGTGAGCTTGGAGTTTCGATACGGCACGTGTTTACTGTTGGCACCAAGGGCAGCAATCACGTCTCCCAAGGCGGATAGTGAACGATTGATATTCTGCGCTTCTTTCAGTCGCTGTCCACTGGCTGCCGTCTTACTTACACGCTCAGATCCGGCCAAGTCGATTAAGTGAAGCTTTGAGATTCGTCGTCGAGCATCAGACTTCGTACCAGTCTCGATTGTAATAGACAACACGAGATGAGAGCGACTCGAGTGCTCATTGAAGTCGTGCGAGCCGACACTGCGATGCGAGTGACCCAACCGCATAAGGTCGAGCACGTCGCCCTCATTAAACACCTCCACTTCAATCAGGTTTTCAACATACACACCGTGCTTCCCAACGCGTACATCCAGACCCTTTACGACGCCTGGCGTTGCTGCACCGGGTGTACGACCACCTCCTTCGAGCAGATCCACGATAGTCTCGTTATATACCTCCAGAATACTTAACTTCATAGAGCACTCGAAGTTCCCGGCAGCCATTCGATCGTCTCGGATGGAGAAAAGCTCACGGAGTGCTCGGAAATTGACGCCGCGGTCATGTTCTGGTCCCTCCATCGTGTGGGTTTTACCTGATCCGGTCTGACCATACGCAAAAATGCAAACATTAAAGCCATCTAATGCACTCACTACCAGAGCGCGAGTCTGTTCGAAGACTTGTTCTTGGGTGCTCTCTGGTTGAAACACATGATCGAACTCGAACGCGTGCTTTTGGCCGACCTGGCTGGCCTTGTCCCCAGCTTCACTGCCGACGAAGAGATCGAGGCTTTCATGATCGTTATCGCGAAAGAAGACGGCTAAAGCGGATTGCTCGCTCTTCATCTCCACCGGTTGAACAGGACGTACTCGACAGAAAACGCGGATATTGCCTTGCAACTCCATTAGTCTGTTATGAAGCTTCCGTCGAGCCATCATCTCTTGTGTGTACAACTCAGCTACACGTGCCTTCTCCTCGTTAGCTTGACGTACAATCTCAGCGCTCTGCAGGAAAGAAGGTGTTAGTGAATAGTACAGTGATCAAGCCAATACGCTACAACTTACGGCTTGTTGAGCTTCGTTGTAGGCTTCCATGCGTTCTTTCTGGATAGTCTGCGCTACTGATGAAAGCTTTGACTCGGCGATCTCCAGCGCTTGCTTTAGCGATACCAGTTCGTCGTCACGCACCTTTATCGTACTCTGCTGCGTCTTGAGTTCTCGCTCCATGGCCCGGAATTCACGTTTTAATGTACGCTGCTGGTCTTCCAGATCGCTAATTTGCGCGGTGCTAGTGATCTTGGACTCTTCAAGCTGCTTGCCCAACACTGCCTTTTCCGCCGTTATGGATGCCAAACTGACCTTCACAGTCTCAAGTTCCTTCCGACGTGCTTCTGCTTCAGCTGCCGAAACATTAAGCTGATTTTGGAGATCCTGTTCAAGTGTCTCTTGTGCCGAAATTTGACTCGTTTTAAGCTGAACAATTTCTTGCTCTAAAGAGGCAACTCGCGCTCGCTCAGCTTCCAGCTCTTTCTCCTTGTCGGCAAGTTGGTCACTGATAACCTTGATCGTTGCCGTAGCCGTCGCAGCCGCTATGATTTTCTCGTTCTCTTTCTGCTCGCTCTCGCGCTTCCTTGATAGATCTTCCTGTAATTGTCGAATAGTAGCTTGTGCAGCCTCGAACTTCCTGGTCATTCCGGCTTGATGTTTTGTAGCTTGTTCGAGCTGGTGCTCAAGTTGGGCCTTTGCGTTCTGCTCACTTAAAAGCTGACTGTGTAGACTCTCGACACCCTCAGTCTCTCCAAGCTGCTGTACCTGTAACTCCTTCAGTTTTGCCTCAGCAAGTGCTAGCTCTTGCGTGAGTGCTTGCTGAGCTTCCAACAGCTCTTCGTGGGCTTTAGTATTCCCTTCCATCCCGGTTCGTGCCAACGATAACTCACTCTTAAGCGTCTGGTTCGCCAGTATAACTTGCTCACGTTCTTTCATACTCTCCTCCATCTGCTGCTTGAGATTGGTCAATTCTCCAGCGAGCTCATTAACTCTACTCCTCTCAGCTTCCAACGCTCCATCATGACCAGCAAGTTGTCGTTTAAACTCATTAATTTCCGTCTTCATGCTCGTGATAGCCTTGTCATCTTTAGCTTTTTGCTCCTCCATCTCCTGCAACTTGTTAACAAGTTGGCTGTTTCCTTGAGAAGTACCATTTTGCTGTACATTTGACGACACAGACGTGCTCACTGTGTCTGCAGCAGAGTAACTCACTTCTTCTCGTGACGAGTACACTTGCGTTTGAGGAACTTTATATGACGCCTCATATCCTTGATAATAACCTTGCGTTTGCCGTCGATCCCAGCCTTGTTGCGCTTGCGCCGCATAGTGATGATCCTGCTCGTTCTCCTGCCACGCCGTTCCAGATTGATATCCACCTGTATCATAATATCCCGCTGGATGAGGGTCTCGGAAGGCGTGAGTTTTGCCTTGTAGCAATTGTTTCTGCTTTAAATCTCTGAAAAGTTGCCGGAAATGATCGTCGCTTGGGTGATCCCATCGACTCTCGCCCGAGATTTCGTTGTAGTAGTACGGCTGCCCTGTTTCCGTTGCTGTAACATGGTACCAGCCATCAGGTAATGGAGCAACTAGCGACTGTCTTGCAATCCAGAGAAACTCAGCGTCATGTTTAGGATCAATCCCCAGTCTTCGTGAATGTTCCTCTACTGCAGCTTGGAAAAGCGCAGGATCTGACGCTTCCATCATTGCTGACTCATCCGTCAGGGGCAAAGACTCATAAGCGACTGCACTGCCGTTGCCTGCGTGCCAAGAGGCAGCTGTACGAGGCAATGCAGCTTGAATATTGTCTCCATTGGATACTCGACTGGTACTTGGAGCCACGTACTCGTCTTCATGTCGAGATCGCGACGATCTGGACGACGGCATACTACGATGGCCCTCGTTGAAGTCTCCGCCTTGAAAAGCCAAGTCCACTAGCGGCACCTGACGTCCCGAGTAGATGACGGACGACCCACGTGGCGAAGGCTGCGTTATTCGAGGCAGGTGATGCTCTTCTGCCATGGTGACACAGTACTAGAGTGGAGGGACGCATTCGCGCCGCTTCAAGGGAAATTCAAAGGAAACCAACAAATTTTGTTTACCGAATTCAAAATATTAACGATACGTTGTTGCCACTCATGGGTTAATTTCTCGGGTCTTAGAACAAGCGCGTGGCCCTGATGAAGTCGGCGTAAATGACGTAGCAGATAGCGACGATGAGCACAAAAATGGTCGTGTACAGCACAATTGTGTTAGTGATGATCCGGCGCGTCATGCGCTGCAGGATCCGCCGTGCTTCGGTTGTCATGGCACCCGTCTCACGAACCTGTGTAGATAGTAAGGTTAGTGAGCAATAACTACGTCGTACGTAACAAGTGCGTGGGAGCAGACCTTTTCATGGGCTCCAAGGAGACTCTCACGCTGGCTGGCCAGCGTGTCCAGTACAGCAATCCCGACTTCTTCAGTCTCGGCAACGATTCGATGCGTGTCCTCAAGCTTCTTTGAAGATCTGTACAGCATCAAGTAGCAACGTTAGCGGCAAAAGTAGCCACTGAGGTAGTAGCGATGAATAGCGTACTTGGTTAGCCGATCGTTGTTCTTAATCAAGCGTTCATACTGTGAAGTCTATTGCAAGTTGAATTGGTTAGATGCCTACAGTCATGCGGACTCTGATGAGTCAGTTCATCAACGCACCTGGTTGGCAGTGCTGGACGTAGCCTTTCCCTCTCTTGCCATCAGCTGCGCCCGCTCCAGGTCGCGAATAAGCCCTTGGAGCTCATCTCGATACATATTAACCTACAGCAAGCAACCATCGCCTTATCTCAATATCTCGCTTCGTTATCCACATGAAACAGCAAGATACCTTCGCTTGCATGGCCTTCCGCAGCATAGGTTGCCTGCCTCGCACTTCCACCGTCATAAGTTTCATCTGTACGCAATCAATGACATCGAAAAGCAGACCAACAGTCGTTAGTCCACTCATGGCACAATTTCTCGCCAAACCCATACGTTGTGGCCACCTACACAACGCTGAGCTTCCACAACGCGAGCCTGAGCAATCTGCGAGGCATTCGAGACCGTGCCGGCTGCAGACAGAAGCAAACAAGAACGAAGATTGTGCAAGGTTAACAAAGCGTCGCCGTGTCTTTCTAGGGAAGAACCAACTGCGCGGCACACGTTGCCGCTATCTCACCTCCTCCACGCAAGATGTCGCTGATGCTGTTGTTGATGGCCATCTTGCTGTCGACGAAGTCCGCCTCCAGCGACAGGAACTCGGCAGGGAACTCGGGCACCATTTCGATGCGGGATCAGATTTTCTGTGGGGCTAATGCCAATTTTGAGATAGAAAGTAACGAAGAAATTTACAAACATTTTTTTTTAAAAAATCTGGTCTGGTAAGCAAACTTTTACAATATGAAATAAATTTCAGTGAAATATATTTATTTTTCGGCTTCAACCTTTGGTATCATTCTTCGCCATACATCGCTGCAGCGGAGCGATGCGGTGGCCTTTGGAGCCCGAGTCCACGAAGGCGGAGGACCAGCTGGTGTGAGCCACCGCTAGCAAGTGGTGGAAGCGCTTTCTGCAGCTCTAACGACGGTCGTGTGTTATCTTTGCAGGTCTGGTTCGCACTCTACCTGGTGATCTACCTGGCCTTCTACTTCTTCACCAGCCCGTTTGTAGGCAACCGTGAGTTGCTAAACTCATGGACGCCCTACGTCTACTTCTCCATGGTGCTCTACGCGTGGCTTTTCTCCGCCGCTGCACTTCACACTCCCGTGCATGCGCTAGGCCTACTGGACTCCACCATTAAGCAACCGGTGCGCCAACGTGCGCCTCTTGATGAAGTCGTTATTAAACTCACTGTATATAATGTTGTGGACAGATATCGCTGTTGTTTCCGTTCTTCTCGGCTAGTTTCGTCTTCTTGATCGTACTCGAGGTGCTCATGGCTCTCTTCCTCTCGCGTGTCACCAAGAAACTCGGCTTCTCGTGGACGGTGGCACACGTCTCGTAAGTCCACAAGCACTCTGTGAGTTGTGCATTCATTATTTATTGCCATCTAATTACGCATTATTGCGCATCTGCAGCTTGGCCCGGTCTTTTATGAATGTGCTTCGCAATAGTGCTGCGATCAGCGTCGCTTGTGTGGCGCTTATCGTGCACTGCGATGCTACGTACGACTGCGCTGCGTCACCGGATGAGCCGACCACATATAACAGCCATGCATGTGCTCAAATTTTCTCTTTCGTCCAGTCTGATGACGTCGAAACTCTAGTCCCTGCCAGGTACAGTCAAATGTGAACTTCTTACTACTCTTATGCGAAGACTAACCCGTTTGTTTCATGTGTAAATCCATAGTTATGGTGGTGCGATCTTGATCTGGTGTATGGGGATGTTCCTTGCTATCACCAACTTTTTCCTGGAGCGCTTTAGCGGAATCCGCATGATTGCGTCCTTCGGATGGTTCTCCAACCAAATTGAAGATGACGAGATGGACGAGCTGTCGGAGGGGGAGAATGGCAATGAACTCTTGCCACCTGAGCAGAACCTACCCATGGTGCCTTGGTATTCCATGCTGCTGTTCGATACGGTATTTGACCTCCTTATCTCACTCAAGATCTTTCTGGGCCGGTTCGATATGCGCACGATGCAACGTGCACTGCATCCGAAAGACGAGGACTACTGCTTTGACCATCTTGCTGAAAAAGATGAGGTGTGGCTCGACTTTATGGCCGACTGCGGTGATGGCTTTAATAGCAGCTACCAGATCGCACGCTTGCTCGCTCAACCACAGTTAGAAGTGGATTGCCCAGTGCCAGACGACAAATCTTACGGTGAAGACACACTTGATCAAGAGCAAGCGAAGACAACCAAGACGAAGACTATCAAGCGAGTGTTCCCTCGAGGTGACGCTCTTGTGATAGGTGGAGATCTCGCGTATCCGCATCCAGCCGACACTACGTACGAAACTCGACTGTTCCGATGCTTCGAGTACGCCATGAAGCCGCCACCGTCGTACCATCCATCAGCCATTTCCACGCAGAAGAAAGCCCCTGATGGCTGCTCGTCGCTGCGTGAATACGAAGGCCCCAGCGTTTTTGCGATCCCTGGTAACCACGATTGGTTTGACGGTCTAAACACATTCACACGATACATTTGCCAACGAGACTGGCTCGGGGGATGGCTGCTTCCGCAGAAAACAAGCTACTTCAGTCTTAAACTCCCTCATGGCTGGTGGCTGTTTGGCGTCGATTTAGCTCTGGAGAATGACGTGGATACAGAACAGTTCGGCTTCTTTGAGCGAGTAGTGAAGACTCAGATGGGACCAAACGATGCAGTAATTGTGCTCACACACGAACCGCGATGGCTACTGGATGTCTACGAAGACAAGTCAAACGTTGACGTCAAACTTTCGTATTTGATCGAGAATGTGCTCAAGGGTCGAGTTGCTGTGCGACTTGCAGGGGATATTCACAACTACATGCGGCATTCGCTGGTAGAGGAGACGCACATGCTCAAGCGTCCATCGTCCATGCATTTTGATACTCCACGGCAGAAAATGTCGACGGCGAATTTGCCTCGTAGGCACTCGTTTTCGTCTCCTGTTCACAAGCATTTCCCGCACATGAAACAACATGAAGATCTCTCAAATGAAGAGCAAAAATCCAGGAATGCCGAGCTTCAGCCAGATCCTCCTGCTGGGCATGAACGTTCTGCTGAACACTTGATTATCTCGGGTGGTGGGGGTGCTTTCTTGCATCCAACTCACATACCCAGCTCGAACTTGGCGTCGAACGGTGGGACTTATGAGCAAAAGCTGTGTTACCCACCGGCACATATCTCCAGGTACGCTACTGTGTGATATCAGCTTGATATGGAAGTGTCACTGACCTTGATACGGCTTGTTGGTATATCGTAGGCGCTACGCGGTGCTGAATGTGTTCGGCTTTCGTCGCCTTAACTGGCGCTTCGACGCTATCGGCGGAGTTGGGGTACGTTGACCAAGAGCGAATGCTCCTACGCTCGACGTTGCTTGGGTTCTGACTGATCATTGTTTTGTTCGAGAACAGTATTTTGCGCTAGTGTTTTCCATGTTTCCGCGCTGCTCGGTTACGTCCATCTACGCCCAAGCAACGCGTTGGGACGCAGCAGCACAGTTTTACCAGGAGCTCGTGCACGTGCTGTATGACATGGTGACGACTTCGTATGTGTCGCTTACGTGTTCCATTGTTATGCTCGTGGGGACGATCGGTTTTGCGGACTGCACGACACTGCCCAAGAGATGTGCTCTGGGTTTGGCTGTGGCGTTCTTCCACTACGTCGCTGCCTTCACTATTCTGCTGGTTTACGAGTGTCTCCTTGAAGTGGCTTCAGTCCGTGGCGCTCTTGGTCGCGAGGGCGAGCACACGCTATACCTGTTTTTCAGCAGCACACTTCCAGACTTTTCTGCAGTCCGGAAGTATGATATCTTCGGTCTATCCTCGCTATATGGAGACTTCATGCGGCTTTGCATGACCATCTTTGACGGTAAGCAGTGCACTAGATCAGTGTTATATAACAACTGACAATGTATCTGTTTGTTATGTTGCAGTGCCGGAGGTGGTGGCGCTACACCGCAACAAGATCTGTGGGTCTGGATTCGAAAGCCTTGGACGCACGGAGCTGTGGACCTACTACGCCAGCGTGTTCCCGTACTTCTGGGTGTTGGCCACGCCTGTGGTTAGCTTCGTCTTCGGCACGTACCTGTACCTATCGCTCAATATCTTGGGATATCACTACAACGAGGCCTTCTCCTCGCTGCGCATCGCAAGCTACAAGAACTTCCTGCGACTGCACTTTGACAAGGAAGGTCGACTCGAAATATTCGCCTTTGGTGTGGACAAGATGCCGCGGCGATGGTGCAGGTGCGAGCAAGTGATCTTTTTCGACGCATGAGCTCTCCGACCACTGACTAATTGTGTACTTTCTCGCAGAGACCCGAAATGGAGCGGAGGCAACGGGCCGCGAGCTTCACTCGAGCGCAACTTGCCATCGTTCAAATGGACGCGCCCGAGCTACTGGAAGCCGCTGGTAACCAAGGTGGATAACATGTTGCGCCTAGACTTCGAGAATCCGTCGCTGGACGCCAAATTCAACACGTCCGACCGCTCCAACGTGCATCTCATCGATCGCGTGCTGATCCGCAAGCCAGCGTCCTAGGCACTTCAACTTGCCTTCGTACATGGCTACAGGCCTCTAAAAAGCTACAATCATTCCAATATAAACCTCGAATAAATCATACAAACATCAAGAGGTGTTTTCTTCTCCATATAAGGTTTTTCCCGTTAAACCTCGATGCCCGCATTGGTAACTGCTTTTCACTTGACCTCAGTATGCTCGTTGGTTGGTGGACGTCGCACTGCGCGCGCACTTCAGTATCCTCCGTCATTCGCGAATTGGTGGTCTTGACCCCATCGCAAACACTCTGCAATGGTGAAACGCAAGAAGCATGACAAGGACAAATACTACAACCTGGCCAGGCAGCAGGGCTACCGTGCGCGATCCGCCTTCAAGCTTATCCAGTTAAACAAGAAGTATGACTTCCTGTCTACGGCCAAGGTGTGCATCGATCTATGTGCCGCCCCCGGTGGTTGGTGCCAAGTCGCGGCTAAGTACATGCCCGCATCCAGTATCATCCTGGGTATCGATCTGCTGCCCATCCGCCCCATTCGAGGTGTCAAGACGTTCCAGTGTGATATCACGACGACCCGGTGTCGCCAAATCATTAAACAGGAGATGCAGAGCTGGCAGGCAGACGTAGTTCTATGTGATGGTGCTCCTAACGTCGGTGCCGAGTACTCCAAGGATGCGTACGTGCAGAATGAACTGGCTCTGGTCGCCCTGAAGTTGGCAGTGGACGTCATGGGCCGCGGAGGTACCTTTGTGTCTAAGGTTTTCCGTTCGCAGGACTACAACGCGCTGCTGTGGGTATTCAAGCAGCTGTTCAAGAAAGTGAGCGCAACCAAGCCTCTTTCGTCGCGTAACGAGTCTGCCGAGATCTTTGTTGTGTGCGAGCAGTTCCTCGCTCCGCACTCGATCGACCCGAAGCTCTTCGACCCCAAGTACGTCTTCGACCAGGTAGATGCACAGGAAAAGACAATTACTATCTTCCACCCCAAGTTCGGAGACCGCAAGCGCCACCGTGAAGGTATGTTAACTGTTTATTTGTATGTTTCTGCATGTCGGCTGCATTCTCTAGAGTCTCTAGTGGCCTGTCCCCATTGGTCCCTAGCGCTACTTGTAGCCAAAAGCAATATCAAGCGTTACCAGTGCGTGCACATGCTGCCTACCTTCTTTCGGGAAGGAACGTAGCTCTTTGCTCGCAAGTTGGGGCGATGACCTATGACATTCACAACCCTTTATGTAACTGTATGATTTCCAGGATATTAAGGATGTTGCTTGTTATACTTTCAGGTTACGACGAGGCTCTGGGTATGACGTTGACAAACGAGTGCAGCGTGTCGCAGTTTATTGACGCGCACGACCCGATTCGACTACTCACCGACACAACCAGCATCAAGTTCATGCCTGAAGACGATGTGTACCGCGACCACAAGGACACTTCGGACGAAATCGTGACCTGCCTCACCGATCTCAAGGTATGTATTACCCTATTCCAACTGTGTTTACTTGCGGTGGTGTCCGGATGGAGAGAAGGAAATGAAGATTTCAAAGCTGAATATTGTCTGAGCCCCGCTGTTGTTCCGGCGCCCGATTAATTTCGGGAAAACCCACCGGAAGCCAGTGTTGTGGCGTTGCTGTCAACTGCCCTTGTGCAGTCTGATTCTTCAATCCCCTCCGACACCATCGCACATCCCATTGGAAGTGATTTGCTTTCAAGTGTCTAACTTGTGATTGTATCTTGTCTACAGGTGCTTGGCAAAGCTGACTTCAAGAACTTGCTGAAGTGGCGTACGCGTATGCTGAAGTACAAGGAGGAGCTTATCAAGGCCGAAAACCCGGAGGAGGAGGAGAAGGAAGAAGAGAAGCCCGCGGAGAAGGAACCCGAGCGCGAGCTGACTGAAAAGGAGAAAGACGCACTTGTCCGAGAAGAGCTGTCTCAACTGCGTGCCAATGTTCAAGCCAAGAAGAAGCGCGAAAAGAAGAAGGTGCGTTGGTATATCCACGTCTATATGTGTGTGTTGTACGTTGAGTGCATGTGGGCGCATCCCAGTAGTCCTTGTCATATCTGCTCGTTTGACATGTTGCGGATTAACCCTCCCGACTCCCGTTACGCGCCCATATCGAGTCGGCTCCCTATCCTATCCTTGCTGTGTAGTGCAAGTGACGGTCGATTTGGGCTGTACATCCTCGATTGGGCTTGTATATTTGCATGTTGTGCTACTTATTGGCGGGAATCCAAAGCCCCTTCCAATTCCATTTGGTCGGATTGGTCCTTGAACAGACCGGCTATTGAAGCCGCCGAGACTAACATGCAGCCTTCAGCTGTTGAGATTTTCCGTACCATAAAACTCTCAACCGTTCTTGTGTTCAGACATCACTTTAGCACTTACATGTTTGCACGTCTTATGGAGATGGCGCTTTGTGCAATGTACTAACAGGTATTGATATGTTAACAGGAGCGTGAGCGCAAGCAGAAGCTTCGTATCCGTGCCGCGCTTGGTATGAACGCAGAGGGCATCGACGTGACTGAAGCCGAGTCCGCTTTCAGCTTGAAGGAGCTGAAGATGTCCAAGAACAAGGTTGATGAACTCGAGAATGCTGGTGCCGATTCATCTTCGGACGAGGAGCTTCAATTTGAGACCTCCGACGAGGAAGACGAGGATGCTGGTCTGGAGGACAGCGATGCTGAATACGACGAGTTGCTGGAAGCTTCGATGGAGAAGGCCTACGAGCAGTTCTTGACCCGTCGTGGCGATGACGTGAAGACTCGCAAGGCTGTGAAGCGCACCAAGGTTGCCAAGCGTGCGTTGGCTGGCGAAGCTCTCGTGCAGGACAGCGAGATGTTCGACGGCGACATGAAGCAGTACCAGAAGATGATCAACCCCGACGAGGTATGTGCTGTTTGCATGTTGTCTGCATGTGCGTGGCTCCCCTATCCGTGTTATCTGTTCCGGGTCCGATCAGTACCTTTGCTCAGTTGTCAAACATGGGGGATAGCAACACGGAATGCCTTCATGTCTGACTGCGTCTCTAGACTCTTCGGAGTTCAACGGAGATGCGGTCCTTTGTGCATCCGAAAGCCCGCAATTGCATGTGTGCTTATTGGTATGAAGCTCGATTGCTAACTCTTTCATGTTTGATCATTACAGAGTTCCGATGAGAGCGATGACGACGAGGATGACCTGAACGTGTCTCTCAAGGTTCCCGAGAAGTCAAGCGCCGCGGTGAACCGCTGGTTCTCGGACAACAAGCTCTTCGATGGCATCGACGAGAAGGAGGACCTAACGCTGCCCGAGATGCCTAAGACGGACAAGGAGATTCGTCACGCCAAGCGCAAGGCTGCAATGGAGCGAAAGGAACGCCGCGCTATGAAGAAACTCAAGAAGGAGGAGAAGGAATACGAGCTCGAGTTTGGCACGGAGTTCGACATCGCTGCGCCAGCCAACTCTGATGACGAGGCGGCCATGACTGCTGAGGCCGAAGAGGAGAGCGACGACGAAGCTACGGCTGAGAAGAAAGCTCTCATTCGTTCTGGAATGGGCGCAGCGTTGAAGACCGACAAGAACTCTAGCGATAAGTTTGAGGTCGTCGCTGCTGGTGAGGAGCCGGATGAGAACGCTTTGCCCGTGATGGACGAGCGCAAGTATGACTCCGACCACGAGGAATATGATGCTGAAGACCGTGCCAAGACGCTTGCTCTTGCTAGTATGATGATCCACAAGTCGAAGGCCAAGGACATGATCGACGCCAGCTACAACCGCTACGCTTGGAACGACTCGGAGGCGCTGCCTGACTGGTTTGCTGACGATGAGGAGAAGCACTACCGCCCCCAAATTCCGATCCCGAAGAACGTCTTGGCGCAAATGAAGGAGCGCTTCATGGAGATGGCCACCAAGCCTGTCAAGAAGGTTGCTGAAGCCCGTGGCCGCAAGCAACGACTACAGATGAAGAAGCTGAAGGCTGCCAAGAAGAAGGCAACGGACATCGCCAACCTGCCCGACATGTCGACGCGTGAGAAGCTCAAGGCCATCGACCGCGCTATGAAGGGTGCTCGCCTCAAGAAGGAGAGCAAGGTGTACGTCGTGTCGACCCGCGGTGGAACCAAGACTGCTGGTGGCAAGAAGGCCGGCAAGGGCAAGGTGAAGCTTGTGGATCCGCGTATGAAGAGCGACAAGCGCAACGCCGAGATCCGTGCCAAGCGTGGCAAGAAGCGGAAAAGATAAACGCCCAGTTTTGCTGTGTACATGCACAGACGCCCACTAACTTATCGACGTCAGAATTAAAGGCACAAACACGATGTATCATGAACCGCTTCACCTATTCTTACGATGATCGTTGCTCTCTCCATTCCCAAGCTTCGTGCTTCATTGGCTTGGTGCTCTGTACTTCAGCTGAGAAGCCGAGACGTTCGCTGGCTTCTCGATGCAGGAAATAGTACGGCACCTTCTGCTGTCGTCTTGCTTGCACTGGACCTTCCTTGTGGCTCGCCTTGTACTGCTGGAACACGACTTGACTGATCTTGTTGAAGCTGCACACTGGACATGGAGTCTCGCTAGCGCCACGCTTGAACTCGCGGGTGAACGCTTGCTTGGTTGCAAATAGTGGCATTGGCAGAGCATTCATGCGTTTCTCAAATTCTGGCACCACTTCTTCTTCGAACACACGCTTCGGGAACAAGTGACCGCATGTGAACGCCTTGACGTGAGTCTCTAGTGGATCGGTCTTCCCAAGAGCTTGCGCTGAATGAGGAGTTATAGGAACGACACCATGCGATAGATCGTTCTCAACGACGTTGGTCTTCACGAGCTCCAGCAGCTTCCGAGTCGGTGGCTCCGGCTCTGGGTTCTCGTGGTTTCTATCCAAGAATGACACGCAGACTCGGAAAAGGAATTGTCCTGAGAACGGCAGTTGCTGACACTTGTACACCCACTCCTTGTCGCGGTCATCGAACCCTTGACTGGATCTGTTTGCAGTCGACGTTGATGATAGAATGGACTCCACAACTTCCGAGAAGAAGATCTGGGCAAGTAATGATGATACGTGCTTGAATACGTCGGGGTCGATGAGGAAAACCTCCAAGACAGTGCGCTTAAGACCATAGTCAAACCACTTGACCAGGATACGAGCAAGGATAGCAGCACGGATCTGTGCCGAAATGACTTCAGAGCTGTGACTCTGCACGACCAACGAGTTCAGCAGCTGCAACAGTTCTTCACGCATCTGCTCTTGGAAGTCGGATTCGTCAGATATAGCGCTGCTAACCGAGTCATTCGACTGCTGACGGCGGCGAGTGATAGCGTCCTCAAATGTCGGCTGGGAATTACGCGCGTTGTGTGAATGCAGGCGACACTCAAGCGCTTCCACCAGTTCTCCGTGAGCTTCATAAATACAGGCCGCCGCAGTCCAATTCTCGTAATCAATACATCGAGACACCATGATAGGTGGGCGATACTGCGATGCCAAGTCCTTCAGGAGCGTCTCAAGTCTCGATTGCGAGAACTCATCGTCACTTTCTGCTTCATCGTCTTGTGTTCGACAATTCAAGTGCAGGAGGAGAGTGAGAAAGAGCTCCACCTGCTCTTCTGGAACCACCTTTATGAACTCGGACGTGGAAACTTCAGAATGTACCCCAGTCTTCGCTGACGAAGACTCCTCCACCGTAGCTGAGGCAGCTAACTCTGCGCTTTCTGGCTGTGCAGGGTTAATCTTGCCAGCAAGCTGACGGCAAAGCTGAGGAGAGATTGCAGCCAAGTTACGCTCCAGCCAGTCTCGATGCTGAAGAATAGCAGGTGGGTGCGCCAACAGAACTTCCACTTGAGCTTCGATCGGAAATGACCGCAGAATTAAGCGACTGGATGGAGCCGTAAGCGCAGCAGCGTGGCCAGATTCAAGAAGAGAACGCAATAGCTTCTCAGACACTGCGGAGGCCAGTCCCTGACTGACAATCTTCTCAAGAACACTCGGCACCTCATCTCGTCGAGTTGCTACAAGGATCGCCTTATCCACATGCTGCTGGGAAAGACAGAGGTCCACGATGTCTGTGGTCATGTAATCTCGATTAGTCTCCAGGAATTCGACGAGCCACGCTTCACGCTCTTTATCTTGCCTTTCTAGAGACTGCACCTGCCCTGCTTCAGTATCATGCGATGTATCTTTCTGTAGCTGCTGCTGAAAGACCAGATCCACCAGCAGCAAAGCGACACGTCTTCTTTCCCCTCCATCATATATCGAGTCGCGCACAGGCTTTGAAAGCACATGCTGGGCATAGTCAATAGCGCTCTGCACACCTCCCATCGCAGTCAACTGCTCCACAGCACTGGACGGCATAACTCGGGAGACTTCAAAGAGTTCACGTACCCACTGAACAAACTCGGTGTCTGCGGTTGTACTGCCGTCGATCACATTGGTGTACAAAGTGTTGGCAACCACCTGACATAGTGAAGCCATGTCGATACCAAGAGCGTAGCCGATGGACAAGGCGTCACGAAGCGCAATGGAGCGAGCACAGAGCGCCTTGAAGAGTGCCAAACGGGACCATTGTGGTCGACATTCGTACGCGTTGTGCTTCGTTTGCAGGATATAGATGATCTCTGCCTCCCCGGACTGACTGCCACCCACGTTTCCGCTCCCACCCCCACGACTCGAACTTCTCGCCGTACTCTGAACCACACGCTCGATTCTTTCGTTGCCATGTAACGAAAGGTAGTGCACAATATGCGCTCGAACAACGTCTTCGTCCATTCCTTGGTTCGATGGAAGCGAGACCCACGTCGAGATCGTCTCGTTAGACTTGGACGTGCGGCCTTGCAGCAGCATCAAATCTGTTGAACAGTAAGTCAAATCCACGTCCACAACCTCGTCCTTTTCCTCGGCAGGACTTGAACCTTCTGTTTCTTCCTGCTGGCCACTAGTTCCACTGCTTTCAACTTCACTTAGCTCCCCGGTATCAGCGAAAGATGCAGGTAGGAGGTCAGGGACCTCGTACTCGCCTTTGAGTCTCCAATGAAAATTGGAATAGAGATTGGCTTTCCTCTTGCTGCAATCATACAGCGCTAGAGACGACTCCGAGCTCAGTACTCCGTTGATAGGATACAAACATACTTGCGGCGAGTTCTTTTTAATGCGTTGCGGTCGGAAGTCCATGTCTTCCAGGAAATGCTGTGGGAACGTCTTGACGACAAGCTTGGGAGCTTTCGAGAAACTAAACGTGCCCGATCCGCCAGTATTTGTCGTCGTAAAGTTCGTCTCACTCGAAGACGAGGATCCACCAGTTGTCGTCACGATTTTCAGCGTCGAAGGAGCACCCTCCGTCGTTTCGTTCTCCTGTTTCTTCGTCCTCTTCTTTGGTGACACTTTTGGTCTTGCCTGAAACTTCTTCTCCAATACAACTCGATAGTATCTCACCCCCGTTCCACCTGCTTCTCTCTCCTTATCGTCGATATCCTCGCTCTTGGCTTTCACCAACATGGAAGTTCTGCGTTCCTTCCTGAAGTTCTCCTGCATTAAATCAATACTCACAATAGTGCCTGCATTCACCAGCTCACATCTGCATTCTTCCGCGTTCTCCTCTACATTGACAATTGAAATCAAGCTCTCCGTCCCGCCTACTAGGCAGTAATTCTTGCCATTGAGCGATCTCCACCACCTGACACACGTGATGCTCCCAATACCCGGGGCGAACTCGAGCGTGCTCATCTGCTCGTCGTCTCCTGCCACTTGGGAGTGATAACGAGCTCCATTGAGGCCTCCATACTCGTTGGTGGCGCGAAGATATGACGCCATCTGCGTCGTCATTGCTGCCTGATTCACGTTCATGAGCTCGCGGTGATGCGACGTGGGCTGGTACGACGCGTCCAGCATGGCACGTCGCTGATTAGCCACTAATGTCAATACCGGCACCAGGTGCAGTCGGTTCTTTCGCTGCGATAAGGCTGCGAGCCAATCTCCCTCGGGACTGAACTCCAAGGCTGAGAGCCTTTCAGCTTTGCCGGCTTTCTGTTGTTTGGGAGTGGAGCACACGGGGAAGCGCCAGAAGCGGGTACGCTGATCTTCTTCGATGGTTCGGACTAACAGGAAGTTGGTTTTCGCGTCTGCGGGGCCCGCGTAGGCCGCCGAGCTGTCGCTCTTCGGGTGGGGTGTCGTTTTGGGGAACTCTTCGCTGATGGCGAGCGCTAGTAGCTGCTTCTTCTCCAGAGTATGAACGGCCATGGAAGCGATCTTAAGCGCCGGTATCGACCCATTGGACGACGCCGCGGACGTCGGGAAGCCGAAGATGCGGCGGATCTGGAACAGGTTGCTCCCGTCATGCGCCATGTTTGATACGCTGGGCTTCAATTTGGAAGGTTAGGTTAGAAACGTAAAATAGTTTTCTTAGGTTAACGTACGTCAGCGCTGCTTCAAAAATTTGCCGTTGTCCTGTTGGAAATAGATACTTAATCGAGAGATTTGATCTGAGTCGGGTGTCGTTTAAGTTAATTGTTGTGGTTCTGTGGTACATTTCGTTCGAATCATAAATTAATCAGGAGAGACTGTATTTCTATGTTACAGAAACCTGCGGGTTCCGATCAGACACCAACACTCCTCCGCCAGTCGTCCATCACCCAACACCGCTCAATTAGCTCCACCATGAGCACCGCACCAGCTCAAGACAGCGACTCGAACGTACCGCAGGTGGCGCAGGACGCAGTCCTTGTAAAGTCGGAGAGCCTTGAGGGCAAGAGCGCCCATGTTCGTGGCTACGACTTCAACGAGGGCGTCAACTACGAGAAGCTCATGCAGTCGTACGTGACTATGGGCTATCAGGGCACCAACCTGGGCGAGGCCATCGAGGAGATCAAGCGCATGCGTAAGTGGCGTCTGAGCGACGACCCCGTGTCTCCAGAAGAGCACGACGAGGAGCGTAAGGACCCGGAGTTCCGTAAGACCGTGAAGACCAAAATCTTCCTGGGGTACACGTCCAACCTCATCTCCAGTGGCCTGCGCGAGACATTGCGCTTCCTAGCGCAACATAAGATGGTGGACGTGATTGTGTCGTCAGCTGGTGGTATCGAGGAGGATTTCATCAAGTGCCTGGCTCCTACGTACATCGGAGACTTCTCTCTAAAGGGAGAGAATTTGCGTCGTCGCGGTATTAACCGTATTGGCAACTTGCTGGTTCCTAATGACAACTACTGCAAGTTTGAGGACTGGATGGACCCCATTCTGGACAAAATGTTGGAGGAGCAGAAGACGCAGGGCACGGTCTGGTCTCCGTCCACTATGATCCATCGGTTGGGTAAGGAGATTAACAACGAGGACTCGGTCTACTACTGGTGCTACAAGAACAACATCCCTGTCTTCTGCCCAGCGCTCACGGACGGATCCATTGGCGATATGATCTACTTCCACTCGTACCGTAACGAAGGACTGGTACTGGACATTGCCAGTGACATTCGTCGTATGAATGACCACACGATCCGCGCTCCTGGCAAGACGGGCGTCATTATTCTCGGTGGCGGTATGGTCAAGCACCACATCCTGAACGCCAACCTCATGCGCAACGGTGCCGACTACGCCGTGTTCGTGAACACTGGCCAAGAGTTTGACGGTAGCGACGCTGGTGCTCGCCCCGACGAGGCCATATCGTGGGGTAAGCTGCGTCTGGGTTCCAAACCAGTCAAACTCTACGCTGACGCTACGTTGGTTTTCCCGCTTATCGTGGCGGAGACTTTCGCCAAGGATTTCCACAACGAGAAGAAAGAGGAGGCTGCCAAGAGCTCGTAATGATCGTAATGAACGCATCGCGCACTACTTGTTGTACTCTTTTATCTACCAGACCGCCGTCAGATTTACTGAACTAGCTGCTTATTCGCTACGTTTTGAGTTGTGACTGACTGTTCTTGTTGATGTCTGGGGCAATTGCAGGCTGAAGAGAAGCAACAGGAAAACCAGCATTTGGGAACACAGTCTTCCGAGGTACACACAGCAGTTCCTGCTCAAGATCCCCGTAGAAAAGTTCCTGAAGAACGTTGAACACTGTGTTCTCCATCACATCGGCAATAATCGCCTGGCAGTCATCGTCTTGCCGGACTTCGTGGTACAGAGTTTCCGGCGGCTGAATGGCCTTGGCTCCTTCTGACGTTGAAGCGTGTTCAAGGGCGCGATCGGAGCGAGGAAGTGGCACGAGCTGCTCTTCCAGGGCCCCTTGGATCACGCTGGATGTCAACACGTCCATCACTAGAGTCTCCATGACATCGTACAGTACGTCTCGACATCTTGCAGCAGCAAACTCATCTTCGATGACGGATGAGGAAGCAGTACCAGGTTTGCTGGTCAATACCTTGTCACTGCCCATACAACCTCTGCTTTTGAGTCCTCTGGTTGTTCTGGTTGGAGTGGTTGTATCTCTCGTACTGGACAACGAAGGAGTCTTCACGTCTGTGGCAGGTACCGGAAGAACACGCAAAATCTCCTTCGTAGTCGGTAATGGCATCTTTATCAGCTCTTCACGTGGATAAATCCTCTCCATCACATCCAGTGGCAGAACGTGTGCGTAGATGCGTACGAAGAGAGGAGTCGGCTCCAAGTCAGCCAATGCTTCCAGTTGACGACTGTCACTACTCGACATCATGCCAGTTCTTTCTGGAGATCCCTTGCGAGTTGATTGAGACGGCAACAAAGTGTTCCGTGAACTGCTATGACTGCTACGTTGCGCCATCGACAGCGTCTGTGGATGAGGAGAGTCGTTGCTGCTTAGTGCCAATTTCAGCACAGACCTGCCACGCTTGTCGACAACCGCTTCTTGTGTTGCTGTTGAGCGATGGATAATCGACATTCGAGTCTTGTTGTCGTTATTTCGACTTGAAGCGCTTGTATTCGTCTGCCCCTTAGATCGTGTCGGACTTCGTGATACTGCGTTGTTGCTAATAGAGTCCGTATGCTCGTCGCTGTAGATGATCGTGCAAGCCACATCGTGATTAACGACAAAGGCATCACCTCCTGCAACAACACTAACACGAATGAGCGCTCTCTCGCCCGGTCCAAGCTCGCCACGCTTCGGTGAGAACGAGATGGTCCCATTAGCAACAAGAGGATGCATTGAGTCCCATTCGAAGACGAAACTGCGTGGACTCACATCGGAATCTCGACCATTCTCGTTTTGCAAAACCAGTAGCTGATTCGCTTCCGAGTACATTGAAACGTGGCCGAAGTCAACGTAATCTGACACGAAGCAAGCTGGCAGATCTGGAATACTCAAGGCTTGTTTCTTCGGCGGTGCCGTTGAAAGCCATAGCTCGCTTTTTATCTGCTGCAATGTCCATTGCTTGGGATGGTATCCTGTTGCAACGATGGTGATCTCCACCATTTCCTTGTATCCTTTTCCCATTAACCCGTGCGCTTTAAGCAATAGTGGAACCTCGATGGTGCCCACTTTGATCGGGTTGAATTCGATGTCGAGGAAAACGGAGCCTTTGGCTGGAATAATTTCAGAGTTATTGGCACAGGCGAGCACTTGATACCCATAGTTTGCAGCATTGACTTGGTTGAACGAGACACTTCCGATGTCCAAACGTAAAGCGCTGTCACCACGGTTAAACACTTTAATTTGCTGAACTGGAGGTCTACCAATTCGAGAATGCACCTGCTTGTGTTGATCGCTGTGGTCATCACCCTTTTTACTCTCAATTAATGCTGGTGGAAGCATGAAGTCTCGTCGAAATTCGCCGATTGTCACTGGAGAGAGATGGAACACTTGCGTGGGGAGGAATAGCTTGGGGTCTTTGTGTGTAAGTGTTCGGCCCTGCAGCTCCAGCACCACTTTCTTACCCTTGTCGACTTCTAAGAACAGAGGGAGGTTGTGTTCACCATCAAAGGCCTCCGAAGTGTAAGAGTATGAAAGAGTCAAGATGATACTCTGGCGAGGCAGCAAGGTCGCTCGACGTGGAGAGATACTGAATACTTTACTGTCAATGATGACGTTCAAGCGCACTTCCTCAGCTGATGGTGCACCGGTCTCAGCCCAATGCTCGATTTCAACCGTATCCTCTTTCGGTAAGCGTAGATGATATTGCACAACGAGACTCCCAGGGTTACATAGCTTCAGGAATACCCTCTCCATACGGCTACCCAACGGAGCAGGAGAGAACGGGAGAGCAAAGCGTTTCATCGGATTCTCTTCTCCAAAATCCTCGGATTCTGGAGAAATGGAGTTGCCAATGGCTGTAGAACTGCCCAGCTTTTCTTCCACTTTTGTTAGTGGTTCAGCGAGATACTCGTTGATCTCGTTGCATCGGAACTGGTGCCAGGCCAATTGTGTGGATAATCCTGGCACACGCAGGTCTTGAATTTCGATAGTCGGGAAAGAAGCCTCAGCTTGAATGATGCATGTGGCAGGCTTGAGCTCGTGGAACCCCCACGTATCGTAAGGTGATGATGCTTCTTGGTTGCCAACAAGACACGATACTTCAAATGTAAACAATCCTGCTGATGTAGGAAAGAACGTCGCCGTGATCTTCTTTCGTGACTGGGCCGGAATACAGCCTTCTGCTTGAGAGAATACCAATTTACCAACCGGATTTGACGCGACACTATCCTCTTCGCTACTGTTAACACCATTCTTCTCATTGTGTCGACATTTTTTAGTTTTCGCGATCATCGACTGTTGTAACGAGTACATGAGATCGCAGTCGGCTGTGTTTTCGATGAAGAACGTCTGCTTTGAGTTGGAGTTGACGAGTATTGTCTCGAATTTCAGAGTTTCCGGTTGGAATAGGATTGCACCCGTGGTTCCCTTCGTTTGTACTCGTATCGTGAGCTCCTGAAGTATTGGGATCTTCGACTTGAGGCTTTTACGCTCATCTAGTGGAACGCTGATGGACTTAACAGCCACGAGGAAACGACTGGCGTACTCGCGGATCTCGTTTGGAGTAAAGCAGCACTCGATGGACGTGGACTCTCTTCCATTGAGCCTGCCAAGCTTCGGCTTGACTCGGAACACGTTCTGGTATTTCGGAGGTAGTTCCCATCGATACACAAGCGGAACTCGTGAAGTGTTGATCAACTCGATCTGCTTCAAAGACTGGAGACCCACAGAGGTTGGCTTGATGTAAACTTTTGCCTCTGAAGATAACAGTTGACCAGCTTCAATATCCTGGAAGCTCAGTTGCGGTAGAGCACAAATGGCGGTAAGCTCCAATACTTCCGGCTTGGCTCGCGCGTTGTTCACTATACATTGCAGAAAGCACGAATATTTCCGCACATTGCGAGGCGTGAATCGAATAGCCACGAGATGGAAAGACTTGGCCTCGATATAGCCGCACATCGGCTTGCACGAGAAAACCTCAGCCGGATCATCAACGAAGGAGAAGACAGCAGGTGTATCACTCGCGTTCTCAAGCAGTATTGTCTGAAAAACGCTATCACCGAGGTAACAAGGCGGGAAGTCCACCTTATTCTTCAGCACCTGGAAGCTGATTTTCGGTAGAAACTGCTCCGTGGGAGAGGCAAACGTGTTACCGCTAGCCTTAGCTACTAAACACCATGGAGGTGTAAACGTATCGACATTGACCAAGCGAAAAGTACGGTTAGACTTAAAGGAAGCAAACGCTTCCAACTCGGCGAAATAGTAAGTATTGACTCGGGATGGTTGAAACGCAACACGGAACTCTGCTGTTGCTCCTGCTGCGATGTCACTGGTGGGTGGGAATACCTGAAACACTGACTGATCATCACTCGTCTCGAAAGTACCAGGCGCCACAGCCACACGCCATGAACATGTCACCTTACTGTGAGTATTATTGGTCACAAGAAGAAGCTTTTTCGATGGGAATTGAACGATACCGCAATTACCAAAGTCCAGAAAAGCACCGAGGATAACTATCGGGTTGATCTTGTCCTCAACATTGATAAAGTATTCACTGCAAACCTCGACATCGGCCAATGATGCCTCTCCACTTCGCGTGAGGATCCGACTGGGTGGAGGTAGCTGGGATGCGGATGAATCAGCGTCGCTGGTATTCAGTGATTCTTCAGCCTTTGCAAGTTGTAACACGCCTTTGAGGAACATAGCATCACCGTTCTCTTCATGGTACGTCTCCAATTGATCCGGAGAAAGACATCCAAGACCAGCTGCGGCGCGAAGACGATAAGCATCAACGTGAGCCTGTTGGAAAGGAGAGGGACGCGTTTTCTCGTCGTATCCAGTCCCTAGTACATCCACATACTGCGTACTTTGATGTCGTACGAGCAGGAAAAATCTGCGGTAGAAGTTCCCAGAGTGATCTGGCGAGAAATAAATGGTGATGTTCATATCCAAGAACGGCGGTATCTTGCCTGTAACCCGGTCAAAGCAGAACACACCTTTAGACTGCGCATCAAAGTGAAAGAAAATTTCCACTGGCGACTCATTCCGGAGCGTAATAACACGCGATACCACTTTGTCACCCACAGGAATGTCGTGAAAATTCACAGATCGTGTTGGTACGAAATTGGACTCCAAATTCTTCCGCCAGATGCTCAGTTTGGGACCAATAGCTCGTCCTTTGCACGTGATTCGGACTCGATTGCCACCAGGCGTCAAGATATCGAAGTGATCGCAAGTGAAAGTACCGGCGCTCAGCGGAATATATCGTACCTTGATAGAAACTGTCGATTCAGCGTCAACGACACCGCTCAACGGTGAGAAAAAGAACCTGGGATCGTGATCACTCTCGACATTTTCAATGCTGAAGCTGGCACGTACTAGCGAGCGGTTCCGTAATATAAACTCCTTCTCCGTTGGAGCGCGACTTGTATTCGGTGCACCAACCAGCACTTCTCCGAAATTTAGCTCCGTCTCCGAAGCAGATAAATGCGTAAACTTGCTGATACCACTGATCTTCATCGTCTCTACTAGTGCATGTGCCGGTGCGAACGACTCCGTGGTATCTGGCTGCAATGGATAAATAACACGGTGAGTTCGCCTCGAGTTTGAGCTGTTTGACTAATTATTCAGCATTACCTTGACAGTACAGGTCGTGGTGGTGACGTACACAGAGGCACTAGCAGGACAGAAGCTTGCAGTGAGTTCTATACTCGCCCCAGCCTTAACTCGCCCAGACTCCGGTCGCACTGCGAACGGCCTTCCATGTTCCCCTGCGGCTGGTACTGTCCAGTCAAATAACGCGTCGATCTGTCCACAATTATGCAGCATGAAGCCCTGTAGCGTGGTCTCTTTAGTGGGGCAAAATCCAAAGTCCACGCCGTGCGGTATTTCCACTTTAAGTGCCGCAATGCGCGCCACCACGGGCACTCGGAAGCGCCCGGAGACTGCAGCGACACCCCCCTCGATCAGATGGACGTGGAAATCCACGAAGTCGTCGTATTCCTCGAGTTTCACGGGTCGGAAGGCCACATCCAGCGTTGTGAGCATGCCCGGACTAAGTGTCATTACGGTGGGGAAGTTCATGCTGAAGTATTTCGTGCGTGGCAGCTCATATTTGAACTTGATGGTGCGTTGTGACACGTTGCGCACAGTGAGTTGCCGCACGTGCTCGCCCCCTGGTGCCCAGGAACCGGCCTCGAAGCGGATGGCGTCGCCGCAGTCCAGCCCATACCGACGGCGCTGCTCTACGCGGTCAAGCACAGGCTTGGCTTCGGCCTGCTCCATCTCTTCAGGAGTCTGCGACCTCTCAAGATCTGTGGATCGCGGGTTTGGGAAAGCTCAGAATCTAAATTCTATTTCGAAGTACTTGCCAAAATTTGGTGTTCCAAAATCTAGAATACTGCGCATCTCCAAATAATTAATCGAGCAGATGAGCGTACAACAACGGATGGGATCAACCACCTCCAAACGTGACGAACTTGGCTTTGGAATTCAAACTACATGCACTTCCGAAGTACAAATTATCGGCTTCGGTGCAAATCTCAGCGCGACAATGCTGACTCGTTTGAAATTGCCGTTTCAGCAGTTGAAGTGGACGGCCGACACAATCGAACGCGGGCAAGGAGAAGAGTCTGTCGATGCTGATGTTGGCGCTTTGGCCAGGATTGGATCTGACCTCGAGCCGGATTTCCCGCAGCTCATGTCTCGAGGCACTTCTCAGTCATGCTCAAGGAATCGATGGTGCGAAGTTGTGGGAGACAGTGATGGTTTTATCCAGGCCAGAGGAGGACAATGCTTCGGTCGAAATACCAGCCATTCAAATCAGCCTTATTCAAATGAACTCTCCTTGAAAGCTCCAAGCGCTCGGAGACCAACCGCGGCTGCCCCTAACATCAGGACGGCACCCGCTTCAACGGATTGGCGGTCACCTCCAGATCCTGAAGGAAAGAGGCACAAGGGCGCGACTGACTAAAATCTATTTTTTGATGGCACATGATTGGACCAAATTTAATACTTATTATGACCAATCAGGACACCGTATGGGAGTGGGACGATTGCGCCATTCACTTGACTTCAGTATTGGCTCATCTCGAACACAACTCTCCTGCTGCTCTTTAGAAGTGGGGATCAAAATGACAGCAAAACGTACAGGTGCCCCACGGTTACAAGCACGCTCTACAAACATACTAGTATATATATTTTGCCCTCTGCCGGAGCAGCAGTTTGGTCCGCCCTTTTCTTCCAATCCGCCCCCACATGGTCGATGGATTTTGGTTCCTTCAGCGGGCAGAAACCCGGCGTGGAGGTAACGTGAAGGTTCCTGGAGCGGATGAATGTTGCAGCAGTGCGTTGTTCCCTCGTTTCTGCGACGTGAGTTCAGGTTCCGCCTCTCCCTATGTGTTTATCATCGAGCATGAATTCATATGGTTCATTTCGCCTGTCTGCCATTTTGCATACAAAATCAAAATCACCGCAACCCATCAGCCGCCTAATCCTATCATCAAGCATGTGTCTCAAAGTAGGTTCAATTATACAGTCAAGTCAGGTCTGGCTAAACCAGGCACAAAGCATCGGCAGCCGTAATCGCCAGCGCTGTAGGACAGGCTTCCTGCGCCGACAATCAAACCACCACCGCCGCGAAGACACCAGCCCTCACTGCTCGTCAGTTCCAGGGTCGACGTGCAAACAGCATGAGCGGCGTCGCCGGGGGGCGCGATCAGCGCGCGAGCAGCGAGACAGAGATCGAGTGCGACGAGCTGCAGCCCATGAGCGAGGAGGAGGCCGGAGCGGGCTGGCGGAGGCTGCTCAAGTTCCCGCCGCAGCCGCCACTCGCGCCCGTGGCCCCCACGTTCTCGCTTGTCGACCTTGCGCAGAAGAAGGACCCCGACGCAGCCGATGAGCACGCGCGCTCGACGCTCGCGGGCCACGTCATGTACAAACTCGCCGTAAGAATGTCATCACACCACGACAGTCGCCTGCTACAGCACATTTCCCGCTCCATATTAAGTCGAGGAGCTAACAAGGTGCGAAATACGTAACTGTGGAGCATTTAAGTCGTGAGCTTTTTTGTGACTGATGGGTGGACCATTCCGTTATGATTGCAGCATGGAGATAGGAAGCCGAGCTTCCTGTTAGAAATGGACCCCGATATGGTCGATCCCAGTACACAGACCAAGCCCAGGAAGACTGTCAGGAGCTCCATCCCAGGTCTTCGGAGGATAGAGGACGGCGCGAACCGCCGACCAATGGACCCGGACGCCGCCTCTTGCCCCGAAACAGCAGGACGACCCGCTTCTGCCGCATCAGCCGCTGGCGCAGCCTCATCTTCGTCAGGTACCGGCTCCAATATCCTGCCACCGATGCCACCGCTAGTATTCTCGCCGACCAAAGGAAAAGCACAGAAACGTGCTCGCAACATGACGCTGGAGCAGTATTCAAAGTGGAAATATCCAGGACTGCGTCCAGGTCTCTCCGTGCGGGTTGTACGCTGCGAGACTGTGAGCTCCATGCCTGCCGTCACCGAGTATGTACTGCACGTCGTGGACTTACACACGCGTGTATTCTGGATCACAAAAAAGCGCTTTAGCGATTTTTACTACCTTCGACGCAAAGTCCGCGGAATGATCCGCCGCGCGCCTGAAGCCGACGATGAAGAGAGGGATTATTTACGCTTTTTGCTGGACCTTCCATTCCCGCGGCGAAGGTTTCGACCATCCAGCACTGCAGCAATTAATCGAGGCTTGTGCGAGATCGAGGTCTTTTTGCGAAATCTGGCAGCTTTGGAGCCGACATCCCGGTTGCAGCGCAGTATTTTGATGGAGCTGCAGCTCGAAATGTGCTCAGCTGAATTTGTGTCTTCGCTGGAGAAGATCGACACGACCGGTGAACCGATTGAGCCCAAATGGCTGACGTACGATCTGTTCCGTCGCCTCAACTGCGAAGGAGCAGTAGAGGGCAGTACGTGCTACCAGTTCTTGCACGCCTTCCGTAACCGCGTAGCAACGATCGAAACAGCCGTGTGTTCTGAATGCAATAAGTTTGAAGGAGTTGCGCTCGCAGCAGCGGCCGTCAAGGATCTGCGTAATACTGTCACGAGTATTGAAACATACATTTCAGAGCATCTGGATCCTCAATACGCCGATACACTGTCGCTGTTGGACCAAAGCGTCGATGTGTCGTCGGTACTGGATGACTGCGTGTTCCACGCGGTGGAGGACACCATTTTGGTACCTCTAGAGAAACAGGTGAACTTCCTCGTGGGCTGGACGGTGGATAAAGAAGCCGAGTTGCGTCTGGCACGCAATATTGAGCGCCTGAAGTGCAGATCCCAAACGGAGAGCGGTATTCCAGAGCACCTACAGTCCGACGAAGACTGGGGACTATCGTGCCACCACTTGAGCATGATTGACGAGCGAACGCTACCTATGGACAGGATCCAGGAGCTGCTGCGTGCGGCCCTGGAGATTTTTAAGAGCTGCGGCGAGAAGAACCTGGAGTGGCGAGAAAACTCGGCTCTGACTGCAGATGACTACCTTCCCATACATATCTATGTGGTAGTGAAGAGCGGGCTGAAGCGACCACTAGCCACCAAGGAATTGCTGGGTGCTATGATCCACCCATCATTGATGCTGGGCGAGGTGGGTTATTTTCTCACCATGTTTGAAGTCGCTCTCAAGTACATTGCCGACATGTAAATCAAGACCAATTTTGCATCGCGAGCGCGACCAGCAGCGCCTAGCGAAGATTTTTTCCATTCAAGTCTAGTAAGTGAACAAAAGTACAATAGGGGATTCGATACCACGATCATGTGAGTCAGCAAGAAGCGGAAAGCCCTGCACGTTTAAGCGTAAGCACCCAACGAAAATTTCATTGACGTACCATACTTTATCAAATTCGTCGGCATGACGCAAGAAACGTTAGGAGTGACTTACGTTCAGGATAAGATGGCGCATAGCCTCCATGGTACCTAAACGACGATGATGAAGTTGTTGGCAATACGCAGCAGTGCAGGTTGATCTTTCTGCCAGTCTAGTCAGTTTAAACGACTCATTTATCACTTGTTCGTGCTTTCAGAGATCAACATTTAGGCAGCAAGTTGAAGGCAGCTTCAACAAACGAAAGATCGCTGGGCTCACAATTTCATCCAATCACAGCAAGCTATGTCCCCAAAAACGTAAGTCTGCAATTCACCATGTTGGTGCGTCGGCCATCACTGCTGCTCGGCGCCGTGCGCTGCATGTCCTCGCGCCAGCTGCGCGTTCCCGGCGCTCAATCGCTCGTGGGGGCTGTGGCTCGCCTACCGTGTTTGCAGTGTGGCAGCCAAACGGCTCTGTCGCTCTCGCGCTCCTCCGACATTATCGACGTGCTGGCTGAGCGCGTGGACTGCGGCCGGACGCAGCTGCCACTCGCCTGCTCCGAGGTCGGCGATTGCTTAGAAATATTTCTACTTACACTCTTTTATTGACAATATGTGTATGTCAACTAGGCATGTGCAGACACGCTGCAAGAGACCAAGGCCGAAGTGCTGGAGCTGTACGACAGCATGATCGATGACGTCGAGTACTCAGCGACTCCCGAAGCTTCTAATCTCTTCGTTAAAGGTTGTCAATACATTGCCAAGTAGTGTATATAATAATTTGATAATTTACTGACAAGCTGTTGCAGTACTGCAGCCAAGTCGACGTGAGAGCAACAAATGGGAAGGTGACAGACATCCGACGTCGTGGACGGACTACTTGAAGCTCTACCATCCTCACGAACGCTGGCTGGACGATGTGAGGGCTTTGAGACTGCTATCGTCGGCCTATTCGTACGTCATGACGCTCAGCAGGTTCCTCCCGGAACTAATGGACCAGTACCAGATGGACACCGCAGCGAAATTTGAGCTCCATGTGGTCGGAGCTCGCGCAGAAGCGATGATGCCTCGTTATCTTTGGGACGAGCTGTCGTTCTTCCATCCAGGACAACAGTTTGGTATAAAGTTGATCGGAGATCATGTGCCGGTGATGTCGACCCGCAAGAAAACACCCACGACCAGAGAGAACGAAAACGAGTTCATCCAGTTGGAAATGATCAATGGGTTATACCACGAAGTCGATGCAAAGAAGCTGGGATCTCCTGACGCCTTTGTGCTGTATAATCCGGGAATCGGTCATCCTCATCTTCGTGAAAGTTGGGAACCCACTATGCAAACCGTGCTGGCATTGGGCAAGCCTGTACTCATGACGTCGTTCAGTCTGGAGGACCAGCAACGTGACATTGCTGCATTACAAGACATGGTTACTAACAACCCAGTGTTGAAGAATTTTGAGCTACACTTCCGATGTAGAGCGAAGCAGAACTCATTCCGTAGCTTGAAGTATCAGGTTGATCCTTCCAATGTCGGCACACCTATCCAGACCAACAACCGCGTAATGGTGGTGCAACTTGTCCCGATCAACGAGGAGAAATTCTAGACATCGATGGAGTTTCAAGGAACGCATGGGTATGGAATGGATAGCTATCGTGTTCATTGCTTCATACTGGCTGCTAATACTATTCACTCGTTCACTTTGTGGTTCCTATTGCGTTTGCTGTAGCCACTGTCGTACAGCTTCTCCTGGAGTCGCATATGTTGTTCCTGGACTTCGTTGGGTCTGTACGTAAGATATGGCAACGTAGAATTCATCCAAGCGTATTCTCCAGTGTTGATCGTCACCTTTTGCTCCATTCACACCGTGCTCTTGGCTCTTGTTTAGGTCCTGCATTACTCGCCGGAATATTGTGCGCGATTCAGCTGCAGCCTTGCCTGCGATTTCCGTCATGAATCGCTCAAATGTGATGGCAGTCATCCCGACTCGAGTGTCGTCTCCGACATTGACCTCTGCAGACTTCGCGTAGTACTCAAAGAGTGGCCAAAGGATCGTCTCGACATCAATACCTACGAAGCATAGCTTCAAAGTCGGGGAAATATCACTCTCAGCCAGTAAACCCAAGTCACCGAAGAAAGACAGAAGAACCTCGCGAGCTGACAGCAAGAACTCCGGTTTAGTTTGACTGCTCGCAAGTGATCGCGCATATAGCTCCAGTGCACAAGAGCCAAGCAAGAGCGTGAAGCCTTGTGGTGTCAACATCAACAAACCACCTTCCCCTGCCTCGCGGAACCGGTCGAACAGTGCTTGAACGAAGTCTTTGGACAGGAAATTTGGATGCAGTTTGAGATCACTAAGCATTCGGAAGACCGCGGTCGAATTGAGACAGTACTGGTTACCGAAGGCAGGAGAGCGTTGGCCGCCGGAGTATTGAACGAGAAGTTTGAGCAACGGTTTATGGAAAGCTAAGAAGAGATCTCGCACTTGTGGAGCGAGATGCCAGTTTGCGTACGCCTCCATTGAAAACCCCGCAGTTCCCCCGAATGGTGCATTTGCAGCATCACACGAGGTTGAGTTGCTTGACTTTACGCTTGCAGCGGTGGAGTGTAATGGTGATCCCGGAGGAAGAAGTGGATCACATTGATACTCGAGCATTGTCGAGCTGCCAGCACTACCGCTGCGAGTTGATCTGCCTGCTGAAGAATGATCACTGGGTTGGTACGTGTGCTTGAGAGACGCTTTCTCCATGACGGCACGTTCTACCACTGCGGTCTCGTGTTCAAGCACTGCGAGCAGTTTTTCCTGGTTTTGAAGGATGTCGTCGCTCAGATGACCCGCCCAAGAATTGCGTGGAGGACACAACAACAAGCCTGTCCCATTTTCGCCAGCACCGTTGACAGCTCGACTACCCGATGCAGCTCCAGCGGTGCCACTCGCACGACCTTGAACTGCTCCTAGGAGGGATAACAAACTGGCCCAGAAACGTTTTAACTGTTCGTGCTTCGTGTTGCTGGCAGCGAAAACATCGTTCAGGAACTGGTTCAGACCCGTCACGAAGTCTGGGAAGAGAAGACCGCGCTCTACTGCGTACGAAGGAAGATGGCGGGCCAGTCGTTCAGCAAGAGCCTCCCGGTCGATGACTTTCTCTTCTAGCAAGGACGAATACTCGAGTATACGAACAAGTGAGGACATAGCGAGTCGAGGCGATGGACTTTCGCCGTCAATACTCCCTCCCTCTCCACTATCGGCTGCTGCGTGCAACTGGAAGAGCTCGCGGAGGTTACTCACGGCGACATCTTTGCACAGCGCGAGTACGGAAAACGGCAGCACAAGCCCGTCCCATTCGACGAACGAAGCGAGTTGAGTCTTGAGCGCATGCGTCTTCTCCTCCAGAGTAACATGCCGCTCTTCCATCTGACGATAACGCTCTTCTTCACGAAGTAGCTTCTTGGAGAGCACGTCTACAGTGATGCGTTTGTCCAGCGAGAAGAACTGGAACCTCTCGAGATCGCTACGTAGCACGCGACTGTAGTCATCCAGAGACTTGGAGTATTTGTCGCGCTCAGCAGCTTTAAGTTCAGCCATTTCGACCTGCAACCGGAGTTCTTTCGTAGCAACAGACACGTGGGTCTGCATCCGCCACTGTGTCAATATTGCACGCAGCCATGCGCGCTCGGCATCACGGATCACAGTAGTCACGAACCCGTGCTTGACAAGCTGCAGCTCCGATCCGCTTTCTGTCAATTCGCCAGTGAGGCATTGAATCTCATCGCGAGAAGCTTGAAGCTTCTCTTCCAACTTCGTCTTCGCCCGTGATAACGAGAAGACGCACTCTTTTGCTTCAGTTAAGCTGCTTTCAAGCTGAAGCAAACGCTCGAGATTCCCTCGATTATTGTCACGTGTTGTAGCCGATTGCCACTTAGACATGGCCCCACGGATTGCTGCTTTCTTCTGAGCAGTGAACACCAGCTTCAGCTTGGATAAACCCAGCTCCAGTGATCGTGTTAGGACTGAATGTTCTCGTTGGATTGCTCTCCAAGTCGTGAAAGTTTTCGCAGCTTGACGATGTTCCCAATGATCCATGAGACGATCTAAATGCATCACACCAAGCAGAACTCGATGTGCTTTGGACTCTTTCTTCGCAGTGTCAAGACTTTGCTGAAGCTTCTTCGTCGTTGCGATTTGAGTGGTCACGCGTGCAACGTGCTTGAGTTTACTGAGGGCTAAGGCTTTCAGTTTCAGGGTAAGCCTATGGTCTGCATTTGATAGCAGCGTGAGGGCACGAAGGCGATTTGCAGTCACGGATCGAGTTGACGTGGACAAGTTGAATAGCGCTGAACGAAGAGTATCTCGTCGTTTGGAGCGCAATAGTCCGTGAATGACCAAGCCTCGCATACGTTGGTGCTCCTCAAGACCGCGGTCCCTCATGGCGTGTTCCTTTCGCTCAAGTTCTTCCACTAGTGACTCATTCTCAGCCGAAAGCTTTGCCATTTTTTGAAACTTGCTCGTCTCGGAGGCAATTTTTTCCAAGAGATCTGCCTGTAGTGACTGGTTTTGCTCCATAAGTTGCTTAGTTTGCAATTTCAACTGCTCTTCACTCTTGCTGGTGAGTGTGAGTTGATCACGAAGCGTCTTGACCAATTCGTTCGAGCTGAGAGCCTGCATCTCGTGCTTCTGTGTCTCTTCCTTTAGATTTCGATTCTCTCTTTCAATAGCATCAAGTTGATGTTGTTTTTCACTGAGCTGCATCATCTTTTCGTTCAATTGCTGCAATTTTTCGGTAAGAAGTCGAAGTTTCTCCTTGTCGACTGCAGAATCATCACGACTCTTCTCCACCTCCGCTCGTAATATTTGTTTTTCGTGTTGCAAAGTTTGTTTTTCTTGCTGTAGAATTTGCTTGTCGTGTTGCAGATTCTGCTTCTCTTGTTGCAATTTCTCGAAATCTGGCAACGGAACAGTGGGCAACGTTGGCTCAGGCGATAGAGAAGACGGGGTGGAGGATGCGATAGAGGCTCGTGGCGCTCGAGATCGTCTGAAAAAGGAACCAGAGTCTTGGCCATTTTCACCCACAGGACTCATGGATGAAGCGCTGCGCATCGAGTTGTGTCGTTGAAGACGAGTCTCTTTTCGCTGCCTTTCTGGTTCTTCACGATGCGATGGCGAGGCTATCTCTGCTTGAAGCGTTTGTAGTAGCGTATCTAGTCGAGCATCCGAAGCTGCACGTTTGTATTTCTGTAAGCGTGAAGGCGAAAGTTCATCTTGCTTATTGCTACTCGGTGTTACGATGTTTTCTTCTGCTCGTTTCAAGTCTTGCCACATCTCCTTGCGTTTCGTCTCGTCTAGAAGACGTGAAGGAGTTCTCTTTGTATTTTCAACGGAATCCCAGAACTGCGAGCACGATCGTGGTCGGGATAGACTTGTGTGACCGTCATCGGTTCCATTAGACTGCTGGACGGAGAATGCCTTCGTCGTTGGAGTGGATCGAGGAGTTATAAGGCTGTTCGCTCGCTTGTAGGGTGAAGTGGATGGCGATAATGATGTCAGTGGCGTAGAAAGTATCGGCGATGAATCGCTTCGACCACTTTTATCAAGTGGAATTGAGTCCGGAATGGGGTGAATCATCGCTGGCTCACTATTGCGCTCCGAGAACGAGTTGCTTCCTCTGAGAGCCGTGAGTCCTGCTAGTCTCGGAGACAACAGACTTGCTACCGGTTCACCAGAAGCATCTACTACCATGAGAGACGGTGTTGTGTCGTCTTCTAGTGCTAAGCTCGACCTTCGAGACGCGGTCCTATCGCTGTCGACGAGATGCGGAGACGCACTCTCGTCATCAGATTCGCCAGTAGACGTGCCAGACACTGGAACTGCTGGGGAATCAGGTAAATAGTCATCCAGCCAAGCGTCCTCGAAGTCGCCATCGCTGACATCTCCTTGACCGTTGCTTCTTGACCGATCAGAGAACGCGTCGTCGCTACCAGCTTCATATTCCTCGTCGTCATTGTCTGGCGCAGTCTCCCAAGCCGGGCCGCCTTCGTCATCATAAGGTTGCTGCTCGTCGTCACTTGAGGCCGCATGGCTGTAGTCTACCATGACTTCAAGCCAAGCGAAAATATACAAACTAGTGAAGCTGCAAATATGCCCAAAACAATCACTTTGAGGTGTCAATGCTCCATTTTGGGAAAGCAAACGGACACCATCACCACAATTATAGCCACACCCTGCAACGTGCAAGTTAAATTCAGGAAGCCAACCAAAACGGGCTATACTCAGTGACGTTCTTGGTGAATAAGGACCCAGCTCAGGCCGTCTTACATTTTAGAGGCGAGGTGAAACCCAAGTGTTACTGTGTGCTACTTTCGTTGAGACTAAAGCTGGAATCCATGACGTCCAAAGCCCCCATCTAAAAATCTGCCCCACGCCACGAGAAAGTCGAGTATCTGTGGCGACATTGGCTCTGCTGATGTGTGTTTAGATGAGTTTTTTGCTCTTGAAGAACTTCTTGAGGTACATGACCTGCCACACGCCCATGCCGAGCAGCACCACAATGGAGAAGAAGCTGAACCAGAGCACGCGCGAGTTGGTGGACTCGTTCGTGTTGCGCATAGTGGCCTCGCGCTCACGCATGTACAGCATCTCGCGGTGGATCTCGTCCACTGTGTCCTCCATCTTGCGCAGTTCCTTCTCGACAGGCATGAGGTGCTCACGCTTGGCTACCTCCGTGTAATCCTTGGCTTCCACGCCGTGCTTAAAGTCGAGCATGACACGCACGGGCTTGTCGTTGCTGTTGACGAAGCAAACGGCATAGTTACCGCCAGCATCCGCAGTGAACGAGAACTTGTGGATGTCGTCAGATGACGTGTCGATGTTGGCGTCCTGCTTGAGGAACTTGCGCAGCGGGTCCGTAATGGCCAGCGAGACACCCGATTGGCCACGCACACCGCCGATCACGTTGTAGTGAACCACCACGAGGCTTCCCTGAGCCACTTCGTCGCTCAGGCACTTCTCAGCACGGCGGCGGATGTCGAATTGCACGGCGTTTAAGGAGATGGCACTCAGCGCCAGCACTAGCAGCGTCAGCAGCGACTTGATCATAGCGACCTTGGTGGTGTCCCCCTGATACGAATTAGATTGTGTAGCTTTGAAGCGATAGGACGACGTCACTACCTATGGTAGAGAATGAATGTGAAATAGAGGAGGATATTGTGTACCGCACATCATTTTGCGATTTGAACAACATGGACGAAGTGCCGCGAAGAGACTCGCGCGGAGACCCCGACAGGGTGCGCACTGACAATAGAGACACTGTTATGGTAACAAATATGTGCTGATGTTGTTTGTCTGCTTGGATTGGTGATGTAGGAGTGGTTTCAGAAGGAGAAAAAGCGTATTGAGGATGAAATTCGAGAGGTTTGTCAGCATGACTTGAAGCGTGCATTGCTTTGACTCGTGGACTCATGTAGTGCTATGCATTGCTCAGGGGATGCAAGAAGCCGTATCGAATGTGCACATTTTGAACCAGAATATGGAACACCTCAACGATGTTGTACGTCTTAAGCCTCGCCATTTTACAGTCTAATTCGGTGTTGACCTTGCCTTTTATTAATGTTAGGGCCAAGAGGTTGTCGCTATTTCATCTGTGTGGGTAGAGTTCCTGCGTCAGATGACGGCATCCAGCGAGAAAGCGCGTTAAGAACATGGAACGTGAACTACAGCGACGTCGGCATATTTATTTGCTTTAGCCAACCCATAAGAATGTGCGCCAGGCGAATGTATCATGTACTAGTGTGATTGCACAGGAGTCTGCTGCTGTTGCTCTTGTTGTAACTTCGCTTTTCCTCGCAGTGCTGCAAGGACTTTCTCCTCAAACGCCAAGTGTTCTTTGAGTGAAATAGGCCCTCCAGGCAGCGTCACCACGCTGCGCTTTGATGAGGCTGTTGTCGTCGTCTTGTCTTCCGTGGACGTGAACCCGTCCGTCTCTACGATATGGCCCTGGATCGAGACTTCCCGCCAGCAGTCCTTGTGTCCCTCAATACGTACAGCATTTGCAGCAGCCGAAGCTTCAGTGAAAACCACCTTTGCAGATGATGTTTTCATTCTGATAGTCTCGATCTCGCCGTATGATCGTAACACTCGACTGAGCGTGTCATCAGAGTGCGAATATTGCTTTTTATCCCACTTGAACGTGACAGTGCGTTGTGATTTCGGGGCACCGTGAGATTCCTGGTACTTCTTCAACTCAGCTCGCCGCTTCGCCTCCCGAGCAAGCCGATCCTGGAGCTCTTGCTGACGAGCTAATGCTTTCTCCCGGAGCTTCGAAAGCTCCGCCTTCTGCTGCTTCGCGCTGGGTTTCCTGTTGAGCTCGAAGTTCTGTTCTTTCCGCAGCAGCTCTGCATTACTCAGCCACCATTATGCAAGTTAGATAGCGTGAACACTTTAAGAAAGCCATGTTTCGGATACGTACCATCTCGCATCTGTCTGCGCTTGCCGTCGAGCTCCGCTTCTCGCTCGCGTTGCTTTTTCTTGGCCAGAAGTTCACGCGATAGTTTCTTGTCATAAGCCTCTTTCTTCTTAGGATCCAGTAGAATATCACGCGCGTGCGTCAATTCCAGGAATTTACGCACTGCAGCCACAAGAAAACGTTAGAAGAGAAGCTTGATTATGGCTTTATTCTCCACGTACCGTCTCCGCCACGGTCAGGGTGGTGCAGGATGGACTTCTTCTTGTACGCGCGGGCCACCTGACGCTCATCTGCCGCGGGTTCGAGCCCTAGGATCTCGTACAGGTCCTCCCGGAACCCGTCATCACCTACCGTCTTTGCCATTATTGCGAATTGAGAGAAATTACTTGTGATTCGACAAAAGTATCCAATTTGTAATTTGATTGGTTAAAAGCGTGACTTACTACATGCTCTCGAATAGAAGCCCCGCTGCCATTTCGACATTGCCATTGCAAGTCTGCAACGCTTGGATCGCCTATAGTGAAATCAAGACAACACACGTCACAGATATCAGTAATACACTGCAAGGAGAACAATGCAAGAATGCGTACCCGCTGCTCAGGAAAGCCCAATCCCACCAGCTGAGCTATCTTCTCCTGGTCATTTTGTCCTCCTGATGCAGCTGGAGCAGGCTGTGGAGCCGCAGCAGCAGACGTCGGGGTGGAGCCTGGAGTAGAGGCCGGAACAGGAACGCCACCAAGTGTGGCTGGAGGTTGGGCGGAATCCGCACGATTCTCAGACGACGGGATTTCCTGCAGCACAATACTTTTGAGTAAATATCTGATACTGCAGCAAATAATCACAGCTGAGACGTACATGCTCTGGCAAGAAGGAGACCTCGTGGAAGCTGTCCCCTTCGTGAAGACGCAAGACGTTCTTGCTCAGATCAATGCAGCACTGAAACCAGGAAGAAGGATACACGCACAGGTCGGTCAAAAGAGCACGGTATCCAAAGCATTTGTTGTAACACACCTGATGCCGCTTGAGCATGTCCAGACCGAATAGGAAGTCCACACCCTGCTGGTCCAGAATCGTGAAGCTGCAGTTGTAGAACTCGTTGCCAATCTTCAGTGGAGCCATGTGCACCCGACCGATGATTTTAGCCGTGCCCACGCCGACTGCCTATTGTATCAAGCAATTCTAAGAGTTAGATCCAAAAAGTTGTCGTCAAAATTTGACAGAGACACCAGTACCTGGCCAGCGAAACGCTTGTCCACGAGCCTCATGATGCCGCATCGTTCTGCGCAGCTCTACCAATGATATTGTCAATAATTTTGATAACCGCACGCGAGTCATGTAGGTCTTACCGACGACATGATAGTCGACTGGGCTCCGGAGTCGACGAACGCCTTCACTTGCGTTCCGTTTACTTCGCACGGGATGTAAAGCATAGTGACATGTCCAAAAGCTTCAGGCATCTCCTCAATCGCAATCTCCATGTTCTTCTGGACATTCGACAGACGAATACGCTCCGCAATTTTGGCTTGGGCCTCGGCGTCGAATGGGTTCCGCTCCAGAGCTTCAATCTCCTGCTGCTCTTCAAATTTCCGAGACGCAGCCTCCATGTGCATCTGCATCAGTGCCATACGCACGTCCTACAAATCAAGGATTAACACCAGCTCCAATTTCTGCTTGTAATACGCCGTAGCTCACGTACCGACACGCTTTTGGTCTGAAGTGCCGTTGCTAACTTCGGATTCACTTGTTGTAGCTGCAGCACAATATATCATTAATCATAATTAATTTTTATCCAATTCTACAACGCGATGCCCTCTCACCTCCGCCAGAAGCTGAGGATTTTTATCCATAATGTCGAGTAGTATCTCCGGTGTGGGGTTAGCCTACGTAACATCGCCGTAGTGAGTGATTCAACCTCTTACGTTTCCCGAGCAGCATCTTCTCACCGGAATCTCGTGCAACTTCATACCCGGGCGAGCCGTGAATCCCGCTGAAGTCGGGATAGCAGGTCTTGCAGCAGTCGGTGCAGCTGAAGGATTACGCACAATGACCAGCAGATCGTCCTCCTTCACGCCCGCTTGCTCGAACTGTCGATTACAGCATATAAAGCAACCAAAACCATCTCAATCAGGCCTCGTTGCATTTCCATTATGATAGTAAAACTCACGGTCTGGTCAAGACGCAATGGGCTGCCATTCAGCATCAAAACTTGCGCTGACGTGGGGATGCCAAACTACAAGGATACGAGCAAGAAGGTCAGAGAAGTGGATTGATAGACCGTAATCTCATCAAGAACAGCGCAAAACTCACTTGCTGCTGTAGCTGCGGACCTACGGAGCTGAGTTGTTGCGTGGGCTCCGCAGTGATCTGCGCCACTTGGTCGCCGTCAGTTGATGTCACCGTCACCTGCATTCCTTTCAAGGATGTTGTTGTTCTCTTTTGATACGGGGGCAGAGTCAACACTAATTTCGGTTAAGTACGAATATTTTGAAGAACAAAGCTCGTCTTTGAGTGATCAACTGTACCGTTGATGACTGCGAACTCGATTGTTTGGCTACAATATTCTACCTACAATCGATAGATATCGTAGTGGCGATGAAGGTGTCGGTCAAAGGTTCCATCCTGCGACTGATATCGCTCGAAAAGACCGCCTTGGTATCTATCAATCCACTCGCCAGCGACAGAATGAGGTGTACGGTGCTCCAGTGTCTTAGTTCGATTGGCGGGGAGGCCAGCAAGAGGTCAGCACCATTCCACGACTGGTCGTCGTATTTTTCACTTCTCAACTTCGCGGGTTATCAGCAAGTACTAAAAACAGAGGAGCAATCTCAAATCTCCTACGATGACCACTACATTTCGATGTACAACACTCGAGACGTCCATGCAGATGCAGGCCTGCCGCATATTCTGGTGCGTCGACAAGCAGCAATCGACGCAACTCTTGTCGTGTCATTGCTAACCTTAGATTGTTTGCGTGCAGGCACAAATCCACGATCAGTATCGTCCTCAAGCGCGAGCTCTCAGACTGCACACCAAGTCGAGAGATTCCAGTTCTTTATATTAAACGACCTTCAATATTCGGTGGTGACCTGGAAATCGACCTCGGCGGCAGTGTTCACCCGGTGCGCATGCTCCCCGTGTCCGGCAAGGACGTGCGCAATCTACGCTTTGGACTTGTGTACGGACCCAAGCGGAAGCGCGTTCGCTTCCGCGCCCCCGACGTAGCAACGTACGACAACTGGGAGATGGTTCTCGAAGTCGCCGTCGAGAAGGCGGCAGCCGAACGACCAACATTCCACACGTGGCCATATCCAGGCACATCGCCCAGCTTGTCAGCACTAGAAGAGGGGTACGTTTCAGAGGAGTTCGGCTTCAGCGACAACGACGGCAACGATGAGATCAAGACAAATGACTTGCGATGTAAACTACCACAACCAACACAGAATCCCATGACCGGCAGCTTCGTGGACTTCATAGATCCTCCGTCGCCAGAGAAGAACTCAAGTGCAGACGACACCGAGGACGACTACGACCGGATCCAGTCGACAGTGAGCGACTATGAGATGGCGATCATGCCGCTCGCTCGAGAGGTCGAAGTTGTTCGACCCATGCCATCTACGGGTAATTACTCGTACGCCAGCAACAAGGTGTTCGTACAAGAGGACGCGACCCTTTCGAACCAAGAGCCTCATGAAGAGGCCGTTTGGTGTCCCAAGAAGCCACAGTTTGAAAACCCATTCGCCACCCGACTCCAACTCATTTCCAGCAGCGGGCTGGGAGCTGCCAAGTACTCGATTGGAGACTATTTCACGTGGATCAAAGCAGGGTTTGACCACAGAGAGGAGCGCGAAGTACTCAAGCGAGCATAGCTATCTAAAGATTCTACGTTGAAGTTCTACTCAGATTCGACTTCCTTAGTGAAACCAAATGAAAATGTTTTTGACCAATCAGTATCGATCTGGTAACCGCCAAACAGGTCCATTCCAGTACATCACTAGAGACACTCGATGCGTCACTTTTAGAGTCCAGACGATGCCCGGGCCCATGGATTTCTACCCCGTGGACGAGGATACTCCGCTACTACGTGGCCCAGAAGAGTCTCCGCGCAACCCGGACTTCACTTCGTACCCGGTCGCAGCCAATAGTGGAGATTCCAGCACCACGCGACGCAGTCTGCAGACGACGGAGCTAGAGCTGAATGTGGACAAGATCTCGTTCCTTTTCAGCCCTTCGGCACGCCACGGCTACGGAAGTCCCAACAACTACAAGAGCTTCGCCGATGTGCCACTCCATGGATCAGTGCAGGACGTCGATGAGCTCAATATGCTTGATCCGTACTTCGATGTGACCCCACCGCGTCTCCGTGTGGCATTTGAAGGCGCAGCACCAGAGGAAGGAGGGGAGTTGAGCTATGACGGATTCCGTGTTGCATTAGAAACGCTAGGCATCCGATGTTCGGACAACTCAGTGTTCCTGAAATTGGTGCAGAGTATTGACAGAGAACAGAGTGGACAGATCACGTTGCAGCAGTTTGACGCTGCAGTTCATCGACTGAAGCTGATGCACATGTTTGATGAAGGAACGGTACAGGAGATGAGGACTGCGGGGTACCAACAAGCCGCACTGTCAGTATCAGACTTTTCGAGCACCAGACTGCAGAGCTTTGCATTGCGACAAGAGAATTTACACGAGTTCTTCACAGCACATCGACCTGAGTGGGTGAACGTGCGTTGGATCAATTTGGACGGCCGAGATAGTCTGAACCTCAAAAGACTGGCTATCAAGTATCGTCTACATCCGCTTGCCATTGAGGACACGATCGAGGGCCATGAACGACCCAAGTTTGATCGATATGATGGACATCTGTTCCTTGTGTTCCCAGTTTTGAGGATGCAATTGGCGGACAAAGGCAATCGACTGTACTCAGACCCACGAGAGCCATCTCTGCCAACTTTTGTCAAGCGAATGTCCTTCCGCCGCAGTATGAGCGCTGTCACAGACGAGACTGACGAGGAAGACGACGACCCGTTTAAGCTCTGGATCGAGCACGTATTCATCTTCGTCGTGGACAATGACACAGTCATCACAGTCAAAGACGGCGGTGACAGTGATATATGGACTGAGTTGAACCGTCGGTTGGCTGTACCATACTCCAAGCTGCGGCATAATGACGCAAAGTTCCTTGTGTACTCGGTGCTTGATGTGATCGTGGACCAGGTAACCAGCGTCGTCGATTCGATTACGGAATGTTTAATCGCGCTTGAGAACCAACTGGAACAAGAGCGTCATCGCTTCGAGTTGCGTTCGTTGAGGGTATTGAAGAACGAGTTGTTCCGCCTTCCTCGATTGCTTAAAGCGGCTCGCGAGGTGCTGAAGAATATCATCGAAAGCAAAGACTTTGACGCTACCGTGACCGATTACGTCCGTGATGTTCACGACCACGTGGTTGTTGCGCTTGATGATATCGAGCAACAACTTCAAATGTGTCGCCAGCTAACGGAAGAATACCGAGATGCCAAGGCGAATCAGATGAACTACGTCATCTACACACTCACTGTGGTCACGACTGTATTCCTACCTGGCCAATTTCTCACTGGAGTTTACGGTATGAACTTCGACGAAATGCCCGAACTCCATGAGCGTTATGGCTACGCGCTTTTCTGGGTCTTTGCGATTGCCATCGCTGCTGCGCTGCAGCTGTACTTCCGCTATAAGCAATGGATTTGAGCTACTTACGTGCTCCTGTGTGTAGAAGAGGTATGTATACACAATAAATAATAAATGAAAAATACAATAGAACGACCGAATTTCCCTGCAAAAATGCTGAGTGTCTTTGTATTATCAAGCCGCTAGTAGTTCCTGCAAAAACGCTTTCTTCTCTGGGGACTCGCGGAATAGAGACCTGCAAGTTGTAGAAAATACGACACCTTTAATGAGAGAATACTTTAGCGAAATGCTCATTACGCAACCTACCTCACGAGTACCGCCAGCTCATTCGAAGAGAACGAGTCTAAACTGCCACTGTCGAATTTCTCGCGAACTGTTGTGAGCGGATCCATCTGTAATATATATGCACGTTATACCATCCCGTACACTTGAACTACGAAAAAATAAAATACATACCAAGATCGCAGTCAGTTTCGATAACCTCCCGATACTCGGAACATATTTCGCAGCTTGAGCAGGGGATATAAACAGTGTCTCAGACTGCACAAACCCAGTTAGTACATCAGTCTTCGGTACAGCTGGAACGAATTCCATTGGCGTTTTTGTTTTTGTTTTTCTTACCTCCACTAGCAATGACAGCAAGTGGTGGAGATGAGCTCCAGCGTTTTCAGAAATTTTCTAGGATTATTAAACAGTTCACAGTAGCAGTTAGTAGAAGATCATTAAACCAACGTACGCATACAACAAAGCCACAAACTGTCTGAGTGAGCACGCCATCCACAAAGTTCTTTACAAGCGGTTCCACCATCCTTGACATGACTTTGTTGTAAACCGCTAGTGGCAGCCCTTCTTGCCACGAAGAGCTCATTCCGTTCAGCTTGTACAAAGCGCTTTTCAGAAAGCTCTCGACGCGTTCCGTATCATACTCCGAATCAAGAGCACCAAGTGACTACCCATAAAAAAACACAGCGCTTGCAGGTCAGTTCACACGATCCAATGATTCTAACGTACTTGCAGTCATACCGGCAGAGTCTTCAGTCCGGACAAAACCTCCTCAATTTGAGCAGCGGTGTATGAAGTCAATGCTCTCTCACCGGCGTCTCGGAATGAAGGGATCATGTCCACCATTGTTGCAGTTTGATTCAGCGGCGCCGGAAGTCTATGACAGTGCGGAGCTGTTAGTTGTTAACACACACCACAGCAGATACTTCATACGCACCGATGCTTGTAGAGATGTCCGATCATCACCATGTGGTACGTGATGTAGAGGCAATCGTTATGATACAGCATACAAGTCCGCGAGTCGTTCGCAATATCATCCTCGTATAGCGTGGGCACAATTGTACGGAACAGGAACAACAGATCACGAGCTGTCTGGAAGAGCAAATTCGCGCTTGATGCCCCGGAAGTGCATGCCTCAACGAGTGTTTGATGTGCCAACTCTACCACTTCACGCGCGCAAACAGTCACTCTGTAGTCTGGGACCTGGAAGCAACTGCTTTCAACCTCATCCGTGCTCGCACTGACGGGCGAAGAGCTCGATCCACTGCCTCCCTTGCCAGTGTATTTACCCTTCTTGCCTGAACCAACAGAGGCAGTAAGACTGCATTTCTCAGAGGCGCCATTAATCTTCACTGAATCACGATAATCGCGACGCATCATGTCACGCCCGTTGCTCAAGATTACTTGTCGGCGCTTTTTCGAGTGTAATCTACGAACAATATCGGGATCATGTGAATGGTTAAAATACCACAAAACACAAAAACAAGGAGCAGCGACGTACTGATTGAGTTGGTCGACAAAGCCTCGCAGTTGGCTATTGCTGCAAGCCGAGAAGCCGATCGCTACTAACGTATTCTCCAACCTTGTGACCTAGAAAACAAGATAACAAAGTTAGCCCACTTACATTCAGTAATCACACGTCTGTGTTGCACACGTACAGCAGTCGCCAGCACACCTCGGTACTCCTCCAGCGCCGCAGAATCCTGGGGAATTTTATCCTGTAGCAGGTTCATGAGCTGAGCTTCAAGGTTACCTGGGATCTTCCACATGAAGTCTCCAAGCTGATGCATAAGCTCAGCATTGCCCGCAAACAACTCCGTGTGTACAAACTGGAGCACGCTCACAACGTTGGCACATTTGCTCTGCACCTCCGCTACTTCGCTGTCATCTGACGCATCCTTAGGATTCTGCACCACAACTTTAAGCGTCACGCCGCTTTCATCTCGAATCTGCTTTAGTGTTCCATGTGGTATCTGTAGCATTGGCTTAATGAGGTGAAGCGTAATGGCCTTGACAATGTCTTTCATCTTTGGCGCCAGGATATCCAGCACCTCACAGGCCTTCCAGAAGTCTGTACGTCGTTCTTCCATCGACAATTTCGTCCCTTCAAGCTCCATTTCGGGTAAATCTGCCGTCACCCTCAACGCGTTATCCTTCCACACCGCAGTACACGAAAAATACCTCGTAAGTTGATTCAACAACCGGTTCTTCTTGCTCAACAGCTGCAGCTTCACTACTCGTATGATCTTCTTATCATCCACATTGCCTCCTTGTCCATTCTCAGACTTCGCAAGCTCGTTCACCAATCTCTCGACTTCTGCAACTCCTTCAGCTGCCGCAACGAAGCACTGGTGGTCGATAGCTTCGTCCACATCTCCTAGTAGCCGGTCCATCTCCGTGAGCTGCTCAATGAGTGCTAGCATGGTTTTGGACTGCTGCACCTGCTTCTTGAGCCGCTCTCGCTGCGTTAAGGACAGCAGTAGCTGCGCCTCGGGAGCCATCTCACCACTCTCGTCCAGCTGCAAGCGGTCCACAGCGTCCAGCAATGCAACGTTTAGGCGCCGCATTTTCTCCTGAAGATCTGATGCGTCAGCGTCGTCACCGGTCATAGGAAATGCATGTGACGCGCCCCATTTGGCCGCGATCTTGACAGCTTCGTCCACAGTGATGGCCGACGACGACGCGTAGAAGGAGCGCAAGGCTTCCACCACCTCACGCCGAACCTGGATGATCTCTACATGGGTCTCCTCGAGCTTCCTGTGGAGTGCAGATAATTAGCGGGTTGGTTGTTGCATGTGGGTAGCGACACCATGCTGCTTACCGCGTCAACGTGTCGAGCGATGCCATGAGGAACGAAAAATAAAAATTGATACTTTGTTGGTAGAAAATTTCGGTTCTCTAATATGACTTTTTGTAATTCCCTCCAAAACAGATATAATCTGGGAATTGTACTACTGTACTGTATTCCTGTATACCCTTGGGGGGAGGGGGAATATTACGGAAAAGCACATTAGTGAACCAAAATTTTCGGAGTTTGTCGCCTTTTTTTTGAAATGTTGACAAAGGCCGTGAATTACCCCTTATTAGGTGTTAAATATTATATATTTTCATACTACCTCTGCTCGGAAAATAACGCACATTTGCAGAGGTCTATCTACTCGAGAACTAGCAGAGTCAAAAGAAAGCGTCGAAGTCCGAGGATGGTGGAGGGGCGCACGTCGTGGCCCTTTGGGGCACAACTTTGGCGAGAGTCGCCCGATAAAGAGCTGGATCGCAAGAAAGGGAATCAGGAAGTTCACCAGCACGCAGTAGTTTGTCCTTCTGCATGTGGCTCAAGCCAAATGCATTCCCGCCGTTGTGCCTCATGATGCTCTGCATGATAAGCTGGACGGAGAGGAACGTTTTGTTCAGCGTAGTGGTAGTAGTAGACGCAAACGCCCTCTCCACTTCCGATATGAGGTCTTCGGCTGTTCTTGGGACCGTCACCGACTGCAGCGACTGGATCGCGTTGAATAAAACGCAATCAAGGACGTTTAGATCTGGACTCTGCGCAGGCTGGTTTCTAAAGAGAATGCTCCAGCCACCAGCACACCCAGCCACCAGCACCTCGGGGTCATCAGGCAGCACATGTGGCTTGGCGTTATCTTGCTGCACCCAAATTGGGCTTACAAGAGGAACGCCCTGCCCCTCGTCCCCCACCCACTCCCACTTGGCTTTGATTGCGGGAATCACATCTTCAAGCAGCATGCGTCGGTAGACTTCACGGGTCATCGAAATGGGGCGCAGCTCCTCCACACCGGCATCACGATTAACGCTCCTTCGCTGGGTCACATACTTCTCCACAACAGGCCACATCCCCACCTTGCCATCCCAGTTTCCACGTGGACGTGCTACTGCACACAGAAACATCACCTTGAGAATATGCCTCTTGCTCTGCACAAACTGTACGGGAGCATCTTCACAGGGTGTCCCATCTTGACCGGTCAACAGATAGACCTTCTGTTCCAATCTTCTTCACGTAGAACCACTTTTCGTCCACGTGGACGGTGTCGTACATCGGGGCGAAAACTGGCTGACGATCCGTAGACTGGGTTACGTGGAGAAGACACCACTTTAGACGATCTGTCTTGTGCTTCTCGGTCAGAA